ACCCGTACTTCAGCCAGAATCTTCCCCTTGGCCCTCCCTTCTCCCTCGTCCCCCCCTTCGACAGCCTTTCTCCCTGTCGTCCTCCTCACTCCCTCCATGTGTCCCCGACCTGCTTTCACCTGCTCCTCCTGCAGATTGCGCGCGCGGTCACTCAGATGGGTGGCGCTGTTGGTCCCCAGCTCACTGCTGCTTACCAGGTGCGGTGCCGGCAATATGTAGGCATGCAAGCTGGCAGGAAGGAAGGCAGGGTGGTGGGCAGGCAGGCGGGCGGGAAAAGGGGCAGGCTGAAAATGACATGCGATTTCAACCCATTTGCACCTGTTTTCTTCGCACATTTGATTTGTCTTTAGGTTTTTGCTGTGGCTGGCATTGTTGGGCGTCTCTCTTCCCACAGGCCACTTTGTCTTCCTTGCACATGCTTCCATAGAAACTGTGCATACACCCCCTAAGTTCACCATCTTTCACGGAGTTGTGTGTGCGTGTATGCATGTGTGTGAGGCTTGTGTGGGCGTGCATGTGCGTGTGTATGTGCATGTGCGTGTGCGTGTGCGTGTGCGTGTGCATGTGCATGTGCGTGTGCATGTTTGAATACATGCAGGCTGCTAAGGACAGCCTGCATCCGCACCTCTCCAACCTGCACGCCCAGACCCAGGTGTGCACCGCATGCTCTGCACCCAGATTGCCTCCCCTCACTGACGCTCTCTCGTGCTCTCACCTTCTCTCACCCACTTTCTCACCCTCTCGCATGTTCTCTCTTTCTTTCTCTCTCATGCGCTCTCACCTTCTCTCACCCACTTTCTCACCCTCTCGCATGTTCTCTCTTTCTTTCTCTCTCATGCTCTCTCGCCTGCTCTCTTTCTAATGCTCTCACCTTCTCGCTCAGGCTCTCTCACACGCTCTCTCTCTGTCTTGCCTTCTCACTACCTGTCTCCCTCCCTCTGTTGCGCATATCCTCTCATCCCCCTCTCCTCGCCTAATCAGTCCTGCTCGCTTCCCCCTCCCCTCTCCTCCCCTTTTTCCGTCTCTTCCCCCTTCCCCTTCCCCTTCCCCTTTTGCTTTCCCCTTTCGTCCTTACCCTTTCCCCATTCCCTCTTCCCCTTTCCACCGCCCCCGTTCCCCTTCCCCCTATCCCCCTCGTACAGCCGGTGGCGCGCAAGGCAGTGGCAGAGGCGCGAGTGGCGCTGGCGCCGCTGGCAGCAGTGGTGGGGGAGAAGGGCGGGGAGGTGTACAGGCAGGTGCACTCGGTGCTGTCGCCGCACATCAACCAGACATGGACTGCTGTCGAGCCTCACGTGCAGGTGCGTTTACTGCTGCCCTGCTGCGCTGCTGGGTTTTTAGGTGTCTCAAAACTGGTGTACGGGCAGGTGCACTCGGTGCTGTCGCCGCACATCAACCAGACCTGGACCGCTGTGGAACCTCATGTGCAGGTGCGCTGCTTTGCTGCTGCCTTGCTCGTTTGCTGCCTGCCTGCCTCCCTGAATGCTTTCCTCTGCCTGCCTGCCTGAGTGCCTGCCTCCCTGCCCGCTTGCCCATCCCCATGTTTGCATGCTTGTCCAAACGGGAGCTTGTGTTGGTGTTGTGATCCTATACGGGCATGCCATGTGTCACCCACCTATCCCACCCTTCATCGTCACACACTTCTCAACTCGCCAACTCCCTCCGTCTTCCTAGGATACTCGAGTTGCTGAGATGCGGGGATCATTTTTAGTCACTGCACGTGATCCAGATCTACTACGAGTCAGCTCACACTATCGAACGCCCTCCCAATTTCCCTCCAGCACCGATTCATCCTCACACCCTTGCCTCTGCTTCCCTGGTCCCCGTACCCTCCACACTCCCCCCTCTCTCCCCTCTCCCCACCGTCCCCTTTGAATGCACCCGTCCAGTCCCTGCAAGTGCTGCTGGGCCCGCACCTGTCGACGGCAAAGGTGGCGGCAGCAGCAGCAGCGAAGCCGCTGCAGCCGCACTGGGAGAGGTACAACGTGGCGGTGAAGGACATGGTGGTTGCTGCGGCTGACTTCTTTCTGGAGGATGCTCTCCCCGAGGCCGTTCTCTGCTGGATGGTACGTGCTGGGGGGTGTGGCTCCTGCCAGGGGGTGCTGCTGCTGCTTGTGCTGGTGGTGCTGGTGCTGGTGCTGGTGCTGGTTCTGGTGGTGCTGGTTCTGGTGGCGCTGGTTCTGGTGCTGCTGGTTCTGGTTGAGGTTCAAGGTGCTAGCTTTTGTGCTGGTGACCGCTGCAGCCGCACTGGGAGAGGTACAACGCGGCGGTGAAGGACATGGTGGTTGCTGCGGCTGACTTCTTCCTGGAAGATGCTCTCCCCGAAGCCGTTCTCTGCTGGATGGTACGTGCTGGGGGGTGCTGCCGGTTCTGCTGCTTTTGCTTGTGCTGCTGGGGTTAGTGGTGCTGGGTTAGTGGTGCCGGTTCAGGATTAAGGGTGCCAGCATTGGTGCTGGTGATGGTGCTGGTGCTAGTAATGGTGGTGGCGATAGCTACGGCGGTCGCGACAAGTTCTGAGACGTTCCAAAACTCGACAACAGAAGTGATGGTGATGGCGATGGCGATGGCGATGGCGATGGCGATGGTGATGGTGATGGCGATGGCGATGGTGATGGCGATGGCGATGGCGATGGCGATGGCGATGGCGATGGTGATGGTGATGGTGATGGCGGTGACGGTGGTGGTGACGATAGTGATCTTGGTTGGTGATGATATCACACATCCAGTGGTAATGAGCTATCCTAGCCTGTTATAGGAAGCCTTTCACCCCTTCGCTTCTCACCTCATGTGTCCATGTGTGTGTGTTGCATGCATGTGCGTGCATGTGTGTGCATGTGTGCGTGACATGCGTGTATATGTGTGTGTGCAGGTCGTTGCTGCGCACATTCTTGCGCTGCTCCTCATGTTCAAGCTCACCTCCATTGCCTCCAGGTATCCATCTCTTGCTCCATGGCTCCAATTATACCCCGCTCACCCCACCCCACCGTCCCTTTCACCTGCCAAACCCTATCTTTGCGGCCGTTTCACCCATCAACCTATGTTCTCCTTTCTCGCTTAGCAATGTTTGTTAACAATTGCTTCGTGTCTGGTGTTCTCACACTTCTGCAGCCTCTTTTCGGCACCAACCAAGAAGGCCAAGAAGCCTTCTTCCAAGGCCAAGTCTTCTCATCGGACGCGTCGCCACCATAAGCCTTCCTCCAAGCAAGCCAGCACTTAGGAGTGGTTATGCTCGAGAGGGTAGTTGTGATTGGCGAATGACCTTTTATTGCACAGGAGATTCTTGTGCAGGGATTTTATGTTGAAGTATCTTAGGTTAGTTGGCTTGTTTTGTCATTTGTTTTGGCATCGACTGCTCAATTGCAAACATTTCATCCACTAGCGCGTTTATTTCGACTCTCCGATGGTCCAATGGTTTGGTCAGATTGATCTGTGTTGACAGATGTTACTGGCTGGCAGATTGCTAGTGGGTTTAGAATGACAGCACCGACCAAGCTTTCCACGTGTGAAGTGGATGTGGCAGCCTCTGAATGGGGCGGTTCGTAGATTTCGACTCGTTCGGCACTCACGACGACGAGTCACTGCAGCACCACCCACCCATCACCCCGAACCCCAACGAAGTATCGTACTTCCTCGCACACAAACCTCGGATTTTCGCATGGGGTCTACATTCGTCGTACACCAATAGAAACCTCGTGGAGACATGGTCATGTTCACAAACTACTGGCTGTTGTAGTTTGTCGGCTGCCCGACGCGTTCGGGTTTTCCAAGGTCAGCCCATAAACTCTGCAGCGAGGCTGGGCGATTTCTCCAAGGTGGAGCGGCAACTGTTCTTCCAACTTTAGCAAGATATTTTCAGGGGTAAACCGCCCTTGCAACACCCGTCTCCCTCCTCGAACTCTCCGTGAGGGTGGCTGGCTGGCGTTGCTCGAGGCTGCACTTCCCAAGAACAAGCCGTTGCACGTGTTGGTAGCACGTCTCGTACTGCTTCGAGGGAGTATCGAGGTCGGTGAGGGATTATTGCTGGAGCTGGAAGGCAGTTCGGGTGGTGGTGAATTCTGGAGATAGTGAAGGGAGGGCACTGAAGTGGGTGAGTGATCGTCGCAGCAGTAGTTTTTGTTGTACAGGAGGGAGAACATAAGGGAAAGTGACTGGAAGTTCGGACTGACGACGCATGCAGTTGCCGTTTGGCGACGCACCCTAGACTCAGATTGCAGGGTCGTTTTCTTGGGTTCGGCTGCCACTGAACGATTTTGTTTGGGGAATTTTTATCCGTCAAGTTCAGAAAAATAGACTCAGTTGCCGTTTGACCACGCGTCGCCTTGCTTTCAGGAGCTCGGCCACCCAAACTCGAGCGTGTGTCCCTCAAGTCTCCCTGTAGCGTTCGAACGGCTCTCTTCTTTTTCCTCTCCTCTTTCCACTCTTGCCTGCTCGGGATTGATCGCTATCACTCCCTGTAGGCTCGAAATACTCTTCACGTCAGCTCAGACCAACTTCCATCTTCAGTCGCCGTCAGTCACCGTCATCGTTCATCTGCAGTCGCCTTTCCCACGCACTCCTCGCCTGCCGCCTCACCTCCGCCTCGCGTGCGCCTCGCCTGTGCCTCACATCCCCTGCCGCTACATCCTTTCCATTGCACTCCCTTTACTTATCTCGCCGTGCCGCCCCGAACCATTAGCAAGTTGCCACCTACCTCGCTTCCCGTCGCCCGGGGCTCCCGCTATCAACGTTGGATTCCACTCGTTCTGGTATCACCGCTGTTTCCGCATCACCGTGCAACGCCGTGCTACCCGTTAACCGCCGTCCCCTTAACATCTTGTCCGCCACGCCCAGTAGTCCTCCACTTAACCCCTCCGCCGTCCCACTCTTCGCTCCGGTCGACTCCTCCGCGAGAGACTCTCGCCCTCTCACCCTCTCACCCCCTCATCTTTCCTCGCTCGCGCCGTCGCTCCGCCTCGCGCGGCTCCGCCCCTTCCGACTCGTCTCAGCACAGCAACGCAACTATCATGGATCTGCGAACTGGTTCAACCATATCCTTGTCACTATCAGACCCGCGCATCGGCGCAAGCTCACCCATGGCGGTCGTGGCGGCACACGGGACTTGTCATTTCTCGCGTGCTTGTCACCCGCTCTCGCTTCCTGTTACCACCGCACGCCCCTCCGCTTCCTCCGTCTCCTCCCCTTCCGCCGGTCCCTCTGTTCCCTCCCCCGCGGACCGTTTCCTCCGCTCTCCCGCTGTTGGTCTGGCTTCCCCTTTCCGCAGCTCCTGCTCTCTTCCGCGCGCTTCCGCGCGTGGCTTGTGTATACACCCGCTCTCCGTCCCTCCCCTCACCCCACGGGGAAGGGAGGCGGTCGGAGGGAGGAGAGGGCGGGTGTGGTGAGAGTGCGCGCGGGGAGGAGTGACACGGAGGAGGCGCAGGGTGGTGCGGGGGCTATGCCGACTCAAAGCGTGCGCGATTTGCAACGGGTGTGTGCTCCATGTGTCTTCTCCGTTTTTCCTTCCCTTCTACTCTCACCTGCTTCCACTATCCTGTCCGTCCTGTCCTCCCCATCTCTTCGCCGCTTTCTTCCCTCCACTCTTCGCCCCTCTCTTCCCTCCATTCTTCGCCCTCAGCCTCCCTCCCTTCCCTCTCTCTCCCCCTCTCTTTTCTCCCTCACTTCCCCACTCTCTTTCCCTCTATCTTCCCCCTCTGGGTTTACTTTTCTCCCCCCTCCATCCACTCCCTCCCATCCCCTTCTCGTCCCCCCTCTCTCCCCTGCTCTGTCAACCTGTTTCCCCCCTCTTTTCCCTGCTCTTTCTGCCTCTCATCCCCGTCTCTTTCCCCTCTCTTTTCCCCCTCTTTTTCCCCCTCTCTTCCCCGCCCTTTCCCCCCCTCTCTTTTCTCCTCTCTTTTCTCCTCTCTTTCCCCCTCTCTTCCCCCTCTCTTCCCGCCTCTCTTTTCCTCTCCTCTTCCTCGTCCCGTCCGCCTCCCTTCTGTAGCACCCCATTCACCTCTCTCTTCCTTATTCCACTGCTGGGCACACCCTCTTTCGCCCACCATCCCGTCCCGTCCCATCGGAGTGCCATCAGATATTAGGAGAACTATGCTCTCTGTCACTAATCCCCCGCTTCTCTCCCACATGCTCCTACCTCCGTCCCTTGCTCCACTCTTGCGTGCCCCCTTCCCCACTCCACCTTCTCTCCCCCCCTCATCAGCCGTACCAGACTTCCAGTCCTTCAGAGCGAGTCAACGCCTTCGTTCGATTCTTATATGGCACAGGTAACCATCCTTTCCTGCCTCTTCCCTCTTGTACTCTGTTTAAGGCACACGGCTCACAGAGGCATGCACGTAGAGGCGTGTAATTCACGGAATTTCCCACTGCTTCCTACGCTCCCTCGCCTGCTCTCTCTCTGACCGCCCTCCTTCAGCTACTTATGCTGGGTTGGCAACAGCGGCCGTTGCTGGTGCCCAGCTGGCAGGTCTCGATTGGTCCGGAGGGTTCCAGCTATCGCTACAAGGAGTGCTGGACGGATTCGCCTTCTCTGCTCCCGCCATCGCCCTTGTTCTTGCACTCTTCCAGGTCCGTTCCCTCGCCTCTCTTTCCTCCTCCCTCCTCCCTCCTCCCTCCTCCCTCCTCCCTCCTCCCTCCTCCCTCCTCCCTCATCCCGCAATCCTCCTGTCTCCTCTTTCCCCTCGTTTTCCTATCTTGCTACTCTTACTCCTCCTGTCTCCCACGCTCTTCTCTCTCCCATCTCTTCAACCTTCCTCTTCACACTCCCATCTCTCCCTTCTCGTCTCTTCCCTGTCGTCTCGTCCTTCTCGCCTCTTCCCTCTCCCCTCTTGTCTCTGCCCTCTCTCCTCCCTCCGCTCCCTGTTCCCCTACTCCCCATTCTCCCGTCTCTCCTCTCCCCCTCCTTCCTCACTTCCCCCCTCCCCTCCCCGTCTCTCTCCCAACATCTACACATCCAGTCACTCTATCACTTCGTTCTTGCTCCATTATTCCACCCCTGTCAATTTGCTTCCCTTCGCACTGATACAAGTGGCAAGAGCTTTGAGACGTTCCATCTCCTCTCCTCCACACCCCGCCGTCCCTCCCTCTCTCCTCCCCCTCCCCCCCCCCCCCCCCCCCCCCCCCCACATTCACCCTACGCTCCCCCTGCAACCACACCCCCTCCCGCGCACAGGATCGAGTGGCGGAGCGGTGGGAGGTGGTGCGGGCCGTGCGCGACGCAGACGACGAGGAGACAGAGGAGTTTTTCCAGGGCATGGCAGCGTGGCAGTACACCGTTGTGGCTGTCTCTGCTGCTCTATCCGAGGAGCTCTTTTTCCGCGCTGCCCTGCAGGCCTTCCTCACCCGCGCTCTCCTGCTTTCCGGCGCTCCCTCCCTTGACGCTCCCGTCGTTGGGATGGCTGCTCTGGTGGGTGGGTGGGTTTGGAGAAGGGGGAGGGGGGAGGGCGTAAGAAGGGTGGGAAGTTGTGGGGGGAAGGGAGGGAGGGTGGGGGAGAGGGCAGATAAGAGGGGTGGAGGGAACACCCTTATGTGCTTACACTTCTAATGAACCCGCTGATTTCTACATTCGACCTTAGAGCGCACTGTTTACCACACTCCCCTCCCTCTCCTGCCCTCACCTCTCTCGTCCTGTTCCTCCCCTCCTCTCCCCTCCCCTCTCCTCCCCTCCACTCCTCTCCCATCCGCTCGACCCCCCATGCCCCTCATGCTCAACCTGCCTTCTCATCATGCCTGTTTATCGCGCGCGCGTGCCCTGTGTGTCGCACGCATGGCCTTCTCATCGTGCCCTGCGTGCTGCACGCATTGCCTTCTCATCGTGCCCTGTGTGCGGCACGCATGGCCTTCTCATCGTGCCCTGTGTGCTGTGCTGTGTGTGCACCAGACGGGGATTTGGCCATACATGGCGCCCTGCACGCAGTTCTGTGCCGCCACGCTCACAGCCGCGCTCGCCGGCTCGCTGCACTACGCCATGGCCCTGCCCCGAGGTGCGTTGCGTTTATCCCTTGTCTTGCTATTTGCTCGTGCCCCCGTACGCGTTCTTGTGCGTGCGTGTGTGCGTGCCTCTCTGTGCCGCTCTGTGCCGCTCTGTGCCGCCACGCTCACAGCCGCTCTTGCCGGCAGGCTGCACTACGCTACAGCTCTGCCCCGAGGTGCGCTTACGTGTGTGTGTGCGCTTACCCCTTGTGTTGCTCTCCGTGCACTTGCACATGTGCCCACGTGCGTGCTTGTTCTTGTGTGTGGGCCTGTGTGTGCCTCCTCCATCCCGCCTTTCTATCTAATCCTCTGACTACCCTAACACTGCAGTCTCATCCTTTGATTCCGTCTGCAATTCTCTCCTTAAAATACACCCTTCACTTGTGGAGACCTGTGTGCGTGCGTGCACACATTGATGCTTCTTCTGCTAATTTATGTCTGTTGTGCGTTTGTGCGTGTCCGTGGATCCATGCGGATGTGTGTGCTCGCATGCATGTGCACAATTGAGTGTGTATTGCTGTGTGTACATGTGCATGTGCACGAATTGCGTGTGTGTGCTGTTCATGCGTGTGCATGCATGTGCATGTGTGCATGTGTGCATGTATGTGTCCATGCATGTGTGCATGTGTGCATGCAGATGCTGTCATTGTCGTCACGCAGTCATACAGCCTGGGGGAGCTGCGTTCTGCAATGAGAGGTATGCTATCTTCCTCACTCTCGCACGCACACACTATCCCTCTTATCTTCATCCTCTCGTTTCACACATAGCATCCATCAAGTCTCCTCCCCACCTGGTTTTCCATTTCCTTAGCTTATGCACCCTCTCTCACACGCTATGCATGCTTACCCTTCTTCCACTGCCACTGTTACCTTGTCTCACTGTCGCTGTTACCTTGTCTCACTGCTCGGTGCATACCTGTGTGTGTTTTATAGCCGTTTTCAAAAGCAGCAGCTTTCGCTGCCGCTCATACTTACATTACAGTGTCTTGAGAAAGAAACTCTACTCTCTTGTTACTTCGCTCGCTCCTGATTGCACCGTACAGCATGGCATGAGCGGCAGGAGCACCAGAAGATCTACCCCCCCATGTTTGCGTCTCTGCTGAGCCTCTACTACGGCATTGAGTGGTACATGGTGAGTTGGCTTGATGCGGTGGTGGGGAGTGCGTGAGGGATGGTGGGTGGATGAGGGATGAGGGATGAGGGATAATGGATGGATTACCTTGAACATTTACTGAGGTTGCAAAGCAAGCCATTTCCCAAGTCATTCTCCTCTTTGTTTCCGTTTCACCAACTCATCAAACCCATGTGGTCTGATCAGGATGCAATTAACACCCAAACACACCTCCACTATTTCATTCCCCTCCCCCCACCCCACCTCCACCTTTCCCTCCTCCCCCTTTCCCTCCCCTTTCCCTTTCCCCCACCCAAATCTCCCCGCCCACCACTCTTACAGACGGGCAATCTCGTTTCCCCCATGCTCACACACGCTCTCCTCAACCTCACTCTCCTGCACATGAGTTTAGTACGAGTGGGTGAAAACAAGCCACCCGTGGCCCCAACGCACCCACCGCAACCACCGCAATCACCTCTGCCTGCCCAGCCGACCCGGCCTGCAAACAAGACGCTCTGATTGGCTCCAGCAAGTTTGCCAGACGTTCTCTTTTGTGGTTTGGGTTTCTCTTCTGGGAAGGAAGTACAGTAGCATGACTGGAATGGAGTGGGTTGGGGCAAGGTGAAGTTGTTACCGCATCGTATTTACTTTTTTGTACACACTCACAACCTGCTCGCTGCTCAGGCACTGTAGTGCTTGTGTTTTTTAAGGAGGTGTCCAGCGCGTACATTTACAGCTCATAAGCCAGTTCGGTTACCACATTTCGGGCTGTAACACTGCCATTTACATAAAGTTTAGACACGATCAGCTTTTGTTCACGAGACGGTACGCCCCCTGCACGTACATCGAGTCGTCTGACTCACGTTACTGGAATCAGCATACGAGCGAACAAGGGTACAGAATTGTGTCCTGCCCACTACAGTAATTTTCGCTCAAACATGAAATTTTTCGCTTGCGCGAGAATTAGTGCGCGACGATTGACGAGGGAGCAAGTAAACTCGGTTTCCATGCGATCGGACCACTGTAGAAATTTGCGTGTGGGCGGGTTAGTCCGTGCACTAGAACGCACAGCCAGTATGGACTCGACCCACACTGGATTCGTTTTTAGGTACAATGAGTTTTTCTGAGCCGCGGGACGTGAGAAGGTACTAAATTTCCCAAAATGTACGCGCTGGATACGCCCTAAATGACAGGAGTTGGAGATGTAGTGATGGGTGCCTGCCTGCCTGTACTGTCAAGAAGGCTAGGCAAGAATGATTGAAAGGAGAGGGGTTTCACTAGCAGCAGTTGGGGTACATATAGCAAACCCTAACTGGGTTGTACTCGCTATAGAGCACCCCACTACAGGCTAGACAATAATAACATTCTGACACACCCCCATAGCCAAAGTGAGGTGTAATCAGCACAATGAGCAGGCATAGCAATAGTTCACAATTATAAGCAAAGCTAGAGGTGATCATAGAGGGCAAGTGAGGAGGAGGAGAGACTGTGAGGGCGAGAAGATGAAAGGCGCCGACTGAAGCTGCAGACACACGGGCAACAGGAGCGGCGCGCACAGTGGCTACCGAGCGCACGAGGGCATCGGAGTACGGGAGTATCTGGCTCCGCGGCTACGACGAGCACACACAGGAGCAACGGACCCACAGGCGACTGGCGAAGCAGGCTCGCTGGGCTACCGAAACGCGCGAGGGCATCCGGACTACTGGCGCTGCTGGCGTCACGACGGCTACCTCCACGCAACCTCCCCCGACCGTCCCACGCCCCTCTCACACACCCCCTGCTGAAACCCTAGCTCCACATCCACGGCACCCCCCTTAAACCCTAAACCCTCGGCTCCCACACACCCACCCCCCTCAGCGGCAGCTGCAGCAGTGGGAGACGGAGGAGGAGGAGCCGCAGGTTACCCACACCGGTCACCCCCATGCCCGCCACCCCCAAACCCTAACGCAGGCAGGAGCGCGGGAAACAGCAGGGGCGGGGCACGGAGGGAAAGGGAGGCGGCGGGGTGGCTCTTGGGCGCCACGAAGAAGCAGGGCGCGGGCCCCCCGAGGGCGCCACGGCGGGTGACGGGAGGGGGGCCGCGCACGGGCCCCCGAGGGCGGCTCGACGGGCGACGGGAGGGGCCGCGCGCGGGCCCCCTAGGCGCCGCGACGAGGCGACGGGAGGGGGCGGCGCGCGGGCCCCCAAGGTGCCGCGACGAGGCGACGGGAGGGGGGGGACGCGCGGGCCCCCAGGGCGCCGCGACGAGGCGACGGGAGGAGGACGACGGGGGGCAGCGCGCAGGTCCCCGGGGGCGCCACGACGGGCAGGAAACCGCCGCGCGCCTCGGGGCGCACGGCGGGCAGAAAACCGCCGTACGCCCTGAGCGCACGGCAGGAAGAAGACGGCGCGCGCCCGAGGCGTGCGAGAAGCAGAATAGCAGCGGAAGCAGTTAGGTGGCGGGCCCACCCACAGGATCGACCCAACGGGGTCGACCTGCTCTGATAGCATGTCAAGAAGGCTAGGCAAGAATGATTGAAAGGAGAGGGGTTTCACTAGCAGCAGTTGGGGTACATATAGCAAACCCTAACTGGGTTGTACTCGCTATAGAGCACCCCACTACAGGCTAGACAATAATAACATTCTGACATGTACGCTGTATGCGTTATACAATACCGTATTCTCCCGGACAAAACACCCCCCCATGATAGAGCACCCCCGGGTAGCTTGTGCGGGGTGGGTGCTATGGGCGACCTCGTTTCTACTATACCCCCCTTTTCGTATGATTTTCTATAACACCCCCCTTTTCGTACAGATTCTTCATTATATTTGTTAACGAGTAGCTGCAAGTATCGAAAAACTCCCCCCCTTGATGAAAATTCGAGGTTCTTTCACTTCGAATCTTTTGAGATTCCCTCCCGCCCACCATTTCGCTATCGCCACGCGCTGGCAAATCTTCCGCTGCAAGTGGCCTGACAGGTGCCACATGGAAATTTCGAGGGTGTGATGACGTTCGAGTCGAAACTCTCATTCGCGCCTCAACGTGTTAAGTTAAAACGCCCTTGGAAACACTCAGCATGTCTAATAAAAAAACTCTTACATTAAAATATACCATATATATGCACCCGGGTATTATGTAGCTTTTTCCTATGAGAAGACACCCCCCTTTTTTTCCCTGTATTTTTAAATCTACCCTAGGGTGTTATGTCCGGGAGAATGCGGTAAACGACATACACATGAAGATGCAAGCTGCAACCAACAGCCAAATAAGGTATCATTATTTTACCATTGGTATCTGGCTAAATGCAAGCAGTAACAAGAGCTGGACACTCCACAATATAGGGCACGGTATAACCATGGGGTTTTCCATTAGAAGAGGTTTTTGCAAATGTACCTGACTACACTAAAGTGCAAAATACGTGCTTTCTGCAACAAAACAGCACGCTTTCATTTGAACTAAAAGACAGCCTTTTGCCGTATGGCACCGAGCGATGTTTTTTTTTCGCACAGAGTGGATAAAACCAGGTGTTCCAGTGCCATTCCCAGTGCACTCTCAAGCCTCCTCCTCCCAACTGCAGTGCAATGTGCCCATCCAGTGTGACCATACTCGTGGGTTTTGTGACTCCAGTCCACTTCTTCAATGATTACTCTTCCACTCCTTAGCTCCTCAGCTCCTCTGTTCATCTGCTCCTCTACTCCTCCACACACCTCACACACAGACTGTGATTGGCGTTTGGAGAATCTCGGGTGTTTTCGTGCTTGGGCTTGCAATCAAGCGCAACACCATGCCATCCATTCTCCATCCCTGACCATCTCTGACCGGCACTGGTCAGTCCAAGCCTGTATCGGCATGGTACCTACCCATACAAGTCAGTTTTTACTTGGAAATCACTTGTGAGATTTCTCAAACAGAACCGATTCACCTTCCCTCCCCTCCTTCCCTTGCCCGCTTGATCATCTTCCTCTCCCTGCCTTGCTCGTCGCCTCAATCATAGCCCGAATCTTCCCCCGGAGAATCGACCGAGCAGTATACCTCAACGAAAACGCATACGACTCATTCCTGGTCACTGCCCCGCCATGCTCCCCCCTCCTGTCACACGGAAAATACCACAGCCGCACGCTCATCCCACACGCGCGCGCTAACGATTCTTTCATCGGCCGCGTGCGGTAGTCCCTCCCCACCTCCCACATGCACCCGCACTCCCCCGTGTTTGCTCTGAGAGGGGTGAAGTCTGGATGGTAGAACTCCAGTAATCCGAGGGCTCGGAATGCCTCGTGCCATTCGTAGTACAGCCCGGTGCCACAGATCCGATCCATGGCTTCTAGCTTGCACCGCCGGCCGTACCCCAGACCTGCACGGCATGAGGGTTTGGGATTTTGCGACATGGGAGGTTTGAGGGGCAACAAGGGGGTGGGGGGAGAGAAGGGGAAGATGAAGCGGTTTGGAGGGATGATGGAAGTGCATGAGGGGGTACAGGCTGGGGGGGGAGACGGAATGGAACGCCTCATGCCATTCGTAGTACAGCCCGGTGCCACAGATCCGATCCATGGCTTCTAGCTTGCACCGCCGGCCGTACCCCAGACCTGCACGGCATGAGGGTTTGGGATTTTGCGACATGGGAGGTTTGAGGGGCAACAAGGGGGTGGGGGGAGAGAAGGGGAAGATGAAGCGGTTTGGAGGGATGATGGAAGTGCATGAGGGGGTACAGGCTGGGGGGGGAGACGGAATGGAACGCCTCATGCCATTCGTAGTACAGCCCGGTGCCACAGATCCGATCCATGGCTTCTAGCTTGCACCGCCGGCCGTACCCCAGACCTGCACGGCATGAGGGTTTGGGATTTTGCGACATGGGAGGTTTGAGGGGCAACAAGGGGGTGGGGGGAGAGAAGGGGAAGATGAAGCGGTTTGGAGGGATGATGGAAGTGCATGAGGGGGTACAGGCTGGGGGGGGAGACGGAATGGAACGCCTCATGCCATTCGTAGTACAGCCCGGTGCCACAGATCCGATCCATGGCTTCTAGCTTGCACCGCCGGCCGTACCCCAGACCTGCAAGGCATGAGAGTTTGGGATTTCGCGACATGGGAGGTTTGAGGGGCAATGAGGGGTTGGGGGGGAGAGAAGGGGAAGATGAAGCGGTTTGGAGGGATGATGGAAGTGTATGAGGGGCTACAGGCTGGGGGGAGATGGAATGGAATGCCCGGAATGCCTCGTGCCTTTCGTAGTACAGCCCAGTGCCACAGATACGACGATCCATGGCTTCTAGCTTGCACCGCCGGCCGTACCCCAGACCTGCACAGTAAGAGACATTGGGGAACGAGGGTTGGGACTTTGAGAGGGTGTGGTTTGACGGGAGTGAAAGCTTGAGGATTAAGGGGTTGGGTTTTGATAGGCCGGGGCGGGGTTGGGGCGGAAAAGGGGGGGAAGAAGAAGGAGAGAGGGGGGTTGCACGGATGTAGAATATGCAGGAGGGCTGCGGAAGGAGCAAGCGTGGTGGTGGGAGAAGGAAGCAAGCACACAACCAACCAGGCACACGAAAAGCGCACCGCAACGCACCGCACGCGCACGCGCGCGCACCTGGGTGGAAGCGGTGGGGAGAGTCGTTTCTGAAGCCGAGGTGTCCTTCCCACTGCAGCGGCGCGTGGGGCTGCAGGTCCCTGTAGAACGTGCTGCCGTTGAGCCTTGGAGTCGACTCAAACACAAAGTGCGGCATGGGGCACGGATTGACTTTTGAGTCGACTCAAAAGTGCGGCATGGGGCACGGATTGACTTTTGAGTCGACTCAAAAGTCACAAAGTGCGGCATGGGGCACGGAAGACAAACGCACACCCACCTGGGTGGAAGCGGTGGGGAGAGTCGTTTCTGAAGCCGAGGTGTCCTTCCCACTGCAGTGGCGCGTGGGGCTGTAAGTCCCGATAAAGCGTGCTGCCGTTGAGCCAGTCTGGTGACTGCGGGCCGTCCACCTTCGCCACTGGCATCTGATGGACGGACGGATGGATGGAGGGAAGGACATGCGGGGAAAGAGGGGGGCCGGAGGGGAACATGAAGGATCCAACACATGGTAGAGCGTCCTGCCGTTGAGCCAGAGCGGTGACTGCGGGCCGTCCACCTTGGCCACTGGCATCTGAAGGATGGACGGATGATGGGTGGGTGGGTGGGTGGGTGGGTGGGTGGGTGGGTGGGTGGGTGGCTGGCTGGTTGGTGCCACATGCTGGCTGGCTGGTTGGTGCCACATGCTGGTTGGTGCCACATGCTGGCTGGTGCCACATCTTTCACATTCAACCATCTTCAACCCTTAACCCTCGACCCTCTACCCTTCAACCCTCAACCCTCTACCCCTAACACTCGACCCTTGACTCTCTACCCTTAACCCTCAACCCTCTACCCTTTGACAAGCGGTTTATCCTCTACTCCACTTTGAGAAACACACCCACTGAATTCCCTCCCCTCCCATTCCCTCCCCTCCCCTCCCCCCCCTCCCCTCCCCTCCCATCCCCTCCCATCCCCTCCCATCCCCACCCAACACCTCCCATCGCCTCCCCTCCCGTCCCCTCCCCCTCCCCCTACCACCCGCCCTGACCAACACCCGACCAACCCTCGCAATACAACCGCGCACGTTGAGGTTTTTCTTCCCAGCAGCCTCATGGCGGGCAACTGCAGCGAGCACGAAGCGCCACATCTGCGCCGTGAAGAAGTGGTTGCCGTCCAGCGGCAGCACCCACCCACCCACCGTTGCACTCCATGCGCTATGCGTTGAAAAACACATTCACTGACATTCCCTCCTCTCCCACTTGCTCCCCTCCCATCCCTTTCCCCTCCCCTCTCCCCCCACCCCCCCATCCACACGCTCCCCAACCCCAGACCAACCCTCCCAACTGCAGTCTCTTACCTTGAGGTTTTTCTTCCCAGCAGCCTCATGGCGAGCGACAGCAGCGAGCACGAAGCGCCACATCTGCGCCGTGAAGAAGTGGTTGCCGTCCAGCGGCAGCACCCACCGCGCGCCGTGCGCTATGCCGTGCTCTATCATGTAGTTGCGCACCTCGTTCAGCTCTGATGGGGCGGGGTGGGGTGGGGAGGGGTGGGGTGGGGTAGGGTGGGGTGGGAAGGGGTAGGGTAGGGTGGGGTGGGGTGGGGTGGGGTAGGGTGGAGTGGGGTTGAAAGGGAGTGGCATAGGCGGCGGCTGTTGAGTGCTGCTCGACCACGTAGCTGCGTACCTTGTTCAGCTCTGGGAAACGGGGGGAAGGTGGGGGGGGGAAGGCGGAAGGGTGAGAAGGGGAAAGGGAAGGAGAGCGAGAAAGTGGCATTAGGTGGTTGAATGCTGTGCGTGTGCTATGCCATGCGCTATCATGTGGTTGCGCACCTTGTTCACCTCTGGTGGGGTTGGGAGGGGTGTCAGGAATGAGGTTGGGATGAGGGAGGGAGGGAAGTGGGAGACAAAAGGGATTTGCGACAGGGGATGAGAGACGGGGGATGGGTGAAGAGGGATGTACATGTGACGGCACGGCAGCAACGCACCTGTGACGGCATCTAGCCATGCGTGCTCAGGCAGGGTGGCAAGGCGCGTGTAGTTGATGCGGAACACCAGGATGTCCTGCGGTGAGGCACGGTGAGGTGTGGTGAGGTGTGGTGAGATTGAGGAGGAGAGGAAGAGAAAGGAGAAGGGGGGAAGAGAAAGGAGAAGGGGGGAAGAGAAAGGAGAAGGGGGGAAGAGAAAGGGGAACGGGGTAAGAGAAAGGGGAAGGGGGGAAGAGGTGTGGTTTTGAAGATGGGATGGGATGCGAGAAAGCAGGGCGATCACGCAGAAGTGTTTTCTTCCACGCAGGTTGATTCGAAACACGTCACTAGGCTGTGCTCACGTGGCTTCTAGTTGCGGCTCTAATTAGGAAAGAATGGAATGGCGAGGGAGGGGGGGGGGGGGGAGGGAGAGGGAGGGGAAAAGGCTCCTGAGGAGCCTCAAAGATGGGAAAGAGAGGAGGGGAAAGGGACGGAAGAAACCTTTTGAGGCACCTCAGAAACACTAGGATGCGATCACGTGGCCACTAGTTGAGGTGCTGAGCGATGGATAGGAAGGGGAGGGTTAAGGGAGAAGAAGCGGGGTGAGAGGGTCGGGAGAGAAGGGAGAAGGTGAGAGTAGGTGGGTGGGAGAGCGGGGAAGGGGAAGGAAAGGGAAGAACGAGAAGGATGGAAGGCGGGTTTTTGAGAAGAGGCCGCATCCATGCTGCACCCGTGCTTCTCACACACCCATGCTACTCCCCTGCTCCACTCACATCCATGCTATTCCATTGCGCACACCCATACTATTTCCCATGCTCCACTCACATCCATGGTGTATCCGTTGTTCAGAAGCAGATCTAGAGTCATCTTCTCAACGGTGCTGTTCACGATATTATTCAGCACCCACAGCCGCCGGCACCCGGGCAGGTGCTTAGGCTCGTACTGAAGCGTGTACTGCAGATTATTATACAGCTGCCCCTCGCATTGTAACGGCGGCATGTCGTTTCCGATCATCCGGTACAGGAAGATACGTGGCACGCTGTGAGTGGACAGCACGCTCGCGCTGCTGATTCCGAAGCTAGTCTCCTCGGTCGTGTGGGTGGCATGAGACGGCGCGGCGGAGCTACCGGAGAAGAGGAATTCTCTTCCCCCGCGAATTAGCAAGACTATAAAGAGTACAGCGGTTGCTAGAACGGCACACGCGAGTCGACATAGGAGCGCGGCTCGTAGTTTCTTGAGAGGAACGCGAGGGGCCTGAGAGGCGCCGGATTGGAGGGAATTTGTCGTTGCGAGGACAGGCGAGGTTGTGTCCTCGTATAGGAGAGACGACCAAGGTAGGCTCCATCGCTTACGTACTTTCTGTTTGCTTGCTGCTGCTGCTGTTGCCATGCCGACGGATGGGCCCAAGAAAAAGGTGTTAATGGAATAATGGCTAGTTGACGGGTGATAATGTCACACGGTCGCTGTTATTGTTGCGGTTCAGTCGTGTCGGCTGGAGCAAGATAAATACCAGAAAACTAGAGGAACTGAATTTCTTCCAATCGCCACTACAACTAATCAAATATGCCACTGCTATTTGCCGCAGCTGAAATCAAATATAACTCCAGACCAGACCCTCGCAGGGTTAGGCCTCCATTCCAGGCAGCGAATCATAGGGGTTGTCGAAACCCGGTGGCGACGCGAAGCGAAGCACACCGAACCGAATGTGGTGGAAGCGGGCAAGCCAGCACCAGCAAATCGAAAGACAGACTTATCGAGGCTCGTGTCTCCCCCCAACAGATTTTCGTGCCTCGGTAGGCCTATTTGAATGACGCGGCAAACTGGACGCGTCTTGATTGGTTCGGTCGATGCGGTATAACGTGGCAGTAGGTTTCGGCTGTGGTTCGGCATGTCAGACACCTGAACCAGATTCGAGGGAAGTAACTGGGGGTGCTGGTACACCGAGATGATTTTTTTATAATCAGTGCACAAAATTTATGGCTGTTGTTGTATTGTTTGGGGGCAAGAAATCAAGGCGTCCTTTTTTCTTGGTACATCACTGCAACCTAGGCCTCATAAATACAGTTGGAAGAGATACAGTAGTGATGCTGAAAGTGCTGACAACCTAAGCAGACTTATAAACGCTCACAAGGGATAAGCATAGCAGCATAATAGGCGGCTTATGCCGGAGGATCGCGACGGGTGCTAGGAAAAAATTGCAGCTACTGTACTTTCTGACTGGCCAGCTCACACATTCTACTCAGCCAGTGCCTTTCACATGTTAGTGCTACCTGCACAAGAAAACGTATTACCGGTACCTCCTGCCACGCATATTACCTCCTGCCACACATATTACCTTCTGCCACACGTATTACCTCCTGCCTGTCTTGTTTGTGAACACTGTCTGCGTGAACCCCCCCAACCCCCCCCTCCCCCCCCCCCCCAACATAATTACCTCCCCCCCTAACATAATTAACTCGTGCCACTAGCACATCTCCCTCTAACCCCTCCACCGCCCTCCTCCCTCCTCCCTGAACATACCCTGCGATCTCCACACCTCCTCTCTCCCTACCTTTCCTTCACTAATCTCTCCCCATCACTCTTTGAGCCCCGGACTGTCTCCCACCCCTTCAGCCGACCCTTCTCTCCCTACACTACCCAATCTCCTCTCCCCTCTTCCCTCCCCTCTCCCCGCCCTGCCCCTCTCAAGTAGGCGTTCTGGGAGTTCAGGGCGTGGTCCCACCACCACCACCACCTGCACCACCGCCAGCATCACCCCCCAAAGCAGCGGGCGTTCTGGGAGTTGGGGGCGTGTTCCCACCACCCGAAGCACCACCAGCAGCAGAATCACTCCCTCAAGCAGCGGGCGGCCACGTGCAACCCTGCTGCATCACCCGTAGCGTCTTCACCACACTACTCATCATCGGGTGCTCAATCGGGTTCCTGCTTTCTGCAAGCGTTCCCCTCACTATTTTCTCCACTTCACTCCTCGTTCCTCTCCCACCTCTCCTTCCGATCCTTCTCTCCCTATTCACCCTCCCCTCCCCTCTCCCCGTCCCTCTCAAGTAGGCGTTCTGGGAGTTCAGGGTGTGGTCCCACCACCACCACCACCAGCATCGCCCCCCGAAGCAGCGGGCGGCCACGTGTACGCGTGCTGCATCACCCGCAGCGTCTTCACCACACTACTCATCATCGGGCGCTCATACGGGTTTCTCGCCGTGCAGTGCAGCACCAGCAGCGCTGCCTTCTGCAAGCGTTCCCCTTACTGTTTTCTCCACTTCACTCCTCGACCCTCTCCCACCTCTCTTTCGACCCTTCTCTCCCAACCCTCCCTCCCCTTCCTCTCCACGTCCCTCTCAAGTAGGCGTTCTGGGAGTTCGGGGTGTGGTCCCACCACCACCACCACCAGCATCACCCCCCGAAGCAGCGGGCGGCCACGTGTACGCGTGCTGCATCACCCGCAGCGTCTTAACCACACTGCTCATCATCGGGCGCTCATACGGGTTCCGCGCCGTGCAATGCAGCACCAGCAGCGCCGCCTTCTGAACCCCCCGCGCCGGCCACTCCCTCCCGAGCCTGGGATCCATCACCTCCTCCACGCGCTTCCGATCCGCCAGCATAGGCTCGGCCCATTCCAACAAGTCGCCCTCATCCTCCTCCTCGTCGTCCTCGTCCCCTGCTTCGGCGTCCATCACCTCGCTGTTGCCCCGGGTCCTGCTTTGCTTCCTGGACTCATCCTCCTCATCTGTGGGGAAGTCGCTGGCTTGCCGGCCCGATAGAAGCTCTAGAAGCAGCACTCCGAAGCCGTACACATCGCTCTTGGGAGTCAGATGGCCTGGTGGTGGAAAAGGGAAAAATGTGGGAAAGGGAAAAGGGTGAGAAAAGGATGGAAAAAAGAGGTGTGTGGAGGCAAGCGTGAGTAGAAGCTCCTGCAGCAGCACTCCGAAGCCGTACACTTCGCTCTTGGGGGTCAGATGGCCTGGGTGGTGCAAACGGGGAAAGTACGGGAAAGGCAGGGGGAAGAAGGGTGTGTGCAGGCAGGGGTAAACAGAAGCTCCAGCAGCAGCACTCCGAAGCCGTACATGTCGATTTTGGGGGTCAGATGGCCTGCTCGGTGGGGATGGAGTGAATAATAGGCAGCCAGGGTCGGCATACCGCACGGGTTTCTGAGTCGGTATATATACATATATGCACATGTATATACACACACACATACATATGTATATATGTACATGTATGTACACATATTTAAAAGCACGCATGCACGCTCGCACGCACCAGTGAAGAGGTAATCGGGGTCGGCATACCCGTACGTGCCCACCACCTGCATGGTCACTGATCACGTGCTTTGAAGCGCCTCAAGCCTCGTCTCATCTCCCACGCACAGGACGCTCATACACACACACACACGCATTGACACGCACCAGTGAAGAGGTAGTCGGGGTCGGCATACCCGTACGTGCCCACCACCTGAGTGGTCACGTGCGTCTTATCCCCCACCGGGCCGTCCTTGGCCAGCCCAAAGTCCGCCAGCTTGGGGTTGAAATCCTGCATCGGGGAGAGCGGGGGAGGGAAGGGGACAGCCCAAAGCCTGAAGGAAACAGGGAGAGAAGCCTAAAAGTCACCTTTTGAGTCGACTCAAAAGTCAACAGCCCCCCAGAGCATCAGACATTCCAACCCCAAGCCCCTCCCTCTTCTCGTCGTGTCTTCTCTCTCTCACTCTCTGCCCCTTCCACCCACCCCCTGTCCCCCTGCCCCCCTGTCCCCCTGCCCTCCTCCCTCACCTTATCCAGCAGCACGTTGGCGGCTTTGAGGTCGCGGTAGATGATGGGGCGGTGGGGGTTCTCATGCAGGTACACCAGGCACTGCGCCACGCCCAGTGCTATGCGCATGCGCAGGCCCCATGGCAGCGGGGTGCCCACGTCTGCAGGGGCGGAGGGGGAGGGGGAGAGGAGGTGAGTATGGAAGACAGGACTCTGAGACGTGTCAATATTTGTGGCCTTGAGCAGCGCTATGCGCATGCGCAGGCCCCACGGCAGCGGGGTGCCCACGTCTGCAGGGGGGAGCGGGGGGGAAGGGGAGGGGAGGGGAGGGGAGGGGAGGGGTTCTCATGCAGGTACACCAGACACTGCGCCACGCCCAATGCTATGCGCATGCGCAGGCCCCGTGGCAGCGGGGTGCCCACGTCTGCAGGGGGCAGGAGGGGGGGAAGGGGGAGTGGAAGTCGAAGAGATGTCAATACTCGTATCCACGCCCAGCGCTATGCGCATGCGCAGGCCCCATGGCAGCGGGGTGCCCACGTCTGCGGTGGGGGGAATAAGGGAGAGGGAGGGCGAGTGCAGGGAAGTTGAAAGGCATACTGTTGAGATGACTCGCCACGCCCAGTGCTATGCGCATGCGCAGGGGCGAGGAGGAATTGAAATGAAAGGCAGCCTCCTGAGACGTCTCTGCAATCGCAGTGCTATGCGCATGCGCAGGCCCCATGGCAGCTGACTGCCCACGTCTACAGGGGCAGAGGGGGGAGGGGGAGGGAGAGGGGGAGGGGGGAAGGGAGGGGGAATGAAAGACAGGTTAATGAAACGCCTCGATTGATCTACGGCTATGCGCACGGTGGACATGCCTCCGGAGAGAGGGGGGGGGGGGGGGGGGGGGGGGGGGGGGGGGGGGGAGGGGGAGGGGGGGGGGATGGAATTGTGAGAAGGGAGCACCCCTTGATCACATGTCACATGCGCATACCGCGTGCATGCAGACCAAGGTCCCCCCAGCCCACTCGCACTTACTGCGTTTCCTGTTTGGTTGCGAGAAGAGGAAGAGGGAAGCCCCCCTCGTTGTATGCACACATGCACGCATGGCCACATGCACGCATGCATACATGCCCACATGCATACATGCCCACATGCATACATGCACGCATGCATACATGCCCACATGCATACATGCACGCATGCATACATGCCCACATGCATACATGCCCACATGCATACATGCCCACATGCATACGTGCCCACATGCATACATGCCCACATGCATACATGCGCACATGCATACATGCCCACATGCATACATGCCCACATGCCTACATGCCCACATGCGTACATGCCCACATGCGTACATGCCCACATGCGTACATGCCCACATGCGTACATGCCCACATGCGTACATGCCCACATGCATACATGCCCACATGCATACATGCACGCATGCATACATGCCCACATGCATACATGCCCACGTGCACACGTGACATGCCCACATGGACGCATGCCCACATGCCCATATGCCCACTCGCCCACTCGCCCACTCGCCCACATGCACATGCACACATGCACACATGCATACATGCGCAAATGCACAAATGCACACATGCACACATGCACACATGCACACATGCACACATGCACACATGCACACTCGCCCACATGCACACATGCACACATGCACACATGCACACATGCACACATGCACACATGCACACATGCGCACATGCACACATGCCCACATGCACACATGCCCACATGCACACATGCACACATGCACACATGCACACATGCACACATGCACACATGCACACATGCACACATGCACACATGCACACATGCGCACATGCACACATGCCCACATGCACACATGCACACATGCACACATGCACACATGCACACATGCACACATGCACACATGCACACATGCACACATGCACACATGCGCACATGCCCACATGCACACATGCACACATGCACACATGCACACATGCGCACATGCCCACATGCACACATGCCCACATGCCCACATGCCCACATGCCCACATGCCCACATGCCCACATGCCCACATGCCCACATGCCCACATGCACACATGGACACATGCCCACGTGCACACATGCCCACATGCACACATGCACACATGCCCACATTCCCACATGCCCACATGCACACATGCCCACATGCACACATGCACACATGCACACATGCACACAGCCACGCATGCACACAGGCAAGAATGCAAGGGCGAACCTGAGAAGAGGTAGTGGTCGAGCGAGCCGCGCTCCATGAGCTCGTAGACGAGCAGGCGCGAGCCACCCTCCATGCAGTAGCCTATGAGCGTCACTAGGTTGGGGTGGCGCAGCGTGCCCAGCATGTTCACCTCCGCCTTTAAGGGCGGTCGTGGGGGGACGAAGGGGGGATGGGGGGAGAAGTGAGGGAGAGGGGTTGCGGGAAGCACTAGGTTGGGGTGGCGCAGCGTGCCCAGCATGTTCACCTCCGCCTTTTCAGGTGTCATGTGGGGAAGGAAAACGAGGGAGGACGAAGCGGGAGGAGTGGAAGGGGATGGATGGAATGGGGAGGGGTTGGATTGGGGAGGGGGATGGTAGCATACCATCCATTCCTTATGGCCTTGCAATCCATCCTCGTTCAGCTTCTTCACAGCCACTACCATCCGCGTCATTCTCCCAAGCTGGCTATTGAATATTCTCACAAAAACCAGAGGAGGAATGGGGGGAAAGCAAAGCACTGGTAAGAACATACCATCCATTCCTTGTGGCCTTGTAACCCATCCTCGTTCAGCTTCTTCACAGCCACAACCATCCGCCCACTCGCCTCCTCCGCTCCTCCCCCACGCCCCCCTCCCCCTCCCCTCCCCCCTCTCCCCCCACCCCCTCCCCCCCCGACCGCAATCACCCCTTTATAAACCGACCCGAACCCCCCTTCACCGAGCTTCAAGTCATCCCTAAACCCGCACGTGCCCTCTCGAAGCTCTCCATAGGAGAACGACCGGAGGCCCTGGGAGGACGCATGGGAAGAGGAGTAATTCCCTAGGTCGTCTGCTGCTGTCGGCAGCACGGACCGCAACGGCTGGTTGTTGTTATTGCTGTTGCTGCTGCTGTTGCTGTAGTGGCCTTGCGGTGTGACCGGGCCTGCGGGCGAGATGGGAGCAGCAACAGGACTGCGACCCGATGTGGTGGAGGATGGGGAGGGTGGTTGTGGGATGGCTATGGACGGGTGGCTGGATGGTGTTGTTCCCTGCTGCTGCTGGGGGTGGTTTGAGTTGCTGCCACCGCTGTTCCCGCTGTTCCCGCTGTTCCCGCTGTTCCCGCTGTTCCCGCTGTTCCCGCTGTTTCTGCTCGTCCTGCCAGCGTCAGTGCCTCCCCCCTCGCCGCCTTTGGGGGAGATTCCATCCGCAAAGTGCGGATTCCCCGCAGGGGGAACAGCAGGAGCGGAGGCGGCGGCGGGGGGAGATGCAGGGGGGTTTACAGCGCCTGGTTGGTTCGGGATTGGCTCGGCAAGATCCGGACCTGGTTGGGAAGCAGGGAGAAAGTCCGGCCGTGGGAGGTTGGGTAAGGGAAAGAGGTTTGGTTGGCAGGGTATGTGAATGTGAAGAAAAAAACGGCACGGCAAAGAATCACAAGTGCATTACATCGCATGGAACATTTCAAGGGAGGAGAGACGAGACGAAACGACAATCACACGCGATTCTCTGCTCTGCAAAGCACTAGGTAACGAGGAGGCATAGTGCAAAGCACTATTAATCTGGTTGGTTGGGTGGTACACCATCAAGGGGTAGGGTAGCACGAGGAATGAGTAGCGATCTGTAATCAGCAATGAGACATGCGCAGCAATCGACTAGGTTCAATCAGAAAACGTTTTCCTGTTTTCCGCCTCTCGGTTCTCAGCTCTCGACTCGGCAACCGTCTGTCTGATAGCTGCCCCTTTCTCCACCCCCCGCTCCCCCCCTCCCTCTCCTCCCGTTTCCCCCTTTTCCCTCCCCACACCACACAACAATCCCCCACCCTGGACCCCACTTTTCCTTTCCCCCTTTCTCCTGATCATGACGCAAAATAAGAAATTCCTGATCGCTCACTTCAACCCGCACCCCGCTCCGCTGCCATGCCCTTCGCGCTTTTCCGTCTCACCGTTTCAGTTAGTTATCGTGCGTGGGATGGTTCATACCTACCCCGAGGATTCAACTCCACGCGCGAGCACGAGAGGCTACATCGAATTCCCGAACCACGAAAATACGATCCTCGCGATCAACGTTACCAGACCGCGACGATCGAGAGTGTGTCGCAAATGCATCAACGGAATGTTATTATCTAACTGTTGCTTGATCATAAAAAGAAGGAAGGGAGAGTCGATTCCCTCACCCTGAGGAATGCTGTCGTTGGGTTCGAATACCGGACTCGCTTGTTGCTGTTGCTGCTGCTGTTTCTGCTGCTGCTGCTGCTGCTGCTGCGGTTGATGAGACTGGTCCGCTGCTTTAGGAGGTTGTTTCTCGCCAACCACTCGCGTCTCGACGGAGAAACAGCTCCCCATCTCCTAACCCTTCTATTCTTTCTACTTCTTCCTCCTCCTCTTCCCCTCACCTCTTCCTACTCCGCCGCCGCCGCCGCCGCCCTAAAGGCGCGGGCGAGTCGGAGCGCTCACCGCAATCTAACGGCTAGACTAATCTACCCGTTTTGCGTAGAAACGTGGGAACGAAAGGACGGGGAAACGGAAGACGGACGAGCAGAAATGGGGAACGACAAAGGAGGGGGAGGAAATGAGCAAGCCAGGAGATACTAGCGGAGGAACAACCACAGTGAGCAAGAAACTAAAGACGTTGATAATGACGACACTATCGCGACAGATTACAAACTGAAACGAGTAGGAAATTAACGTATCCCACATTAGGGTTACTCAGACCAGAAGCAGCTGTCGCGGCAGCTTCTTGGGTTTGAATGCTCTTGGCCATTGCCGTTATTCCTCAGCACGATGGTAAGACTTAAGCACTTCTTAGTAATGCTTAGTACCTCTCCTCGCAACCGAGCTCTAACCTGACATTTACATAGTTGCTTGTCAGCCACAAAGCAGCAGCCTGCCTAGGACGGTAGAGGAAGAAATTAGGTTCTTTTTTCCCAGCATCAGCAGCACCCCCTTCGTCAATTTGATTCATCTTGGTGGATGCTGGTGCTGCTAAACTAAAATTTTCAAATTTACACGTCTGTGGATACCCGTCCGTTACAAGCACACAACGAATCAGCCTAGCGCATCAACAGCAAGTGGTGTACACTACAGTGTGTGTGGTGGTGATACCGTATGAGTTGGCTGGGCAGGAGGACAACTTGTTTCTTTTCCCCCACCTTGCTTTTCCCTCATCTCACCCACACTCGCTCCCACCCACCCACTCTCACTCACACATACACTCTCTCTCCATCCACTATCACTCATGCACACTCTCCACATCTCACTACTCGACTGTATCCAACTGTCGATTCTGGAGTTCGTATTCTCCAACGAAACAATAAGTGCACATTCTGGATTGTCCTCAAATTTTAGCCCGCATGTGCTGCTCGGAATTGTGGATTCCACCGGAGTTTACAGTGCTCTCCGTTGAAATTGGGAAGCTTGAAACTGGCTTGGAACTAGCTATCCTGCGCTGAGGAGTCGGTTCTGGAAATTTGTAAATCCCCCAAGATACTTAGTATATGTTATCTGGGCCTATTATCACCCACATCTGTAATTATTCCACGTACAGAAGTGTAAACCCGCACATGAAAATTTGTGTTTGTCCCACTGGTGCGCGTCCACTGACCAGTCGTGTCGCGTTGTCGGGGTCGCTCCGCGGTTACAATTTCTGCAGCAGACCAATCACAGATGACGGTGGAAGGCAGCCCTACCACTGTACGGAGGTCAAGCACGAACATCCGAATTGATTAGTTCGAAATAAGTGTACAACACGTGTCAAGTGCAAATGGTCGTCAGAACAAGCACAGCAACCTACGTACATGTTGTCAAAGGCAGCTGCAGCAGAAGCATCAGCCAGAGTTTGAAGGAGATGGAGGCCATAACTGCTAAAAAGATATGAAGTTGCTGGAAGTTCATGCCTCCCTGAGCCTGCAGGTATTGCTCGACCACACCAGCATTAGTCAGAGAAACTTCCATGCCATGCGACGGGCATGCCATAACTGTAATCTCCCTGGGCTTGCCATGCATGCAACGGGCAGGAACTTCCAGACACAAAAGCTGCTTCCTTTTACGGTAGGTGAATAACACAATGCCTTCCCTTCAAGGCACACCGAAGCTGTGAACTGGGACCAGCGAAAAGGATGACCCACCCCAGTGGGCCCAAGGGATGCTCTGCTCGTACAATGAAGCAGCCTGAAACAACAAACACCAAGGATGAAAAGCCCAGGGAGATTGATGGGAAACATATGGATGGGAAAAGCAGGGAGAGCAGCTGCAGGGGAATGGGGCAACAAATGAGATGGTAATTGTCCGCACCTGATAGACGGACGACAGGACAGAAAGTGCAAACGGAGAGAAGTCAAGGAAATGTGTTAAGCTGTTTTTTATTCCGTTCCCCTTTTGTGTTCCCTCCCCCTCCATTTCCGTTCTTTCGCCTTTGTTTGTACCTTCAACTTTCAGAGAGTCGTAGCAACAAGCACAAGTAGCAAGCAACACTACATGTGCGTGCGAGCCTACTGCTGCAAAATCGCATGTTGGTTCTTTCTCTCTCGCTTTGTTTTCTCTCTTGCTCTGTTTTCTCCCACGTCTCTCCCGAGTCCCGACCAATCAACTGTCTTGTCCTCATGATGAGATACCAGCACACAAGCACGCACGCGCGCGCGCACGCACACACGGCATTGCCTCTTACGGACAAAATTGGCCAGCACACTCCATCACTCGCCTTCTGAGCAATGTCCAGCCTCACATATCAACTTAGAGACGCCTCAAAACCAGTTCCATGCCACTCTGAGAGAGCAAACAGCTGGGGGCAAACCACTGCCCCTTGAACCCCCTAACAGCTGCCCCCTGCGCACTACCCATTGACCACTGCCGCCCACACAGCTCATACCTTTTCCTTAAGTGACTGAGGGCGATCTTCTGAACATGCGTGCAGCTGCCGACTCACGTAACCTTGACGCACCAAGAGCCATGCCGCCCGCCAGCCCTCCCTTCTTCTTGCTCCCCTCAGCTACCCCAACAGCAGCATCAGTACCATGATTACTCCCCCCACTTCCTCCTCCTCCTCCTCCGCCTCCTCCTCCTCCTCCTCCTCCTCCTCCTCCTCCCACGGACCTCGATCCAGGCCCGTATCCCAATTCCCTCTCCCCACTGCTGCTCGTCCTACCTTCATCACACCACAACGCACTGTTAATGCTGTTCATGCTGCTGCCACTACCAAACTTGCTTGCAAACGAGCCTCCCAGTTCACTCCCCCTGGCCTCTCCCCCGCGCCTACTGCTCCCCCGTCCTGCTTCTTCCCCCCCGCTCTCCCCTCCGCTGTTGTTCCCCCCGCCGCCGCCCCTGTTGGCGCGACTGCGCGCGGGGCTACCCCCAACGCTGCCCTGACTGTAGCTCTGCGGAATCTTGTGCGGATAGGCAGGAGCGTGCCCGTGCGCGTGCGCGTGCGCGCCCCTATTCGCGAGCACGTCGGGACGACAGGGCCACGCCGGAGCCCCGTCACCCCCTCCGCCTACGCCTGCGCCCGCGTCCGCGAGAGCCTCACCCCCGCCAGCGCCCGCCCCCGCATGCTCCGCCGCATGCTCCATATCTCCTAGCGACAACGAAACGCGGTGGCCCCTTCCGCCCGCCCCCCCGCCAGCAGCCGCGCCGGAAGCCGACGGGTCGCGGTAGCCCTGCGGCGGACCGCCAGGGACATGCGCCGCTTCCGCGTGGTGGCGGGAAGGCGCGGGCCTGCGCGCGCTGGGCGGAAGAGAAGTGCCAACAGCGGGGTAGGGATGGCTTCCCCTTTGCGCGGTTGCGACCCCCGCACTTCCCCCATTCCCGCCCACTCCTCCGCCGCCGTCACTGCCTTCGTCATCCCCCCCCGCCAACAGTGAGTGCGACCGCAGGTGGCTGGCGGAGCCCGCCCTCCCTCCGCCGCCCCGCTCCCGGTCGCTCCCGAACCCCCCCCGTCCGAAGTCATTGCTGCCCGCGCCGGAGCCTGCTTCCATCCGCCTGCGCGCCCTTTCCGCGCGGTACATTGCGCGGAGGCTCTCGCGCTCCATCATCCGATACCGCGCAGCGTGCAGCTCCCCCGTGGGCGCAGTACTCGTGCGCTCAAACACCACCGCTTCCCCTTCCCCCCCACCCTCCACCGCCCCCCCTTCCCACTGCCTCGGCTCCGCGTCGTTCCCGCCGCCCCCAACACCCCCCGCGGTCCTCCTTCCGCCTGGCCTCCGCGCGCCCCCTTCCCAGCCCGCACCTGCTCGGCGCGCCTCACCGTCCGCTTCCCCCTCGTCGTCGCTCCCTGCCCCGGCAAAACCGGCCCGCGCGGCTCCCCAATCCCCGGATCCCCCGACCGTCCGCCTGACGGGGTGCAGCGATTGCGAGCGCGGGAAGGCCATGGCGGCGGGCGCACCGCCTCCGCCTCCGCCTGCGCCTCCTCCCCCGCCGGCTCCCCCTGCGCCAGGCAGCGCCGCCATTTGCATGGGGTTGCGGATGGACGAAGTGACGACCGACGGGACCGGCCGAACGTGCAGCCGCGGCGTGCGCCGACGCTCGATCATCGAACCCCCCGCCCCCGGCCCAACCCCGCGCAGACTATACTGCCTCCCCCATTCCTCCGCGTCCTCCCCACCTCCCCCGGCATCGCTCCCCGCCCGCACGGAATGACTCTGAGGGAACCTACCGCGCAAATTGTGCTGCAGACTTTGCTGCCGGCCCCAGCTGGCCGCGCCCGCCGGGCCGGCAGTTCCGGCCGGCTGCCCGTTCCCGTTATCCGCCAATTCCTCCCCGCTGCTGTCCCCGCCGTCCCCCGCCTCCTCTCCGCCGTCCTTTTCAAGACTGGAACTGGAGCTTCGTTCCAAGCGGGAAGTTCGGGTTACGCCGAGGCTGTTCTGCCGAACCCAATCCGCCGCGGCCGCGGCTCCCTCGGCTCGGGTCGCCGCGCTTCCGCGCAGGCTGTTCTGCCGCATCCAGCTCCATTCCTCCATTCCGGAAGCTCCGCCTCCGCCTCCGCCCGCGCCTTGCGCCCGGTTGCTGTTCCCGCCTCCGGGTTCGCGCTCGCTCACTCCGCGCCTGAGAAGCCGCGATCCGCCACTGCTCATTGCTTTGGTTCCACCCCCGCCGCCGCCGCGGAAGCCGCCGATGCCGCTGTTGCCGGCGCCCCCTCCTGTCACGCGGCCGACCTGCTTGCTGTGCGCGCCGGGGGCCGAGACGGAGTGACTCCGTGGAAACGCGGAGAGCGCGGGGCGGCGGACAGGCGCGGGAGCGGGGTCGTCGCCTGAATGGGCGCGCTCAAGTGTGCGGAACTCCGCGCCAGCGGAGGAGGCGGCGACGGTGGCGGCGAATCCAGACCCCGAGGCGGGGAAAACGCCAGTGACGTCGGATGCGGTCCGTGCGACCGCTGCGCGATTGGCCGGCTGATGTGGACGGGCACGCGAACGAGCCCAAACGTCGTCGTCGTCGTCATCGCCGTCGTCGCCGTCGTCGTCGCTAGGCTCCAAATCCTCGTCGTCGTCGTCGTCCGCCGTCATAACGGGCCCGCATCCGACGCTGCTGCTCCGAGCGAGCATAGATCGGCCAGAAACAATAGCCGCGGACGGGACCGCCGTGCCGCCTATACTCGACGCGCGCTCCGACGATTTTTGGGACCACGGGGCGAGCTTATCGGCTTCTGCGGCCTCCCAGACATCTCGGGGAGACGGAACGACCTCGGCTGGCGGAGGCGCGTTGGCTGGAGCGTCTGCGGCGGCTACGGTCACGCGCAATCGACGGATGCGCCGCAGATTAATGTCGAGGCCCATTAGGGACGGAGGGTGACGAACGCGTGTGGACGCTGGGGTGTAGAAAACGAATGCAGGGCCGGTCGGTGCTGGCAGGTAGGTTAAATAATTTCAAATTAAACTGAAATAGGACAGGCTGAGGAAGCTGGCATGGTGCTTGTACATCACCTGTGTACTCATTTTAAGGACCTAGTGCACTAGCCGTCGCAATAGCTGTTGAGGAGCTAGACACGGCGGTTCCTTGCCCTAGTTGCCCTCTTCCGTGCGAGTACGAAGGAAGGGTCGTATGCAGAACCAGGAGAAATTAGGGCTCCTGGGCATTAGCTTCTGTGCTGTTATCTATCGCTGTGTTTGCGATCGTGGTTTGGATGTGAGAGAGCAGATAGGAAATGGCTGGTATGACCGACAATGGTGTGTCGTGGGTGGGATGGGAAGACAACCTGCCTGCCTAACTTCCCAGGAGTGGCTGCGTTTCAAAGCAAGCCTTGGATTCTCCATTTGAGCAGCAGAGGTTGGGGATTGGGGAAATGGGGGGTGCGCACCAGCAATGCCGCGATTCTCCCAAGGGGATCACGAATCCACCAGAAGCAGAAGGGCAGCAACAACAGAAGAACAGCAGCGGCGATTTTCCACTTCTGGCACTACACTTCGGCATGAAACGTTTTCCTGCCCGATTGAACTAGGCGCAAGGGGTACAGTGTTCAACCAAGCAGCAAACGAATCGAAATCTGTGTTTTAATGATGGGAACTGGTGTTTACACCTGGGAAATAGTGTATGCAGTTTACCAAACCAAACGGACGGCTTGGTCGCTCAGGGAAGCTCCACGGTCTGGCCAGGCCAAAGCAAGCTCAGGCGGTAGTGGCTGTAAAAGTGATGGTATGGAAGAGGTTTGGTTTGGTCTGCTGGCCATTTCATGTGGCGCACGGGTGTGTGCTGCGTGTAGTTTGATTCCCCCCCACACCAGACAGCCCCATCAACCACAGGCCCGCAGCTTGCCGGACCTGACCACGTCAGGTGGGGTGGCTGAATAGGTCGGCTCGGAAATATGGTTTGTTTGGTGAAGCACACACCACCTGAACTTGAGCTGCGCTGTTCGGGCTTGTCTGTCATACGGTATAAGCGCAAGCGGTATTCTTTAGCGGGACTTCAAGAGTTACCCACATACACTTCCTTTCAGATGTTCAAAATTGAAATGAAACACGTATACATGTAATATTCGTCTGTACTTACTATATACAGCGAAAACATTTTTACTGTAATCCTTGCGTGAAATCTTGTCTACAAATTTGTCGTGTCCCAACACAATCATCAATTAGCAACGGCATGTGATACAAGGTATAACACACGTACGTACACAGGTGTAGATGCACCACATCCAGCCAAGCTTCAGCCGAGCGGAATGCCATGTCGAATCGGGAGGTCCCCATGACTGACCCATTCAACCTTTCGAAGAGCTGCTCATCGAATCGCCTAAAGTCATCCAACTTGTAGTAAGCTATAGTCATCACCTACCATGTCGACCGCCTCGACCATTCTAGGCGGTTGCGATTCGCTATTGAGGTCAGAGCTTGCAAACGCGGACTCGGAGCATCCATGTGTCCTTACTCGCGACCAGCAACAGCCGTTTTCACACGAAAACAGGGCAAACCCCGCCATGCTTCCAAGGTTCGTTCTTTCCGTCGTTTATCGTCAAATTAGGGAGGCTTTACAACAAGCAGAATCAACGGAAACACCAATTGCAGCATCAGCAGCAGCAGCAGCAACAGCCACCTTCTCGGTCCCGTCTGTCCCCACTGGGTGACGACCAAGCATCAGCATCAGCAGCAGCAGCAGCAGCAGCGTGAGCGTGAGCGTGAGCATGAGCATGAGCAGCAAGCGTCCGTCGTTCCTGCTCGCATGGGCTGTAGTCGCCACCGCGGCCGCTTTCACCGCCTTCCTCCTCCTCCTCGTGCTCATGCTCTCGCCCTCCACGCTCCCGAGCCTCAGCCAGTCGTTCGGCGTGCGAGGCTCGGGCTATCCGAACCAGGTTGCTGCGGGGCAGGTGTCGCGGGTTCGGAGAACGTCGACCGACCGGCAGCAGCAGCAGCAGCAACTGCAGCAAGTGCGGTGGGGGGAGCGCGGTGGGGAGGGAGGGGAGGACGGAGCGGCGTGCAATGATTGGATTCACGTACCTTTGAAGGAGCGTGGGATTCACAACACGAGGAAATGGAGCCCTGTGAGTCGATAGATTGCTGCCATCCACGTGATGTTCTAGTTGACTCTATAGTATTAATATGCCTGTTAAAGAGCGTGGTGTTCCCAACACGAGGAAACGGAGCCCTGTGAGTGATGTCGTTGCTTCATTGCCTGTTGCCATTCCACCACGCAACGCGCACAGGGCTTCATTGCCTGTTGCCATTCCACCACGCAACGCGCACAGTGCTTCATTGCCTGTTGCCATTGCCTGATTATATGCCACCACGCCATCAGCGTGTGAATGGTGTCGTTGCTTCTTCTGCTACCTCTACTGCCCTCTCTTCTGCCCTCTCTTCTGCCCTCTCTTCTGCCCTCTCTTCTGTCCTCTCTTCTGCCCTCTCTTCTGCCCTCTCTTCTGCCCTCTCTTCTGCCCTCTCTTCTGCCCTCTCTTCTGCCCTCTCTTCTGCCCTCTCTTCTGTCCTCTCTTCTGCCCTCTCTTCTGCCCTCTCTTCTGCCCTCTCTTCTGCCCTCTCTTCTGCCCTCTCTTCTGCCCTCTCTTCTGCCCTCTCTTCTGCCCTCTCTTCTGTCCTCTCTTCTGCCCTCTCTTCTGCCCTCTCTTCTGCCCTCTCTTCTGCCCTCTCTTCTGCCCTCTCTTCTGCCCTCTCTTCTGCCCTCTCTTCTGCCCTCTCTTCTGCCCTCTCTTCTGCCCTCTCTTCTGCCCTCTCTTCTGCCCTCTCTACTGCCCTCTCTACTGCCCTCTCTTCTGCCCTCTCTTCTGCCCTCTTTTCTGCCCTCTCTTCTGCTCTTTGTATTGCTCTCTGTGTTGCTCTCTGTGCTGCTCTCCGGTGCTGCTCCCTCTGCCTCTCTCTCGTGATCTCTTTGCTTCTCTCTCACTCCCAAAATTTCTGCTTCTCCTGCCCTGATGTCTCTGCTTCTCTCTCTTCTTCTCTATCTTCTTCTCTCTCTGCTTCTCTCTCTGCTTCTCTCTCTGCTTCTCTCTCTGCTTCTCTCCCTGCTTCTCTCTGCTTCTCTTCCTGCTGTTCGTCACAAACTCTTCTCCCCTTTCTTTTCCCTCCCCCTCCCCGTCGCCCCTTCGTCCCCAACCTTTCCGCCCTTCCCCCTACCCCTTCCCCTCCCCCTTCCCCTCCCCCCCCGCGCAGTGGATGCCTCCGCTCTCTCCCTGCCGCGTGCAGGGCCTGCCCATCGAAGCCGTAGAGCCAGACTTGAATTTCCGCCACGGGTTCACGCTGGGGTATGTGGATTATGAGGAGGACAAGATGCACCTGCTGCCGTACCTCCGCGCTGCTCTTGACCACCGCATGCACCGCAGGTGGGTGGGCGCGTGTGTAAGCGGTGGGGAGCGGGGGAGGGGGGATAGAGAGAGAAGGGGGACGGGTGGACGATATGGGAGTGTTGGGGAGCAGAAAGGACTGCCTTTTGAGTCGACTCAAAAGTCAACAGGACTCGGGTGCGGAAGGGGCCACTGTGAGCACCAGTTGCTGTCATGCCTCTCCCTTGTGCTGCTGCTGCTCAATGCTCATGTCATGTGCTTGATTTGAGACGTCTCTAAACACTCTCACTTCTGCTGCTGCTGCTCAATGCTCATGACATGTGCTTGCATTGTGGGTGGGTGGGTGCATGAGAGATGGGGAAGAGGAGAGGGAGCGAGGGTTGGATCAAGGGGGAAGGTAGGGGAGGGAGGGTTGTGTGTTTTGCTTACAGGTAGGGAAGGGAGGGTTGCGTGTTTTGCTTACATCGCAAGTCTCCCTCTGCGTCCCTCTCCCTCTGCGTCCCTCTCCCTCTGCTCCCTCTGTGTTCACTCCCTCTGCCCCCGTTGCCTCTTTCCTCATTCCGTTTCCGTTTCCGTTTCCGTTTCAAATTCGAAATCACTGCGTTAAAAATGAAACAATCAGGCACTCACCCTCCCATTTTTCAAAAAGCCGCTCTCACTGCATTTCACACAAGCCCACCGCACTCAACCGGGCATAACCTGACCCCTTCTATACCCCAATGCGTCCCACCACACTCCACCGCACCCAAACACACCCCATTCCCTCTCTTGCTCTCGCCAGTCCTCGGCGAGTGCTGATAGACTTTGGGGCGAACGCCTTCAGCACGAGTGTGACGTGGTTCCTGCGCATGTACCCTCTCGAGTTCACCGAGATTCACGCCTTTGAGGTTCAGCAAGGCATGTTTGTCGTGCCCCAGCCCAACGACCAGGTGCTTTAAGCTGGATGGATGAGTGGGGAACGGTGAACGGCGATGTGCTTTGAATGAATGGATGAGTGGGTGGGCGTGTGTGTGTGTGTGCGGGCCGGGTGTGAGGTTGGACGCGTGTGCTGTTTTCGGGGCCTGCTGGGATGCTTCGTGTGGTTCCTGCGTATATACCCTCTCGAATTCTCCGAGATTCATCCTTTTGAGGTTCAACCCGGCATGTTCGCCATGCCCCAGCCCAGCGACCAGGTGAAGGGCCATGGGGAGGAATGGTTAGAGAGGAAGTTGGAGGGAGGATGGAAGAAGGAGGAAGGAAGGGGTGGGATGGGGTGGGATGGTGGGGTGGTAAATGTGCGGGTAATTGTGAAGATGAGTGGAGTGTGACAGTGCCGTGCAATGTGCACGTTGTGTTGCTTTTAGTCTCTGGAATTCTGCTGCTCGTTTCCACACTTGTTACGTTTCCTCGTTCTCCTTTTCCTGGTTCAGTCCGCTTCTGTCACCCCTTTCATGCGGTACACTCCTTTCTCTCCTGCCACCCTTTTCCAACCATTTCTTCCTCTCTTCCTCCGCAACCCCTTTGACAACTATCTTTCGTTCCTCCCTTTCCTCTCTATGCTGTGCTCTGCTGCACGGTCCTGTGCTGTTCTGTGCGGTGCCGTGTTTCTTTGGCAGCCCCTCAATACGAGTGCCATGACCTCAGGTTCGCGCCTAAGGCCCAAGGGGCAGGGGGCGGGCCCTATCCCTGGGTGGATGCTGAAGCGCATTCGCTCATACAACATCATGGTTGGGATGGTTGACAACCCTGAGAAGGTGCGCTGGTGCTGGCAGTGCTGGCTGGTGGTGATAGTGATGCTGGTTTTGAGGCGACTTAACCAGGAGATTGGGTGTATTTTCGGGTGGATGCTGGAGCGTAATCGCTTGAACAAATCCATGGTTGGGATGGCTGACAACCCTGAGAAGGTGCGTTGGTGCTGGTATTGCTGCTTATGAGGTGCCTCAAGAACAGAGCCTTGGGTGGATGCTGGAATGCATTCGCTCATACAGCACCATGGTTGGGATGGTTGACAACCCTGAGAAGGTGCGGTTGCTATGGTGGTAATAGTGGTAAGGTGACGGTGGTGCTGGTACTGCTGGTGCCGCTGGTGCTGCTGGTGCTGCTGGTGCTGCTGGTGCTGCTTCTGCAGTTGCATAGTCAATCGAGCATGGTTGTGTTGTTGTGCCCACACCTTCGCAACCCCACAAAAGGACACACATGCATCCTCACGAGTGTTTGTATAACTCACATGACCGTTCTCAGAGCGTCCAGGTGATGCGCATCACACTTTCTCTCCCCCTGCCGTCGACCATCCTTGCACCTGTATCCTTGGTTCTGCACCTGCCTTAGCTTCATCACTTTTGAGTCGACTCAAAATTCGACCATCCTTGCACCTGTATCCTTGGTTCCTATGTTGGAAAAAACGCTTGGGCGTCGATGCGTATCACGTTTATACGATAACGTATATACGGAAAAACGTGATACGTTCCGTAATACGTGATACGTTTCGTTGGGCAGCCCGGAAAAAAAATTGTTGCCGCTTATTCCGCGATCTGCGATTCCGTGAAACCTAATTTTGAGTTTCGAAAGTCGATGCCCCCCCCTCCGTCCCCTCCCCTCCACCGCACATCACCCCACACCACCTCCCAAACCCAACCTTTCCGTTCCCAACCTTTCACGTCGGCGTGCGTACATGAGCTAGAGGAGACTTTCTTAATCTCATTTTGTCTCACGCCTCTTATATTCTACGTCCCTTCTTAACTCGTAGTTTAGCTTTGAATAGCTATGTCGACCGCTAATGTCGCACCTGCTATTGCTAGCAGTGGAGTAACGTCGCATAGCTTGCCAGGTCTTTGCAGCCGCAATTTCAGGGCGACTTTAGCCAACAAATATCTGACATTTCAGAGATCCTAATCGCGAGAACTACAAGGGAGTAATCCGCATCTGAAAGTATTGCTGAAGTAATCATCCCCTTAGACATTCTACCTCCGCCGAAGTGTTTTTTTCTCTGCCCGGAGTTTTTTTTTGTCTGACCGACACAGCGAATTCTGAGCGTTTTTAAAACTGCCAATCCGGCGTATCACGTACGTACGGTAGCGTATAGTACGTACGCGACTGATACGCCATGCGCGTATTTTCCAACATAGCTTGGTTCTGCACCTGCCTCAGCTTCATACTAACCTCCCTGTGACTTTTGAGTCGACTCAAGAGGTGATGCGCATCACTCTTTTCTCTCCCCCCGCCGTCGACCATCCTTGCATCTGTGTCCTTGGTTCTGCACCTGCCTCGGCTTCATACTAACCTACCTGTTGAATATTTTTTCCGCCTTAATCCCGCCCATTTGATTCCCTGCACGGCAGAACACCGTCAACACCCCCCTTACGCTCCTACTTTCCCCCTGTCACCTCTTCCCCACAACCCACAAGACCCACCTTCCATTTGTTCCCCTACACGGCAGAATACCATCAATGCCACGCGGTGGATGCTGGAGGAGCTGCGACTCACCCCGCAAGACACCGTGGTGGTCAAGATGGATATAGAAGGCGCCGAGTGGCCGCTACTAGATTGTAAGTGTGCTCTTGAGCCGACTCAAAAGCAGACATAGGAGGCGCAGAGTGGGCGCTGCTTGACGGTATGTGTGAATGCTGGTGCTTGTTGCTCGAGGCACCACCTCGTTGTCGTTGGATTGTTTTATGCCTCTCATGAGTGTTGCCTAGCTGTGTCATCATGCCCTGGGTTGTCTTTTGCGTCGAGTCAAAGGTCAACCTGGTGCTGGTTGCGCGAGGCAACACCTTGTCGTTGGATTACATTATGCCTCATGAATGTTGCCTAGCTGTGTCATTATGGCCTGGGCATGTTGTCTAAACTAAATGTGATTTGAGCTTCTTTTTGTGCATGCTGTGTTGTGCTTTGTGATTGCAGATTGGTTGGGTGTACCGGGGATGGAACAAATTGTAGATGAGTTGTTTGTGGAGGTACACTACCACCATGAGACCATGCTAGACTTCCATTGGTACACCTCGCGCTTCAATGCAACACGAGAGCATGCGGCACATCTGTTCAATCGCTTGCGATCCAAAGGATTCTATGCGCATGCATGGCCATAGCTGAATAGCCCATATACCATATGTCTAGTTCCTTGTTTCGGGAGATATCAAATTGTCTGCATTATTATGATACTGCACGAGTTGGTTACGTGATTGAATCATTCACCTTGTTCGCCTGCACTGCTTCCCAAGCATCGTGTAAAGCAGTCTCATTGCAACCTCGGGTTTTCGTTGCGAGTGCAGCGGGAAGCTAGCAAACAAGTACACCAAGTGGTATTTCACATTGTAACAAATCCCTCTGCTGAATTTGCTGGTGATAGTTGTTGAAATCAAATAACACAGCCATAAAACTCCATCCTAAGATGAAGAGAAACACACCATGTTCTACAGTGTTAGATAATTGAAGTGCCAAGCCAACTGAAAGTGTAAGTGCAATGTATTCAACTCCCACCCAACCACTCCCTTCGCGCCGAGTCTGGTTCCCACTGGGACCTCCCCGCCTCGCCCCCAATGCTTTAGGGCGCGTGTCTTTTGGTGTAGAAGTTCAAAAAAAAAGGTCAAACTTTTGCTGGTAACCAGCTTAGCCAATTTCGTTAAGAGCTGTTGACGACGATCGTGTGTCCAAGCTCAAAGTTGCCGAAACAGAAGGACACTGAACTAGGGTCGACCTCGCATTCGACTATCCCCGAGCACTTTTCTCCAATCGTGTGTTCTTCTGCCCACGCACGAAGAAGCTGCGAGCTTCGCGATGGTTACGAACAACTCCGCGCCAGGTTACCAAAGCTGAAAGTGTTAGCGAACTCCACTGTATAGACAGGGTAACATACGAAAGCTGGGCGCGACTCGGGTTTTACTGTACAAATTCGACCTCTGAAAGTCGAGCATTTCTTGTGCCATGTACTCCTCGTCAAGGTGAACACGCGACTCGACAAATGAATGACGAGATAGTCGACTACTGGTCGACCTGTGTTCATTTGCAAAAATTCGACCTAAAAAACTGAACTTTGGCCTAGATTTCAAAAGACACGCGCCCTTACCCCAACTCGCCATTGTTGGAAGGATGTACCAGTAATGCCATTGTTGCTCGCGTGTTGCCTGCATCCACCTTCCATTCCCAAGGTTCGCGTTTTGTTTTCGAGATCCGCGTCTGGTCTCGCGAGCGCTAGAGAGGATCAGCAACAGCAAGAGGGTAGTCGAAACCGAAACCAGCACCACCCATACTCACAACAAAGCCGATCAACCTCCAGAATTCTTCCAAGCTCCGTTCTTGGCGCCAAAACTCGCCGAAACGCAGTAAGCAACACCAACGAATTCTTTCTATCAGTACCCATCCTCCATGTTTCGCGTTCTGTCTGGCGGCGGTAGCAACAGCAGCGGCAGCAGCAGCAAGGGACCGTCATTCGCTCACATGGGCGGTGGTATCCACAACGGCTGCTTTCACCTCCTTCCTCCTCCTCCTCGTGTTCATGCTCTCGCCCTCAACGCTGCCGAGCCTCAGCCAGAGGCTCGGCGTGGGAGCAGGCTCGGACGACGCGAACCAGATTGCTGCAGGGCAGGTTTCGCGCGTTCAGATGACGTGGAGCGATCAGCATCAGCAAGCGCGGTGGGGGTTGGGCGGGGAAGGTGGAGGGGAGGAAGGACCGCCGTGTAATGATTGGATTCACGTACCCTTGAAGGAGCGTGGGATTCCCAACACGAGGAAATGGAGCCCTGTGAGTCTCAATACATTCATCCGCCCGCGTGAGGTGCTGCTGATCCCTGCGCTTTCGCTGATCCCTCTGCTGCTTTCTACGCCATTGCGCTGCTCCGCTCTCCTTCTCTTCTCACCCATGCACGTGAACCCCGCCTCTCTCCCCTGCCGCGTGCAGGGCCTGCCTATCGAGGGGCGATCAGTACTTTCAGGCACCTCAGCTAGTCGAATTCCCCGTTTCCTCCTTGCCGACTCTTCCCCCTCCCCCTCCCCTTACCCCTCCCCCTCCCCCTCCCGCTCTCCCTCTTCTTCCCCCTCCCCCTCCCCCTCCCCCTCCCCCTCCCCCTCCCCGCAGTGGATGCCCCCCCTCTCCCCCTGCCGTGTGCAGGGCCTGCCCATAGAGGCAATGGAGCCGGACTTGAATTTCAGGCGCGGGTTCACGCTGGGGTATGTGGATTATGAGGAGGATAGGACGCATGTGCTGCCGTACTTGCGTGCTGCCCTCGACCACCGCATGCACCGCAGGTGGGTGGGAGTGTGATTGGTGGGGGTAGGGCACCCTCGAGTGCACTAGAGGGCGCGGGTTCACGCTGGGCTATGTGGACTATGAGGAGGACAGGACGCACGTGCTGCCGTACCTCCGTGCCGCTCTTTATCACCGCTTGCACCGCAGGTGTGTTTTGAGGCACCATTTCACTCTAAAGCTATGTGGACTATGAAGAGGACAGGACCCACGTGCTGCCGTACCTCCGTGCTGCCCTTGACCACCGCTTGCACTGCAGGTGGGTGAGAGGGTGTGAGGGGAGAGGGGGAAGCTTGGGGAGATGGGGCAGCGGGGGAAGCGGAGGGAGGGGGAAGAGCGCGGGGGGAGGGGGGGGTGGGGGGGGTTTGGGAAAGAGAGGAGGGAAGCACTGCTTGCGCTGCCGCAGGTGGGTGGGAGTGCGAGGTGTGGGGGTAGGGGACCCTCGAATGCAGTAGGTGGGATTTGAGGCACCATCTCACTCTAAAGCTATGTGGGCTATGAAGAGGACAGGACCCACGTGCTGCCGTACCTCCGTGCTGCTCTCGATCACTGCTTGCACCGCAGGTGGGTGGGTGAGAAGGGCAGGAGGGAGAGGATCAGGACGTATGAGAGGATGGACGGGGTTGGGTAGGAGGAGGGATGCGAGTGTGTGGTCTTTGTCCCTTCCGTCCCCGCAGTGCCTATTTCCTCTCCGCTCGTTCCCTCTCCCAACGGTCCGTCTCGTTTTGTTCTCCTGCCCCTTGTTTTTCTCTCCCTATTCTCGCCTAATTTTCCTTTCTGGATTCGAACGCCGAAGCCGTGTAAAGAAAATGATTCCAGTCATTCTTCGTCACATGTTCCACCGCACCCACAGAAGCCTACCACACTACCCTGCTTCACCCACCCTGAACTCTGCGTTTAAAACGCAGAACACATTTTCGGGGGTCCCGAAAACGCTAAAAAAACGCAGGGCCGGGCAGGGTGAAAAAAAATCGGGCAGACAAAAAACTTCCAATAGGGCATTGGGAGGAGGGGGGGATGGACATAGCACAGATTTGAGCATTTTTTCCCCCCACATAATAATCTTTCCGGGGTTGGGAATTTCGGTTGAAGGGCTGGTTTTCAGGGGTCGTTTTGGGTTGGGAGGAGTTGAGTTTTGGCGAAAATGACGTTCGGGCTGACCCAAAAAAAAATCACCAAGCATCCTGCGTTTTTCTGGCGTTCAGCGTTTTGCGTTCACGCAGAACGCAACGCTTCAGATGCGTTTTTCTCCTCCCAGCACCCACCCCACCCTACCACACCTCACCACACCTCACCATATCCCGCTGCCCCTTCTTCTCTCTCTCCAGTCCGCGGCGGGTTCTCATAGACTTTGGTGCAAACGAGTTCAGCACGAGTGTGACGTGGTTCCTGCGCATGTACCCTCTCGAGTTCACCGAGATTCACGCCTTTGAGGTTCAGCAAGGCATGTTCGTCGTGCCCCAGCCCAACGACCAGGTGAGTGAAGCGCGTGTTTTGAGACATCTCGAATGGTGCCTCCTGCGCATGTGCTGGTTAGATTTCACGGAGATGCATGCGTGTGAGGGCCAGCTAAGAATGTCCGTTGTGCCCCAGCCCAGCGACCAGGTGAAGGGCGTGGGGGAAGGAAACGGTGAAGGGTTATGGTGTGCTGTGGCTGGCTGGATGGATGAGTGGGTGTGGGTGGGTGTGTGTGGGTGGATGTGGCAGGGTGTGATGTTGATTTCGTGCGCTGCTTTCTGGGCCTCTTTGGATGCTTTGCGTGGTTCTTTGCAGCAGCTGCTGCTGCTGCTGCTGCGGCTGCTGCTGCTGTTGCTGCTGGTTTTCATACCTGTTCTGGTTCCCCTTCTTTGTCTTCTAGCCTCAGTGCGCATGCACATGTGTGTGCGTTCGTGCGTTCGTGCATGCATGTGTGTGTGTGCATGCATGTGTGTGTTCTTTTCCTTCTTCTCCCCTCTCTGCCCCATGTCTGCATCCATCCGTCTCAGCCCCTCAACACGAGTGCCATTACCTCAGGCTCGCGTCTCAGGCCCAAGGGGCACGGGCCGGGACCAATCCCGGGGTGGATGCTGAAGCGTATTCACTTCTACAACACTCTGGTTGGGATGGAGGACAAACCAGATAATGTACCGTGCTGCTCATACTCATGCTGCTGCTGGTGGTAGTGGTGCAGGTGCTGGTAGTGGTGGTGCTGATGGTAGTGCCGCTGCTGCTGGTATGGTGATGGTGATGGTGTTGGTGATGCTGGTGCTGTTCCTGCAGTTGCAAGTGCATGTGGCTGCATTTGCTCAGGCTCGCGTCTCAGGCCCAAGGGGCACGGGCCGGGACCAATCCCGGGGTGGATGCTGAAGCGTATTCACTCCTACAACACCCTGGTTGGGATGGAGGACAAACCAGATAATGTACTGTGCTGCTCATACTGCTGGTGTTGGTCGCTGGTACTGGTGCTGGTATTGCGGCTGCTGGTATTGCGGCTGCTGAAATGGTGATGGTGATGGTAATGGTGATGCTGGTGCTGCTCTTGGAGTTGCAAGTGCATGTGGCTGCATTTGCTCATGCTGCCGTCTCAGGCCCAAGGGGCATGGGCCGGGACCAATCCCCGGGTGGATGCTGAAGCGTATTCACTTCTACAACACTCTTGTCGGGATGGAAGACAAACCAGATAATGTACCATACCGTGCTGCTCATACTGTTTCTGCTGCTGCTGGTGGTAGTGGTGGTGGTGGTGGTGGTGGTGGTGGTGGTGGTGGTGGTGGTGGTGCTGCTGCTGCTGCTGCTGCTGCTGCTGCTGCTGCTGCTGCTGCTGCTGCTGCTGCTGCTGCTGCTGCTGCTGCTGCTGCTGCTGCTGCTGCTGCTGCTGCTGCTGCTGCTGCTGCTGCTGCTGCTGCTGCTGCTGCTGCTGCTGCTGCTGCTGCTGCTGCTGCTGCTGCTGCTGCTGCTGCTGCTGCTGCTGCTGCTGCTGCTGCTGCTGCTGCTGCTGCTGCTGCTGCTGCTGCTGCTGCTGCTGCTGCTGCTGCTGCTGCTGCTGCTGCTGCTGCTGCTGCTGCTGCTGCTGCTGCTGCTGCTGCTGCTGCTGCTGCTGCTGCTGCTGCTGCTGCTGCTGCTGCTGCTGCTGCTGCTGCTGCTGCTGCTGCTGCTGCTGCTGCTGCTGCTGCTGCTGCTGCTGCTGCTGCTGCTGCTGCTGCTGCTGCTGTATGGTGATGTTGATGCTCTGCTGCTTCTGCAGTTGCATGCGCATTTGAGAACCGGGCATTGTTCTGCTCGCGCACACAAGTATACATAGGCTGAGACGTGCATTGCTCTTGCTTCCCCCTGTCACCGCGTCCCCACAAGACCTACCGCCCATTTGTCTCTGTGCGTGGCACAACACCATCAATGCCACCATCATTCCACCTTAATCCCGCCCATCCACCCATACACAGCAGAACACCATCAACGTGCATCGCTCTTGCTTTCCCACTGTCACCGCTTCCCCGCTGTCACCGCTTCCCCACAAGACCTTCCGCCCATTTGTTCCCCAGCATGGCAGAACACCATCAACGCCTAATAGCCTACCTGTTGAATCTTCACTCCACCTCAATCCCGCCCGTTTGTTTCCCTACACGGCAGAACACCATCAACGCCACGCGGTGGATGCTGGAGGAGCTGCGACTCACCCCGGAAGACACCGTGGTGGTCAAGATGGATATAGAAGGCGCCGAGTGGCCGCTACTAGATTGTAAGCGGATGTTGCTGGTCCTTTGCCTTGTTCTCTCACCGAGCCCGGCTTTTACACGGATGTATGGCCTTTTCCCTTTTTTTGCCTGCGTCGTTTGATGCCTTGTGAGAATGTTTCGTGTTTCATTCCAGCGTCTTCTGCACATGGTTCTGCATGCATCCCCCTTATTATGTGAACTGCTTGTTATCTGTTCTTGCAGATTGGTTGGGTGTACCGGGCATGGAACAAATTGTAGATGAGTTGTTTGTGGAGGTACACTACCACCATGAGACCATGCTAGACTTCCATTGGTACACGACTCGCTTCAATGCTACTCGAGATGAAGCGGCGCAATTGTTTAATCGTCTGCGGTCCAAAGGAATCTATGCGCACGCATGGCCGTAGCTGACTTGGCAAATTAGGAGTCACATGCCGTACCGCAGGTATTTTAATTCATCATTTCTTTTCTATAGTTACCTTACAAAGTGCAAGTTTCATTAATCTGGAATGCGTTCCAGTTGTAGTTTGATAGCCAGTAGTCTTGGGGTGACCTCCTCAGGGCATATTCCTACGGCCTCCTATCAAGAAACTGTCAAATGTTGTAGCCTATAGTGAGGTTTGTCTTAGGGGGTACAAAACTTAGGGTTAGCTATATGTACCCCAACCAACATCAATGCATCATCCATTCTTCATTCTGACATGGTATCAGTTAGGTTAGGATCCTGTGGGATCCCGTTCCTCCGTTCTCCGTTCGAGCCTGATCCTAGCTCTCATTCGTCCCGGTTCCGTTGTTACCGCGCGTAGTGCCGCGCCTAGCGCCACTCCTAGCGCCCGTCCGCGCCACCCGTTCCCCTCGTTCCGTAGCGCCCGCCCTTACCCCCCGTCGCGTCGCGTTCCCCCCCCACGTCGTGTCGCGCCCGTTCCCCCCGTCGCGTCGCCGCCCATTCCCCCCGTCGCGTCGCGCCTTTTCCCCCCGTCGCGTCCTGCCCGCCCTTTCCCCCTCGTCGCGTCCCTTTCCCCCCGTCGCGTCCTGCCCGCCCTTTCCCCCCTCGTCGCGTCCCTTTACCCCCCGTCGCGTCCTCCCCGCCCTTTCCCCCCTCGTCGCGTCCCTTTCCCCCCGTCGCGTCCCGCCCGTCCTTTCCCCTCGTCGTGCCCCTTTCCCCCCGTCGCGTCCCGCCCGTCCTTTCCCTCCGTGACGGCCCGCCCCTTCCCCTCCTGTAGCGGCCCGCCCTTTCCCCTGTAGCGGCCCGCCCTTTCCCCTGTAGCGGCTCGCCCCTTTCCCCAGCCCGTCGTCTTAACCCTAGCCTGCTCTTCCGCTGCCACTGTATCCCTAGCGTTAGTTCTCGCTATGGCGACTCCGCGTGTGCTTCGTTTCGACGCTGACGGTAGACCTCTTGATTTTTCCGTCTGGCTTCTTCGTGCTCGCCGTCTGTTAGAGAGTCAGGTCCAGGCAGGCGAGACCCTCTGGGCGCACGCTACTGGTGCCCTACCTGCGCCCCCCGACCCTACGCCTTTAGGACCTGCCCCTGACGAAGCCGCTAGAGCCCGCTTTGCCACTCAGCGAGCTGACCAGACGGCTTGGACGTCACGTGACGCTGCGGCCTGCATCGCGCTCAGCAGCCTCCTCCCTGAGTCTGAGGAGGTTCACTTCACTCAGGTTCGCACCGCTGCTGCGTACCTCACTGCGATTAAGGCCCGCTACTCTACTCCCGCTGCTGTCTCTCTTGGCCGCCTGTTCCTCCCGTTCCTGTTTCCTGACCTAGCGTCTTTTGAGCGCTCTGCTGACTTGATCGCTCACCTCCGCTCGCTCGACGCTAGTTACCGCGCTGCTTGCACTGAGGCACAGCTTGCACTGCTTCCTCCCCCTATGGCGATTACTATCTATTTCATCGCCACTAGCCTCCCTGACCGCCTTGCCTCCGTTCGCGACGCGCTTCTGCTGAAGCACCCTAGTGAGCTCACCGTCGATGTCCTTGAGTCTACACTCAAGGACGTCGAGAGCAACCTTCGCTCGGTAGCCGCTGCCTCTGGTGCTGTGCCCCCCCCACTCTTCCACGGGTGCACAGTCCCGCAGTTACCCACCTTTACTGCCTCACTTGCCACTGCCGCTACTGACGCGACTGCAGCTGCTGTTACGACTGCGTCGCGGTCCCGCGGTAGGAGTGGCAAGAAAGGCGGTTCTGGTGGTGGTAGTGGAGGTGGAGGCGGAGGTAGTGGAGGTGGCGTTGCGCCTGGCGGCGGTGGAGGTTCAGGGCCTGGAGAGGCGCCTCGTGCAGTGACTGGTGACTCCACTGCGCCTGCTAGTGGTGGCGACGCCCGAGTTCGTCAGTCGCCTCCTGTACTTCCTGCCCCGGTTGGTGGAGCAGCGGCGTGGTACCAGGCTCAGCGTCAGCAGCAGCTTCTGCAGCACCAGCAGCCCCTCTCCTCCCAGCAGCCTCAGCAGCAGCAGCGGCAGCAGCTGGCTCCAGGGTCGGGGCTGCGTCAGACCCAGCGTGGTACTGCTTACACTCCCTGCACCTACCAGGTTCTGACAGGCCCTCGTCGTGGCCACCCTTGTGGCCGGTTTCACCCCCCTGGTCAGTGCTTTGCTCAGCTCACTGACACGGTTCGTTTGGTCTACGGGGTTGGTGCTCCTGCCCCTGACTGGCTGCCTCTTGTTCAGCGCTACGGCTCCGCTCTGTGGGGCATGTCTGCTGAGCAGTTAGTTGATCTGATTGGTACTCCCCATGCTATGTATGCTGTTGTTGACTCTAGTGTTTCTGACTCTGCTTACTCTGGTGTTGTTAGCTTAGGTGCTAGCCTTGCTCAGTTGCCTGTTGCTAGTGTAGGTTCTTGTGTAGACTCTAGTCCAGCGGCTACCTCAGAGGACGGTTCGCTGTCGTTCACGCTGGACTCTGGAGCCTCTCACTGCTTCTTTCGTGACAGCACGACACTTACGCCTCTTCCTGCGCCTGTTTCTGTGGCGCTGGCTGATCCCACTTCGGGACCAGTCACCGCGCGTCACACTACCACCTTGCCGTGTCCGGCTGCTCCTTCTGGGTCTCTCACTGGGTTTCACGTCCCCTCGTTCTCCCGGAACTTGGTGGGCGTGCGACCCCTCGTGAGTCAGCACGTGGGTGTGTGGTTTGAGCCTTCTGGAGAGACTGCGGTGTGTGTTGACGGGGACTCTTACCAGCCCCTCGCCACTTTTGCTGCTGAGCCGGGCTCCGGTCTCTACACTCTTCACACTGGCCCGCGCGCTCAGCAGCGACTGCAGCAGCAGCAGCAGCCGCAGCAGCAGCAGCAGTCGCAGCAGCAGCAGCAGCAGCAGCCGTAGCAGCAGCCACAGCGGCCGCCGTCGCAGCAGCCACTCCTCCCAGTTCCTGTCCCTCCCCCTAGTCTCCTCCCTGCGTCTCACCAGGTGGTTCCGTCCCCTCAGGTTGTCGCGTCCAGTCCAGTCGCTGCGTCTTGCTCCTGTCGGTCGCTTGCCCACCCCACCGTTCTGTGGCACCACCGGATGGGACACCCTTCTCTTCCACGTCTGCGTGCTATGTCTAGTCAGCGTCTGGTCTTAGGTCTCCCGCGTGTCTTGCCGTCGCTGCCGCCGTCCCTTGCACCACCGTGCGGTCCTTGCATCGAGGGTAGGCTGCGTGCCACCCCTCACTCCTCCTCCCTTCGTCCGGCCACCGAGCCTTTTGAGACGCTGCACTTGGACGTCTGGGGCCCCTCTCCTCGCCCTGGCCCTGAGCGTGAGCGTTTCTTTTTGGTGGTCGTTGACGACTACTCCCGCTACACCACAGTGTTCCCCCTGGCGAGGAAGTCTGAGGTGACTTCTACGCTGATCAGGTGGTTGCTTACCACCCAGGACACTCGTGGTCGTCGTGTCAGCTGTCTCCACTCCGACCGCGGGGGCGAGTTTCGCTCCGGCATTCTCGCTGGATTCTGTCGCGAACAGGGCATTCGTCAGTCCTGGACGCTTCCGGAGTCCCCACAGCAGAATGGGGTTGCTGAGCGTCGCATAGGCCTGGTCATGGAGATTGCCCGCACCTCCTTGACTCACGCCCGTGCCCCCCATTTCCTGTGGCCATACGCAGTCAGGTACGCCGCGCACCAGCTGAACCTCTGGCCACGCGTCTCTCGGCCGGAGGCTTCACCGACCAGTCTTTGGACAGGGTCCCCTGGTGTCGCGTCGAGGTTTCGTGTCTGGGGGTGCTTGGCTCTTGTCCGCGACACCTCCGCGGACAAGCTCTCGCCTCGCGCCGTTCCTTGTGTCTTCCTTGGTTTCCCTGAGGACTCCTCTGACTTCACCTTTTACCACCCACCCTCTCACCGGTTCTTTGACTCCCGTGACGTCCGTTTCGAGGAGTCCACCCCCTACTACGTCAGGTACCCCAGTCGAGGTCTCCCGGTCCCTCCCCCCCCTCTCTTCCTGACCGCCGCTCCCCCGCCTGCTCCCCCGGTACAGCCTCCCCCCCCTGGTCCAGCCCCGTCTGGTGTGTCTCAGGCTAGACCCCCCCCTTCGGTAGCCCCCCCTGTACAGCCTCCCTCCCCACAGTCTTCCTCGCCGCCTCCTGCAGGTGCTCCCTCTCGAGAGGTTGGTCCTGCGACTGTCCCTGTACAGGTCTCTGGTTCTGGGGGTGCTGGAGTTGGAGCTGAGCCGCGGGTTGCAGAGGACTCTTGTCTTCCGGGGGCTGGTACTGGTCGTGCGGAGTCTGGGGGTGCTGGTGCGGAGTCTGGGGGTGCTGCGTCTGGGGGTGAGGGTGTCCCTTCGGTTTCTGGAGAGCCTGGGTCTGGAGCTGGTGTTGGTGCTGCCTCTGGGGGTGGTGTGCTTGGTGCTTCGGAGGTCGACTCTGGGGCTGCCGCTGCCCCGGACACTACTCCTTCCCCCCACCCCTACCCGACCAGGTTCCAGGCTCGTGTTCGCCGTGCTCGTGAGGAGCAGTTGGAGTTGGAGAGAGAGGAGAGAGAGTTGCAGCGGCTCGAGGAGCAGGAGCGACAGCAGCAGGAGCAGCAGCAGGAGCAGCAGCCGCTGGAGCAGCAGCAGCCGCAGCAGCAGCAGCAGCAGCAGCTGCCGTCTCCTCCTCCTGTCTCGGGTCTTCGGACCCTTGGTCTCCCGTCTCCCTCTCCTTCCTCCTCCCCCTCTCCTCCCGTCTCTGGTCCTCCGCTTCCTCCTCCTGACCCCTCTCCCGCTGTTTTCCCTCGTTCTCAGTCTTCGTTGTCTCCTCCTCCTTCTCAGACTTGGGCCTCTCGTCGCTCCCCTCGTGCTCGTCCCTCATCTCCTGTTCCCTTCACTGACCTTCGTACAGCCTTCCTTTGTTCTCGTCCACCTCGTCCGTCTCCGTCTGTGCTTCCGTCTCCTCCTGAGTCGGCCCTCACTGTGTCGCTTCCTTCTCCTGTCACTGACTACTACCGCACGTACCGTCCTGTTCTCTCTCGTGTTCTCGCCTCTCTTGTTACCCACCCTCGTGCCTCTGTGTCCTCTGTGTCCGCTCTTACTGCCGCAGTCACTGAGTTTGCCTCTACCCGCCGCCTTGACTTCGCCACCGCTCTTGTGGCTGCTCCTCCTTCCAGTCCTCTGGCCGTCGGGGGTGTGTCTGCCCTTGGCAGTGACGCCCTAGAGGACAGGCAGTTTGAGCTAGAGTTCCTGGCGGCCGCTTCCCCTCATCTCTGTGCCATGCTCCTCGCCCCTGAGGGTGACCCCGACGCCCTTGACATTCCGACTCCTCGCACTTACGCTGAGGCAGTGTCAGGGCCTTGGGCCTCTCAGTGGAGAGCTGCCATGGACGCAGAGATGGCCTCCTACAGATCCACAGGCACCTACGTCGATGAGGTTCCCCCTCCGGGGGCGAACGTAGTTGACGGCATGTGGATCTACAGGGTGAAGCGGCCACCGGGATCTCCTCCGGTCTTCAAGGCGCGCTACGTGGCTAGAGGTTTCAGTCAGCGCGAGGGAGTTGACTTCTTTCAGACCTTCGCGCCCACCCCGAAGATGACCACTCTTCGGGTGTTACTACACGTAGCAGCACAGAGAGACTACGAGTTACACTCTCTCGACTTCTCTACTGCTTTCCTTCAGGGCAGTCTTCACGAGGAGGTCTGGTTGCGTCGTCCCTCTGCCTTCACTGGCTCTTTCCCTCCTGGGACCCAGTGGAGGCTGAGGCGACCGGTTTACGGTCTTCGTCAGGCTCCTCGTGAGTGGCACGACACCCTGCGTTCTACCCTGTCTGACCTTGGGTTCCAGCCGTCTTCTGCTGACCCGTCGCTGTTCGTTCGTCGTGGCCCCACACCTTTCTTTGTTCTGGTCTACGTTGACGACCTTGTTTTCGCCACCCCTGACAGGGTTGCTTTGGCACACGTGAAGTCCGAACTGCAGAAGAGACACACCTGCACTGATCTTGGTGAGCTGCGCCACTACCTTGGCCTGCAGATCACCAGGGACAGAGCTGCTCGCACCATTACACTTTCACAGTCGCACATGGTGCAGCAGGTCCTTCAGCGGTTCGGGCTTCAGCACTCCACAGTACAGCGCACACCTCTTGCTGTTGACCACAGACTCACTGGACCCTTTCCTGACGAGCCGTTCGAGCCTAGTGGTCCCTACGCAGAGCTTGTGGGTTGCCTCATGTACCTGATGACTTGTACTCGCCCGGACCTCGCCTTCCCTCTCAGCGTTCTTGCGCGCTTTGTTGCGCCAGGGAGACACCGTCCTGTTCACTGGACAGCAGCTGTGAGGGTGGCGAAGTACCTAGCGTCGACGTCAGGCGTGGGGCTAGTCCTTGGAGGGCAGCAGTCTGTCGTACTTACTGGTCACTGTGACTCCTCTTACGCTGACGACGCTGAGACTCACAGGTCTACTCAGGGGTACTGTTTCAGCCTGGGTTCTGGAGCTGTTTCCTGGCGGTCCACGCGCTCCTCTTTGGTCTCGACCTCTACAGCTGAGGCTGAGATCTACGCTGGTGCCATGGCGGCACAGGAGCTGCGTTGGTTGACCTTCTTGCTCACCGACCTTGGTGAGCGGCCGAGCTCTGCACCGACCTTGTTCACTGACAACAAGGCGTCTATTCTCCTTTGTCGAGAGCCACGACTGGAGAGCAGAGTGAAGCACATTCACGTCAGGTACTTTCTTCTGCGAGAGTTGCAGAGGCGTGGACATGCTCGCTTTGAGTTTGTGGAGTCCGAGGCCAACACTGCAGACATCTTCACCAAGGCGCTTCCGCCTTGTGACCACCAGAGGTGCTGTGTGCAGTTAGGCCTTGTTGACACTGGTTCTCGTGTTGCTTAGACTTGAGTGTACTGTTTACTTTGCTTTCTATATACCTCTGTTACTTCTTGGACTGGCCTTGTGGCCACTGTTGTTTGTGCTCAGACTGTGTGGTGACGTTGTGATCCACCCTGAGCTTCGTTTCTTGGACTGGTCTTGTGACCGTACTCGTTTGGTTCTGCTAGACACCCCTCACTTAGGCTATGGGGGTGTGTCAAATGTTGTAGCCTATAGTGAGGTTTGTCTTAGGGGGTACAAAACTTAGGGTTAGCTATATGTACCCCAACCAACATCAATGCATCATCCATTCTTCATTCTGACAGAAACCTCCTATCAAGATTGTACCTTTTGCCTGGTAAAAGTAGCGAGAGATTTCGGGTTTAGGGAATTTCCGAGTGAGAGCTTGATAGGAGGTTTTCTTGATAGGAGGATAGGAATACGCCCTCACTAAACTAAAAATAATTTGGTCTGGATATCAACAACGTGTAGGGGCCTTGAGGTAAGGCGGAATGGGTGTACACCATTCATAGGATTTCAGACACACTGGAACGCGTCCCAATTCCCTTTCAGAATTACCTTTCAGTAATCACCCGTTCTGTTCCTACACCCGAAACTACTCATACTGGAATGGGGTTTGTACACCGGGTTCCTCTTCGGTTCACGGGCTGTCCCTTCAGTTCACCGGGTACCCAACAGTACTCCGGGCCCCTTCTCGACACGCGGCACCCCTTCTTCACACCAGGTTCCCCTTCCGTGTGCAGGAGCTTTCCATGCCACCAGCCGGGTTCGCACATTTTAAATGTTGGGGTTCGCCAACATGTCGCACAGATCTTCTCACGCCTGGCTAGTATTTGGCAAAACAAGCCTACGAAAATTTTTGATACCGCCATGGAGCGCCATGCATCATCTCTTCTCTGCGGTCTGCTGCTCTGTAAGTATTTCAAGCATTTTGCAATAATACCTAAGCCCTGAATCTCAAGCATTTTGCGAAAGTTACTCGTGATCTTCTTCCGCGGGCTTCTTGCACAAACTAATTTCACATCAAAACTTCGTCGTCAGCTTCTCCCCACAAACGGGCATGACAAGTTGGCCCATTCCAAGCCGATTCATTATGCGGGAGGGGTGACACATTGAACGCTCGTGAACTACGTCACGTCTCAAATCGATGCCTTCCACACCTGACTGCCTGACGGCCTGCGTGCAGGTGCGGCTATCTGCACTGCCTACGGCGCGTCTGCCACATCGTTGTTTGCGCCTCTTCTCTCTCACGATGGCAACTTTTCTGCCGCTTCTGTCGCTCAGGCCAGGCCTCAGAAGTTGTGTAAGGGAAAGACTCTTGGTAAGTGCGAAATGCTCAGTAGTGCACTCGTCGACTCCGAGTCGCAGCCGTGCAGCGCGGCACGAAACCGTGTGAAGGTCGCGTTGTACATTCTGCTGCTTAGCGTCCGCTCCGCGCCCGACTCTCCGCGTTCGTGCATCATGCGGTAAAGGGTTGGTACCAACTATCAATCTCAACTTACCTAAAATGATTCCGGTCGTAATATATTGGCTTCGCCTGAATTTGTTGGGAACATCTCAGCTGCTCACGGGCTGATGCGTAGCAGCTGACTTCCCCGTCTTCCCCATCCCTCCCATGATTCCCATTATCAGTGAAATACGTGGTCAAGCTGCATCCTACCAGCGCAACGGGAAGGGTGTTTTTTTAGTATACTCAAAAGTCAACCCTTCTTCCCCATCCCTCCCGTGATCCCCGTTTTCCCGTTACCAGTGAAATACGTGGTCAAGCTGCATCCTACCAAGCGCAACGGAAAGGTGGTCGGCGACGCAGGAGCTTCGGGGAAAATGATAGTGAAGGCGGTGAAGTAAGCTGCCGTTCCCTCGTTGTTCCACTGGCGCTGACACAATCATTAAGAACTTCTTTCTGAGTCTTGCGAGTTGGAGTCCCTTCCTATTTGTGTCGACGCGTCCTCAAGCAACCACCGTGCACTCTCGCGGGTCTTGAACAAGTGACTGCACTGGAGTGGGAGGAGCATTGGTGCCATGACTCCAGCGGTGCCCTCTGAGGAAGTCAGTGGCAGTACTCCTGGAGTAGCCTGATGGACCACGGCAGTGTTTTCTGACTACCATCTCTTCTTGCCCTGTTTGCAGGTACAATACACACTCCTTCAATATTCTCATCCATTACGCATTCTTAAAGCGACGGGCAACTTTTGGCAGTGTTGGGTTCAGAAGTTTTTTTTTTGAACCAGGCTTGCCAGCGCGAAAGTGTTGGCTGGCGAAAACCAGGATTTCGTGCAGACACTTTTCATCTGCAGTAACAGTTCGCCAGGGTTCTGGGTTTTGGGTGGCAAATGTGCACCGTCGCTTCACGGCAACATTTACCAAACCCACTTGGCAAAACATCACTAAGGATGGCCGCAAACGTTACAGCTTCTTGTTCGACGACGTGTTTGATTCTGAGACGGAGGCCCAGGCCCGCGCCACTGCTAAAGAAATAACAGGGGGGAAATACGGGGTTGTGGGACGCGAGGGTAACCTGTTCGCTCTCTGTGGGGAGGTTGTGACAAAGGTAAAATAATTATTTGGGTGCAAGTGTAGTATTGCTAGGGTTCCGCTCCGTGCAGCGTTATGATTTTTGCAGCGCGGTGATGTGTGGATGTGGTCATATGTTGGTAACTTGTAAATGCTGCATTGTTTTGCAAGAATAGAAATCATCACTTGCCCTTGCAAAGAAACAGGATGAAATGCGCACAACAGAATGCATGAGTGTTTGGGTTAACTGAACTTGCCCTAGCATATCAAGTTCATCCACATGCATGAGTGTGTGTGGGTTAACTGAACATGCCCTAGCATATCAGCATACGGTGCTGTGTGTGTGCGTCGCTTGATGCTGTCAGAGTGCATATTGTTCTTTCTCAATTTACTATTCGTCGTAACAGATTGGATGCTAACCAAAGCACCAAAGCGCCTTAGACTAATTCCCAAAGCACCTTATAGTGTGTGAGGACTGTATCCCATGTTGGTCCTACACCCGCATCCACCTCAACGAGAATTTGGGTTGTATTTCAGTTTTGCGAATTGGAGCGGTTTTCGCGCGCATTTCGCAACGCTTACTGTTCCCTTCATGTTTCCACTTGTGCACCAGGTTCCCCGTTTGTGTGCCGGGTTGCAATGGCACGCGCTGGACAACATTTCACACACATTTCACAGCTGGCTAGTAATTTGCAGAGCCTCCAGTGTATACTTATCGGTTTGCGTAAAAAATATTGCGATCAGCATGGATCGCCGCGCATCATCTGTCCTCTGCTCCCTGCTGCTGTGTAAAAAATAGAGTTCGCGAAAATTACCTTGTTGCTTCTTAGAGCTTGCCCTTAGGGCTGCTTGCTGCGGGGTTCTTGCAAGCATCTGCTTTCATAGCACCACGATTTAGGTTGAAACTTAGAGGAAGGCTCCTCGCGTTCATCACATTCGTGAACAATGTCACGTCTTAAATCGTTGCCTGCCCACACCCTGCCTGCCTGCCCACACCCTGCCTGCCTGCCCACACCCTGCCTGCCTGCCTGCAGGTGCGGCTATCTGCACTGCCTACGGCGCGTCTGACACATCGTTGTTTGCGCCTCTTCTCTCTCACGACGGCGGCTCTTCTGCCACTTCTGCCGCTCAGGCCAGGCCTCTGGCGTGGCCGGGAAAGTTAATTTGTAAGTTCCGTTCCCTAGTAATAGTTGCCCGGTTTTAGAGGCAAAGCATGCTGGTCAGCAAATCGCGTTCACAGGATATTATAATGGTTCCGCGCGGAGGACTGCATGTGTTTCGGAAACCCTAGGCCCGGTCGTTGTAATGCCTGCAAGGTCCTCGCGTTCGTGCATCATGAAACTTTGTCATAGGGCTGATGCATGCTGCAGTTGATTTGTGCTTCAGCTGATGTGTGCGTGCAGCTGATGTGTGTGCTGTGCAGCAAGTGTGCGGTGCGGCTGAGTTGTGTGGTGCAGCTGATGTGTGTGGTGCAGCTGATGTCTGTGCTGCAGCTGATGTGTGTGCTGCAGCTGATGTGTGTGCTGCAGCTGATGTGTGTGCTGCAGCTGATGTGTGTGCAGCTGATGTGTGTGCAGCAAGTGCGTGGTGCGGCTGATTTGTGTGGTGAAGCTGAAGTGTGTGGTGCAGCTGAGTTGTGCGGTGCACTGTGTGCTACAGCCAATTCGTCTCCCTAGCGCAGCAGCTATCCATGGAAGAATTCCAGCATCAACTTTTTGGTGACGCGGTTCCAACATCAGTTCCAACATCAGGTCCAACATTCGCTTTCGCAGCTTCCCGATCCTTCACATTCCCATTCATTCTGCCTGCGCGGACTCAGCAGCCACTAACTTCCTGCCTTCCCCATCCCTCCTATGATTCCCAAGTCTAGTACAATACATGGTCAAGCTGCGTGATAAAATTTCGGGTAATGACACGACTCTTGAGGCGACTCAAGAATCAATTTCCGCCTTCCGCGTCCCTCCCGTGATCCCCGCTTTCCCGTTTCTAGTAAAAAACGTCGTCCACCTGCATCCTACCAAGCGCAACTGGAAGGTGGTCGGCGATGCAGGAGCGTCGGGAAAAATCGTCGTGTCAGCGTATAGGTATTGTTCCTCCCCTTCCTCTTCTTCTTGCATCAGTCTGCACATTTGTGCAGTACAGTCAGTTTTCAGGCCACCACACGGGAACCCCTCCACAGGTGGCGCTTCTCTCGTTCCACCTGTTTCCAAACCCTATTCCCTCTACTCCTCTTTGGATCTCGTTTTGGTGACTTGCTTCCGTTCCTCCCTATCCTCTCTGTGCCGTGCTGTGCTGTTCTGTGATGCGCTGGGTACTGTGCTTTGCTTTGGCAGCCACCCAACACGAGTGCTATGACCTCAGGTTCGCGCCTAAGGCCCAAGGGGAAAGGTCCCCGGCCTATCCCGGGGTGGATGCTGAAGCACATTCGCTCATACATAGCCGTAATTGGGATGGTTGACAACCCTGTGAAGGTGCTGGTGACGGTAGTGTTGCTTATGAGGTGCCTCGAGAACAGAGCCTTGGGTGGATGCTGGAGCGCATTCGCTCATACAGAACCATGGTTGGGATGGTTGACAACCCTGAGAAGGTGTGCTGCTGATGGTGTCATTGCTTCTGAGGTGCCTAAAAAACAGAGCACTGGTGTATTCTCACCCATACAATATCATGGTTGGGATGGTTGACAACCCTGAGAAGGTGCGCTGGTGATGGTGGTACTGATGTTGGCAATGGTGCTGCTAGGATTTTTTATTGTGGTGCTGACTCTGGTGATGGTGCCGCTATTGTTGGTGATAGTGGTACTGATGTTGGTGATGGTGCCGCTAGTGTTGGTGATAATGAAGCTGGTGTTCTCGGGCTGTTCTTGCTCTTCTCATGTGTGCGCATGTGGGCTGGTGACAAGCATCGATCTTGCTCCCCCTCTCGCATCCAGCACGATTGTGCCTTCACTCTTGGTTCCCTACATGCCTTAGCTTCATTTCATCCTCCCTGTTGAATCCGCATTACACCTTGATCTATTCTCGAACATTCACCCATGCACGGCAAAATACTATAAATGCCACCCGATTGATGCTAGAGTTGAGTTGTGTCTCTTCCCAGAAGACACTGAGGTGGTAAAAAAGGTATAGACGACGCTGACAGACCCTACTACACAGTGAGTGAGTGTTGGTGCTTATTGTTGCCGCCCGTTTCTGTTGGATTCGTTAATGCCTAAAGGTGTTGCTTAGCTGCTCATTCTGCCCTGTGCACATTGTCATATTTAATGTGATCCCATTGTTTCTGTGTTTGCCATGTTTTCCCCCTTTTACATCTTGGATGGGTGCACCTTGCATGGAACATACTGTACCGTATTTGCGGATGGGTATACATGTTTGTCGAGGTACATTACTACCACAAGACCAGGCTTGACTTCCATTGGTACATTTCACCCTTCAAAGCATCAAGAGAGCATCTCACACAACTGTTCAATCGTCTGAGGCCCAAGGGATTTTATCACATGCACGTTCATAGCCGAATGGCTTATTAATGTAGTCATCATATATCAAATTGTCTGGTGTTAGCCATTCTGGTTACATAAAACGATACTTTCGCCGAACTTCGCCTGCACCGCTTTCCCAAGAATCGCACCAATCATCCCCGCAGCAGCCATTCCCACAACGCTTCACTACTAGGATTTCGGAAGTGCAGTTTTCTTCGTCCAAAATACCACAATCTCCTCCATACAATCTTTTTTTGCGTACGTTGCACTTGGACTCTAAATTGCTTCAGCCATGGTTGCCTTAGTGGTGGAGGTACCTTCTTGCCCGCAAGGAGCGACGTGTAATTAGTAGGGTTAGCATGCGCTGGCAACATCAGTAGGTAGGACCCATGAGCGGGAAGTTGAATGTAAAATTTAGCGGGGCTCGCGGTTGCGTCGCTGGTTCGCTTTCCAGTTATCTTATCTAATCGTCCTGTCCACGTCAGCTAAAGCTGCATCCACGTCGGCGATCAGATCGCGCGATTCGCGATGTCGGAGAATCCAGCGAAACAGCTCCGCGTGCTGCTGCCGCAGGCATTGTGGGCCGACGCGCCGCCGGAGCACGACATCACGTGCGTCGCGTCGCTCGGCGCGGCGCCACGCGGCGCGACCAGCGGGGATGGCGCCGCGAACGCCGGGGCCGCCGCGAGCCGCGCGTCCGTGTGGACCGGCGCGCAGGACGGCGCGATCGTAAGGTGGCGCGTGTGCCCCGAGTCGCTGGTCCTGGCGGAGAGACACCAATCGGGAAGCTTCTCGGAAAGCCGGCACGAATGGGTGGGTTGCTGAGTGGGTAGGTAGTAAGGGAATCAGAGCGGAACTTTTCCGTTAATCTCCTCCGCTTCGCCTCTCTCGCTATCTTCCTCTCCCGCCTCCTCGCGCTCCTCCTCACTCTCCGCCTCTCTCTCTCTCCTCCTCACGCTCTAATTTTCAACTTAATTCTCTAAGCTTCCGCCCGCATCTACCGAATTGACGCACGAGTTTCCGTTATTGACGCCCAGCCCATTCAAGCTTCCTCTGCTCCGAGTCAGTCTACTCGATGCTCCTCGTGTCGCTCGTCGTGTTCTCACGTCACTAACCTAGTCCGCTTCCTCCTCTTCCCCCTCCCCCCTTTCTCCCCTTTCTCCCCCTGCTCCCCCTCCGCGTGCCGCGTGCCCTTCTGCCCCGTAAATCTCCCCCTTCAACCTCTCCCCCTCCGCGGTTCCCCCTCCGCCAGCCCCCCAACCGCGCCCCCATCCGGCCCGCGCAGTTCCTGTGCGGCCACAGCGCGCCAATAGTTGCGCTCCTCCCCTGCTCCGCCTTCGCCTCCGCGCCCTCCGCCCCCCCCGCCAGCGCGCTCCCGCCCTCCGCCACCGTCCCTTCCGCCGTTGCTGCGGCCAGGCGCGAAATGATGCGCGCTGGGGGAGGTGCGGGCGCGGGGGGAGAGAGGGCGGGGAGAGCGGGGGAGAGGACGGCACGGTTGGTAGAGGTGATAGGGGTCGGAGAGGGGAAAGGAAGAATTTAAGCCGAGGTAGTCTAGCGAGTGTAGGTGAGGGGAGTGCTGGGGAGGAGGATGAGGAGGAGGAGGAAGAGGAGGAAGAGGAAGAGGAAGAGGAGGACGAGGAGAAATCGGAAGGAAGTAAGTCAGAAGGCGAGGAGAGAGGTGAGGGTGGAGGGGGCGGGTTTAAGGAAAAGGGTGAGGCAGGCGCAGAGGGGGATGGTAACAGCTCTGCCTGGAATGGCGGTTTCTCTGACCGCATCAGCAGCAGCAACGGCACACGAAACACCCATACCCCCAGCAGCAACAGCAACACCAGCAGCAGCAGCAGCGGCAGCGGCAGCGGCAGCAGCAGCGGTGCGATGAGTTGGCTGGCAGGCGGCATGACAGGAGCAGAGGACGAGCTATGGCCAGCAGACGCGCTCGTGTCCCTCTGCTCCGCTTCCACTCTCTGCCTCTGGCACGCCTCCTCCGGCCGCTGCTGCCGCCGCCGCCGCCTCCCCCCCTGGGTCGGCACCCCTGCTGCCGCCTGCCTTGTTCCTGGGTCTTCCCATGCGCTTCTCTGCATTGCTGGGAATGATACCGCGGCTGCTGGTGCTGCTGGTGGGACTGCTGGGACAGGCGGGGGTGGGAAAGCAGGCACAGGGTCGCCCAAGTCGCCCCTGCATGGTGGAGCGGGGGGAGGGGGGAAGGAGGAGAAGGGGCGCGGGGGCGCGGGAGGGGGGAAGAGGCGGGACGGCGGAGGGGGAGCAGGGGGGGATGCGACAGGCGCAGGGGTGCGAGGGTCTGTGGTGATTGTATCAGCCATATCGCTATCCGTGCTACAAACGGTGGTACATGGAAGCTTGCCTCTCTATAGTCCCATTGCTGCTGTTGCTGTCTCTCTAGCCACACCCCCCCCGCGATTCTGGAGCAGCAGCAGCAGGGGGAGCGGCGGAGGGGGAGGTAGCGGGTGGGGTGGGCAGGGTGGGGGCGGTGGGGGAAGTGGGGGAAGTAGGGGAGGTGGGACTGCTGTGGTAGGTGTGTCTGGGAGTGAGTGGATACGGGTGGTGGTGTGGGTGACTGACTCAGCTGGTACGTGCCGTTGCTGGCCTACCTCCGTCCCGTCTCCTCCCCGCCTGCTTGCTGCAGTTGCTGCTGCTGCTTCCGCCTACGCCTCTGCCTCCGCCGCTGCATCTCCGTCTGCTTCCCGGCTCGTGTCACAAGGGTCAGGAGGGTCAGGAGGTTCAGGAGGTTCAGGAGGTTCAGCTTTGCACGGAGCAGCAGCGATTAGCAGCAGCAACAGCGGCAGCAGTACCGGTCCTGCTGCTGCTGACGGTGGCACTGGCACTGGCAGCAGCAGCAGCAGCAGCAGCAGCTCCAATGCAGGAAGACCCGTTTCCCACGGCAGCCTAGCCGCTGCATTCGCAGCAGCGCCATCTGCTGCCGCTGCCACAACCCTCCCTCCCCACGTCCTCTCCTGGCCAGGCGACGCCCCTCCTGGTGCCCCTCCTGGCCCCTCCCGCTCCCGTGCTTCCTCTGCTGCACCCACCGCCGCACGTGCCTCTTTCCCAGGCGCTGGCGCTGGGGCGACCACAGCTGCACAGGGAGCAGCAGCAGCAGCAGCAGCAGGGGGTAGGATCGGGGGGGGCACGCGCAGGGGAAGAGGGACCAGGAGCAGGGAGCATGGGAGGAGGTGTGGTTGGTAGCAGGGCAGCATCTGGATCTCAATCCTCGCTTCCTTCTCACCCCTCCTCCGCTTCAGCCTTATCACCTTCCTCTATTCATCCACCATCGCAGCACACTTCTTCAAATTTCCCCTTGCCCTCCTCGCCCAGTTCGCCCACTTCCCGCTCCTCCCACCTGCTCGTGATGCCTGTGCCTGCCACTTCAGCTCTCGTTCTCGCTGCTGCTGCACTCGTATCCGCCTCCTCTGCAGCAGCAGCAGCGGCAGCGGCAGGGATGACAGGGCACACACCCTGGGGAATCGGGATTTCTTCTTCTCTAGGCCTCGGTAGTAACTTTGCTTCTGGTTCTCTATCTCCTACTGGTTCGTACCTTCTATCTGCCCCTGCCACCAGTTCTAGCCCTTTCTCCCCTCTCCTGCCTCCTACTTCTGGCCCGTTTACAGCCAGCCCCTATACAGGCCGCCCCTTTACAAGCAATCAGGTACCCAGTGGGTCTGCTTCTGGTTGGGACCGTGGCGGTGGCAGCGGTTTTCGTGGCAGTGGTGGCAGTGGTAGCACTAGTGGCAGTAGCAGTGGCAGTACTGGTGGTGGGTCTGCGTTGTGTTCAGTAGAGCTCTCTCCGTGTGGTTGCATGCTAGTGCTAGCCACGCCTGCTGCCCTCCTCCTCTGCTCCACCACCCCTTACACCCCTGATACCTGCCCCACACACTCCCACTCACACCCCCACACACACCCCCACTCACACTCCCACCCCCAAACCCACTCACACCAACACCCTTCCACCTTCGCCCACACTCCCCCACACATGCACACTCCCACTGCCACTCCCTGTGCCCTCGCACTAGCCATAACACCCCACGTGGAGGCTCCCTATTGGCTGCACAATCTCTCGCAGACAGGCGTCCTGGTCCCTGGGGCAGCGTTTGCGCGCCTGCCCTCCGCGTTTGGGCGCATAGCAGGGGCGAGATTCGTCTCCCCCTGCGCCCACGCGCGCTGCTGGGGGGGAGGCAGCGCGGCAGGCGGGGGGAGCGGCGCGGAGATTGTCATTTGGGACGAGAACGGGGGTGCTGTGTGCTGCTGCCTGCGGGAGAGAGCAGGGGAAGGGGGAGGGGGAGTGGGAGGGGGAGGAGGAGGAGGAGGGTGGGGGGTAGGAGGAGGAGGAGTGGGAGGAGGGGCAGGAGGGAGCAGGGGAATGGGAGGAGCATCAGAGGGAGGCTATACTGCCTCCCTGTCAGGGGCCCATCCGGTGGCTTGGAGTTTGGATCTGCTTGCCTGGTTACCCCCTGCTATGCCTCCGGCTATCAGCTTTGGGGTGGTTGGGCGGCGCTTTGGCTTCTGCCGCTTCTCCCAGTCCTTGCTGGTTCGGACGGAGAGCGGCCCACCGATCCTGGAAGAGAGGCTCGGGATGGATCCGATGGTGCTGGTATGGAAGATGCGGCGTGGGGGGGGGAGACACGGCATGGGTATGGGCATGGGAATGGGCATGGGCATGGGCATGGGCATGGGGATGGGGTTTGCGAGCGGTTATGGGCATGGCCATGAACATGGGCATGGGCATGGGCATGGGCATGGGCATGGGCATGGGCATGGGCATGGGCATGGGCATGGGCATGGGCAGTTGGTGTATGGGGAGCATGGGTCGTGGGAAGCAGAGGTATCAGGGCGAGCAGCGAGCATGGTGGGTTGGGCATCCTTGCGGCAAGGGTGGGACGCGAGGAGGAACTGGAGTAGGGCAAGCATTGCTGGCAGTGGCGAACCATACTTGTCGCCCTTGTCACCATCGTCGCCGTCCGCAGCAGCAGCAGCAGCAGCAGGAGCAGGAGCAGGAGCAGGAGCAGGAGCAGGAGCAGGAGCAGGAGCAGGAGCAGGAGCAGGAGCAGGAGCAGGAGCAGGAGCGAGAGCAGGAGCAGGGGGAGTAGGTGGAGCGGGGGGAGAGGAGGGATTCAAAAGGCTGTGTGAGGAGAGGGCAGACGGGGCAGTGACAACAGCCATGCTGGTGGGCGGAGGTCGTTTCGGCCCCTCTCTAGAGCTACGAGGATTCGCCAGTGGTAAAATCCAGGCCGTTCCCCTCTTCCACCTTAGCTCCTCCCCACATAGCGCAGATAGCACTGCAGGGAAACCTCGGGGCACGCCAGAGGGCTCGGCAGGCGGGTGGGAGAGGGAGTGGTGGTTGGAAGGGCATGAGGGACCTGTGCTGTGTATGTTGGAGCATGCTGCTCCCTTGGAGTGGATACCACGGCATGAATGGTGGCCGGATGAAGAAGGAAACGAGGGTCCTTGTGAGGCTTGTGCTGCTGGTGCTGGTGGTGGTGGTGCTGGTGGTGGTGGTGGTGGTGGTGGTGCTGGCGGGTTTGGGTATGTTGCGGGAGAGCATATGGAGGCGAGTGCTGGTGCGCAGGTTACAGATGGCCGCAGCAAAAGCGGGCTTGGGACTCAATTCCAGAACCAACAGCAGCAGCAGCAGCAGCAGCAGCAGCAGCAGCAGTGGGCTGTGTTGCGGCGTGTGCTTGTGAGTGGGGGCATGGACGGCACCATCAGAGTGTGGGACCTGGGCTGCCTGCAGCACTGCCGACACCGCACTCACACCCACACCCATATGCACACCCACACAGCAGCATCAGCATCAGCAGGAGAAGCAGCAGCAGCCGCAGCACTACCAGCAGCAGCAGTGGTGAGGCTGCATCCCTTAGCCACACTCCGTCACCACGTGGCTCCAGTGCGGCGTCTCTTACACCCTCCTCCCGGCACGCTCCCCCCCTGGCGCTACTGCTTCGCCTCTCTCTCAGACGATGGTGTTGTCGGTATCAGCTCTCTGGAAACGCTCCGCTGTGAGAGGTTGCTGCCCGGGCACCGCCTGCCCGTGGATAATATTTTGTGGGACGGGCAGCGGGGGTACCTGGTGTGTCTGAGTAAGGGGAGGAGCGGCGGGCAGAAGGGAGGAGGAGGAGGAGGGGGTGGTGGTGGGGGGAGCGGAGGAGGAGGAGGTGTAGGAGCAGCAGGAGGAGGAGGGGTGGGAGCAGGATTGGATGGTTGTGGTGGTGGCTTGGGGCAGTCGGGATTGATCGTGTCAAAAGGGAGGAGGAGAGCACGGGCTTCAGGAGCAAGCGCGTCTGTTCTGGCGGAATTAGGGGCGGCTTTTGGGGCGGCGCAGCAGCAGCAGCAGCAGCAGCAGCAGCAGCAGCAGCAGCAGCAGCAGCAGCAGCAGCAGCAGGAGCTAGGGGCAGGGAAGCGGCCTGTGTTTGAAATAGGCGGAGGGGCGAGTAGTGATGCTCTAGATGCCTTTGACTCGGGTGCTGCATCGAGACGGGCGAGCCACACAGCAAGTGAAAGCATCGGCGATGGTGCTGCTGCTGGTGCTGGTGCTCCTGCTACCCAACTGCCAGAGACTGCTGGTGCGGCTGGTGCTGCTGGTGCGGCTGCAGCAGCAACAGCAGCCATACCAGGTGAAGCAGGTGCACCTGCTGCTGTGCCACAGCTGGTGCCAGGCTCATCAGGGACAGCACGAGCAGGAGCAGCAGGAGCAGCAGGGATGGGAGGAGTGGGAGGAGCAGCTGTAGGAGCAGCGGCAGGAGCAGCAGGAGCAGCAGGGGCAGCAGGAGCAGCAGCAGGAGCAGCAGCAGGGGCAGCAGCAGGGGCAGCAGCAGCAGGGGCAGCAGCAGCAGGGGCAGCAGGAGCAGCTGCAACAAAGGACATGCTATTCGTGTGGGACTTGCACTCGGGTGCGAGAGAGAGGATACTCCGGGGCAACCCAGCCAACTCACTCTTCTCTTTCTTTGCTGCCAAGATCAAGGCCTCTGCTCACTCCTCCGCCGCTGCTGCTGCCGAAGCTGCTGCGCCCCCGGTTGAGAACCTTCTGCTGGAGTTTGATGCGGTTGACCGCGGTGCCAAGGTGCGGGGAGACGGGGTCGGGGGGGAGGAGGAGGGGGAGAAGCTGGGAGGTGGTTTTGATACTGGAGAGAAGCAGTCAGCGGGGCATCATCCTCCTCCTCTTCCTCCCCAGCATCATCATCACCAGCAACAGCAACAGCAACAACAGCAGCAGCAGCAACAGCAGCAGCACCAGCAGCAGCAGCAGCAGCAACAGCAGCAGCAGCACCCTGCTGTGTCACCCGTGCTGCGGTCACCAGCAGTCAAGGGTTTCCTAACCCCCTCACATGTGCCCATTCTGCTCCTCGACCTCCCCTATCTGCTCTCCCCGGATCTCAGCCTTGCGCTCTCGGCTCTCCCCCTGCCGCCGCCCCCTCCCATGCCGCGCTACCTTGAGCTTGAAAGAAAAGACAGCAGCAGCGGTGGCAGCAGCAGTGGTAATAGCCTGAACGGCTTCGCTGCTGGATCAGGGGAGCGTGCCGTTTCAGACCAGCAGCAGCAGGAGCAGCAGCAGCAGCGGCAGCAGCAGCAGGGGGAGGGGGTTGAGGCCTCCACCGCTCCACCGCACCACGGCACTGCTTTACACCGCTCCACACCGTGGGACCCGCCGGTCTGGCAGCGGCTGTGGACGGGAGAGGCCATGGCTCTGCGCAATGCCATTCGGTACCTGCACCTGTGGGGGTGCGACTCCCAACTGGACGCTGCCTTATCTGCTGCGTTGTTGGTATCAGAGCCCGAGCAAGTGTGTGTGGGTGCGGGGCTTGCTGGGGATAACGGCGCGCTCACGCTCTCATTCCCGGGACAGCAGGGCCGTGCAGAGGTGAGTGGAAGAAAGGGGGATGTGAGTGGAAGAAAGGGGGATGTGAGTGGGGAGAGAAGGGGAAATGGCAGATGTAAGGTGGGCTGTTGGGAGGCTAGGGTGTGGGGCTCGCTGGGGATAACGGCGCGCTCACGCTCTCGTTCCCGGAACAGCAGGGCCGCGCAGAGGTGAGTGGGTTGGAAACAGGGGAGAGGCAAGCAGGGCTGGTAAGCAGTGCCGTTATTCACAGCCACTGCCACAGCCGCAGCCACTGCCACTGCCACAGCCACAGCCACTCACCCTGTGGGCTTGTGGTCGTTAAAGCATGCCTCAAAGCATGCCCCTTCTTTCCCATCCCTTTCCTCCCGCTCTTCTCCCCACTCCAACCCCCTTCCCATCCACTCAGCTCTTCCCACCCCTCACCGCACTTCTCAGCGCTGCGCTCACTCGCCCTGGTGGCCCTAGCTCAGCGCATCATGCATGTGCTCCCCCCGCCCCCCCCCCCCGCCCACAGCCACCCACACAACCTGTGGGCGTACCTTCGTTTGGATGCCCCTTCCTTCCACCCACCCACACTCAAAACATGCCCCTTCCTTCCCCTCTCAACCCCACTCCCTCTTCTCTCTCTCACCCCCGTCCCTCCCTCCCCTGTCCACCCCCCATCCCATCACCCCTCCCACTCCCCCCCCCCCCCCCCCCCAGCTCTTCCGCACCTCGCCGCACTTCTCAGCGCTGCGCTCACTCGCCCTGGTGGCCCTGGCGCAGCGCATCATGCACCTGCTGCCCCCGCACCCACCCTCGCTCTCCCGCCGCGTCTGCTCGCTCCTCGCCGCCTTCTACTCGCGGGAACTCGCCGAGAAACTCCCTGGCTCTGTCGCTCCTGCTCTTGAGGTGCGTATGAGTTTTGGTACGACTCAAAACTCCCTGGTTCTATGGCTCCTGCTCTTGAGGTGCGTGTGCATGTGAATTCTGAGGCACCTCAAAATGTTCCGTGGCGCCTCCTACTCTTCAGGTGCATGCATAGGTGCGCTTGTCTCTGTGTTTGTGTGTGTTGCCCTTTCCTCTAGTTCCCACCATCCTGCCCTCACTCATCTACACCGCTTTTGAGTCGACTCAAAAGCAGACTCATCCTGCCGTCACTTATCTATCTACACTCATGTCTATGCCTGCCCTGTGGCCTTGTCTCCCCTTCGTCCCCTTCTTTCCCCATTCCCCACTCCTCCCCTTCCCCCCAGCTATACGCGTGCTTCTGACATGATGCATCAGACCACATTCGCATGGCAGCACACTCGCGCTTGCACTTGTCCTTTGAGACAGCTCAACCCACCCCTCCACTCCATCCCTCCCCTCTCCCTCCCCACCCCCCCCACCCCTCCCCACCCCTCCCCACCCCTCCACTCCCCTCTCTTCCAGCTATACGCGTGCTTCTGGCATGGTGCATCAGACCACATTCGCATGGCAGCACACTCGCGCTTGCACTTGTCCTTTGAGACAGCTCAACCCACCCCTCCACTCCATTCCTCCCCTCTCCCTCCTCACCCCTCCCCACCCCTCCCCACCCCTCCACTCCCTTCTCTTCCAGCTCTACGCGTGCTTCTGGCATGATGCATCGGACCACATCCGCATGGCAGCGCACTCTCTCTTCCACTTACGGTTTCCTTTCAAGACAACTCAATCCCACACCTCCTCTCCATCACTTCCCCTCTCCCCCGTCCCCCCCAGCTTTATGCATGCTTCTGGCATGATGCATCGGACCACATTCGCATGGCAGCACGCTCTCTCTTCCACTGTGCCGCCCTCCGTGCCTTCCCGCCTCTCCTTCGCTCCCCGCACTTCCCCTCGCCCCGCCCTTCTTGCTCCTCCTCCTCCCTCGATGTCCCTACATCCGCCTCCCTGCCTTTAACGCCGTTTGGAGGGGTAGTGGGAGGAGTGGCAGGAGTGGGAGGAGCAGGAGGAGGAGGAGGAGGAGGAGGGAAATCAGCAGCAGCAGCAGCAGAGCAGGGAGGCAAAGGGGGGTTGCTTGTCCAACCGGACTGGATTGGCTGGGAGCCGTCGGATGTGCTCCAGTGGATCGAGTCATCCGACGGTGCAGATGTCGTTTCAGTCGTGGGTGGCACTCCAGCAGACGCCAAAGCAGCTCGCACCAACGTTGCTGCTGCTCTAGCTGTCTGGTACCTCCCTCTCGGTCGATCAGATTTAGCGGCCGCTGTCGCCCCGTCGTTGCTCCGGCTCGTGCGATTGGCCAACAGCCGCCACGCGGCCACTGCTGCGGAGATTCTCGCCGAGGGGATGGCGGACACGTGGCAGGCCCTGATTGGTCCGCAGATTCACCGGCTGATTGCGGACGTTTTTGTCCTTTGTGAGGATCTGAGGGGAGCCTGGGCGGCAGGAGGGCAAGGGATGAATGGGGGTGGAGGGGCAGGAGGGGCAGGAGGAGGAGTGGGAGGAGGAGGAGGAGGCGGCGGAGGGGTAGGAGGAGGAGGAGGAGGAGAAGGGAGAGGAGAGAGAATCATGTCTTTGTCTCACCCCAACCTGACACCCCTTTCTGCTGCATCTGGGACCAATACCGGCACCACCGGTTCTGTTTCTTCTTCTGCTGCTTATTCTTCCTCAGCATCTGCTCGAAACAGCATTATGGGAGGAGGAGGTTCCATTACAGCAGCAGGGATTGTCACTCCTCCAACGTCCGCTGCCCCTTCACCCTCTGTTGCTGGGCCCCCATCCCCGTCGCCTCAAGGCATTGTGAGAAGACTTGACCTGGGACCTGGTTCCATGGGCAGCCCAGGGGGAGGGGGAGCGGGAGCGGGTTGGAGTGGAGGAGGAGGGGCAGGCAGGATGGGCTCGGGAGGAGGAGGCGGGGGGCTGTCTCGTGGTGTGAGTGGTAGCGGGAGCATGAACGATATTCTCACGCCGACGTCCCTGGCGTCGCCAGCAGTCCCGCTGTCAGGCTTCCGTGGCAGCACAGGGGACGTGCACGCACACATGCATGCAAACATGCACCCAGGCATGCATGCTGACGTGCGTTCAGGCATGCATTCAGACATGCACTTAGACATGCATCAGCAGCAGCAGCATGGCATTCATTCTGTTCCAGCATCAGCTGCCATGCTCTCTGACGCACACTCCCTAGACTCTGGCACCATTCTCACCCCTGGAGCTGGCCCTGCCTCTGTCTCTGCTGCTGCAGCTGCCACTGCTGCTGGTGCTAGTAGTGCGAGCAGCAGGGGCAGCCACAGAAGCAGCACCGGTGGTGGTGCAGGGATGACAAGGCAGCACTCCTCCACATCCTCTTTCATCCCCTCCAACTCCTCCGAAACGCCCGGAGGAGCGGGAGGAGGCTCAGCAGCAGCATTACCAGCAGCATCATCACCATCACCATCACCATCACCAGCAGCAGCAGCAGCAGCAGCAGCACCAGGGCAGCCATCAGCAGCAGTGGCAATAGTAGTACGGGAGGCTCTAGCAACGTCGCTTCTCCCAGCACTAGCCATGGCGGATCCTGCAGCTTTCCTGACAGTGGTGCAGGGGCAGATGGCAGGGGGCGCGCCTCCGGACTCATCCGTGCATGTGACTGCGCTCATGGCGATAATTCGGGCTGTGCGCTCGTACCCGCGCTCGCTGCTCTGCCATCTCACCCAGGTGGGTTGCGCTAAGAACCACCTGGCTTGCGACTCTGGCACGTCCCTCAGGTGCTGCTGGGAGGGAGAGAGGAAGGATAGGAAGGTGTGGTTTGTGTGATGTGCAGTGTGTCTGCAAGGTCTGTCATGGTAACTGTGATGCATGGGCCCTTGTCTAGAGACGTCTCGTCTGGAAGGGCAGATGGCAGGGGGCGCGCCTCCGGACTCAACGGTGCATGTGACTGCGCTCATGGCGATAATCAGGGCTGTGCGCTCGTACCCGCGCGCGCTGCTCTGCCATCTCACCCACGTGGGTTGTGTAGAGAAGCGTGTTGTTTGTGGTTCTGCTGTGTCAATCAGGTGAAGCTGGAAAAGGAGGGGGAGGGAGGGGAGGGTGTGTGTGGTGCGTGTGGTAGTAGGTGTGGTGCTGAGTGGTAACGCTTGTGTGTGGGCCGTGTGTAGAGTAGAGACGCCCATGACTCGAAAGGCAGGTGGCAGGGGGCGCTCTTCCTGACTCATCAGTGCATGTGACTGCGCTCATGGCCGTTATCAGAGCCATACGCTCGTACCCGCGCTCGCTGCTCTGCCATCTCACCCAGGTGGGTGCGTGGTTCTGTGAGGCACCTTATGCACTGCGTGCTGGTTTTTGAGAATTCTCAAGAACCAGCTCGAGAATTCTCAAAAACCAGCTTGAGAATTCTCAAAAACCAGCTTGAGAATTCTCAAAAACCGGCTTAAGAATTCTCAAAAACGAGCTTGAGAATTCTAAAAAACCAGCTTGAGAATTCTCAAAAACGAGCTTGAGAATTCTCAATAACCAGCTTGAGAATTCTCAAAAACCAGCTTGAGAATTCTCAAATACCAGCTTGAGATTTCTCAAAAACCAGCTTGAGAATTCTCAAAAGCCAGCTTGAGAATTCTCAAAAACCAGCTTGAGAATTCTCCAGCTTGAGAATTCTTTCTCAAAAACGCTGCTCTGCCTTCTCACCGAGGCTGGTGCGTGGCTCGGAGAGACACCTTATGCATTGCGTGTGTGTGTGTGCGTGCGTTCCAATGCAGTGCCTCCCTCGGCATTGACTCATCGCATTTGATTTGAGACACTACTCGCCCACCCAAGCATCTCTTTCCTTCTCTCTCATCTGCCCTCTCTCCCCCCCACGCACCCATCAGATAGTGGAGTGTGCCCTCAAGTGCACGGATCAGCCCAACGCGCCTCTCTGCAACAACTGTCTGCACACACTTCGACCCCAGTCAATGGTCCCATTATCCTACCCGCCCCCGCCCCGCCCTTCTCTCTCCGCACTCCTCCTCGCCCCCAACCCCGTCTTCTCCCCCACCCCAACCCCTCCCTCACCCCAGTGCCCTCAAGTGCACGGACCAGTCCAACGCGCCCCTCCGCAAGAACTGTCTGCACACTGCCATGGCTCTGCTCATGGAGCTGCCGCGCAACCTGAGCACTTGTAACACACACCCGCCCGCACACACACACACACACACCTCGAGGCAGCTCCACGGCCTCATAGAAGGCAGATAGAGGCCGAAAAAGGTTTCAGAGGTCTCTTCCCCACCCCCTGCCCCCACCCACCCCACCCCACCCCCCACACCCCTCCTTCATCAGATAGTGGAGTGTGCCCTCAAGTGCACGGACCAGTCCAACGCGCCCCTCCGCAAGAACTGTCTGCACACTGCCATGGCTCTGCTCATGGAGCTGCCGCGCAACTTCTCCATGGCCGCTGTCTTCCAGAGCCCGCCTGCCTCGCCCAACTCCTACCTGCGCCTCGCTGTGGGGGACGCCGTGGGGGATGTGGGGCGCATCGCCATTCACGTCTACGACCTGCGCTCGTGAGCCTTCTCCCCCTGCCCTTTGTTTTGTACCCCCTGCTCCCTGCTTCCCGCCCGCCTCGCCCAACTCCTACCTGCGCCTCGCTGTCGGGGACGCCGTGGGGGACGTGGGGCGCAGTGCTATTCACGTCTACGACCTGCGCTCGTGAGATTTCTCTCCCTTGCTACCGCTTGTTCCCTCCTCCCTGCCCCTTGCTCCCTGCCCATGCTTCGTACCCCCTCCCCTGCTCCCTGCTCCCTGCTCCCCGCCCTCCTCGCCCAACTCCTACCTGCGCCTCGCCGTGGGGGACGTGGGGCTCATCGCCCTACACCTCTACGACCTGCGCTCGTGAGGCTGCCCCTTGTTTTCTGCCCCCGGGTCTGCGCTGTTTGCTGCTTCCGATGCTCTATCCTCCCTTCCCGCCTTCCCCACCATGGACGATGTGGGGCGCATTGCTATTCACGTCTACGACCTGCGCTCGTGAGACTGCTGCTCCCTCCTCCCTATGCTCCCTCCTCCCTATGCTCCCTCCTCCCTATGCTCCCTCCTCCCTATGCTCCCTCCTCCCTATGCTCCCTCCTCCCTATGCTCCCTGCCCCTCTCCCTACGCTCGTGAGACTGCACTCCGTCTCTGCTCCCTCCTCTCTGCTACCTGCTACCTGCGCTCTGCTCACACCTCTCTCCTCCCTCCTTTCTGCTCCCAACTCCCTGCTCTATACTCCCTTCAACACATCCACGTATGGCTCTTTGTGGTCAATTCAATCTCATCCATCCTCTCCTCCCTTTCTTACCTCCACTACTTTCCCTCCTCCGCCCCTTCCCGCTTCCCCCTCCCCCCCTTCCCGCTTCCCCCTCCCCCCCTTCCCGCTTCCCCCTCCCCCCTCCCCCATGCCAGGGGCACCAAGTTTCGCACGCTAGACGCCAGCAGCGCACCAGGCCACCCCACCTTCCTCCGCTCCCTCTCCCGCCGCTCCTCCTCATCTGCTGCTGCTACTACCACCCCCAATGATACCGCAGCACAGTCACCAACCACCCTACTTTCCCCCTCCTCCTCCCATCCCTCCCTCCCAGCCATCTCCCCCTCCTCCCCCTCCTCCTCCTCTTCCACCGCCACCGCCTCCCTCCCCCACCAGCCCACCCCCCCGCACCCCCTCGCGCACATCGGGAGCATCTCAGCCGTCGCTTTCGCGCCAGATGGCGAGGCCGTAGTGGCCTTCTCTCAGATCGGGCTAGTTCTACGTTGGTGGTCCATAGGCATGGCGTGGTGGGAGAAATTAACTCGAGCCCCTACTGCACCCGTGCACTGCAGCAAGCTGGTTATGGTGCCACACCTGCCAGAGCTCCCTCCTGATCTCCTTGTGCTGACTGGAGGAGGCTCGGTGGGGAGAGCAGAGGAGGAGGATCAGCAGCAGCAGCATGTGTTGATGCAGCAGCAGCAGCAGCGGCGGTCGAGTGGAGATGCGTTGCCGACAATGGTGAGGCACAGGGGGTTGTGTTGCGCTGGATGGCAGCTGCACTTTATTATTGCTTCTGAACCCCTTCTTTCCCACACTCCAGTTCTCAACTACTTTCTGTTTTCCCAATATTCCAACACACAACAGAACCAGCATACCTAAGCCTTCTCCTTTTTCCTTTTCCCCCCTCTCCCTCTCTTCGTCTCTCCCGCTTTCTTCCTACCAGGCCTTCGGCTCTTTCCTCTTCACAGCCGCAGGCGGGTCAGCAGCAGCAGCAGCAGCAGCGGGCACGAGAGCACCAAGCGGCACGTCCACAGATGCAACCACCGCAGGCTGCCCGCTTCCCTCCACATCCTCCACCCTTCCTCTCCCCGCTGCACCCCCTCCCCCTTCGCCTGCACCTGGCGGCACGTCCACAGATACAGCCACCGCAGGCCGCCCGCTTCCCTCCACATCCTCCACCCTTGAGGCGCCTCAAAAGTCAGCAGCAGCAGCAGCGGGCACGAGAGCACCGGGCGGCACGTCCACAGATGCTGCCACCACAGGCCGCCCGCTTCCCTCCACCCTTCTGCCCCTTGCTGCGTCCCTGGGAGGGGCAGGCGGAGGGGGAGGGGGAGCAGCGGGGAGAGGAAGCGGGGTGGTTGTGGGGGGGAGCACGAGGGGGGGCATGCAGGCAGCTATGGCACTGGCAGCTCAGCTGTTGGATTTACACGTGGCACTTGAGTGGAGGCCTGATAGGACAGTGGTGCTGCTGTACAATGGGGCTGTGGTGGCTACTTTCTAGTGGGATCCCGTTTCAGTGGGGCTCGCTCTGAGGCGTCGCACGGGTCAGCTCACCTGTTTGATTTACATGTGGCGCTTGAGTGGAGGCCTGATCGGACGGTGGTGCTGCTTTACAATGGGGCTGTGGTCGCTACTTTCTAATGGGGTTTTGGTTCCGTGAGGCTCCTTTTGAGGTGCCGCACAAGTCTGCTTAGCCGTTGAATTTTCACGCGGCGCTGGAATGAAGGTCTAATCGGACGGTGGTGGTGCTATACAATGGGGTTGTGGTTTGGTGGCCACTTTCTACTGGAAAATTGGGAATTGAGAGCTAGAAAGGGGGGAGACGGTAGAGAAGAGGGGAGATGGGATGGGGATCTAGAAATCTCTTATCCTCTCCCTAATTGTACAGCATCTATGGAGCTCTTTTGAGAAGACTCCGTGATTCGGATGGTAAGATGCATACAAGTTGCTTGTGTAAGCATTGCTTACCAGGGATAAACGCTTGCATTAGGCTTGAATCTCCAATTATAGTTGCTCTAGTTGCAATTTGAATGTCCCAAATACGGCTCGTTACAGAACATCATCCTCGCTACACCGGTTCTCCTTTCCACCGGTTCGCCAAGCTACACTCAATACGCAAAACGAACAGCCAAACACAGAAACCCAAGCTCAAATTTCTTGTTCCGTTCAGACTCGGCTACTCGACTCTGCTCTGCTTCAAAATTCCCACCACCGCCATGGCTTCGCGTGGGCTCGTCGCTGCGCCCTCCCGCCGCCGTCTCCTCGATCTTCCGCCAGCGCTGCTCATTCGCTGCGCCGGGATCCATTTTCACTCACTCCCCGACAATTCGCCGCCCGTTTCGCATACCGACTCCTGTATCTCTTCCGTTTCATCGCCAGATATCCGCGATGCCGCTGACACTCGATCCGTGAACCCGTCCGAGAATCCCGCGGGCGTCACGACGGCGTCATGCGCTCCGACGCCTCCGCCCATGTCCCATGTCCGCTTACCGGTTGTCCTCGCCCGATTCGCAGTCGGGTCGCATAAGCCAATAACAACAGCAGCAGCAAAAGCAGCAGCAACCGCAGCAGCCGCAGCAGCAGCCCAGAGCCCTGCTATAGCTGCCGCATTTGCCGCTGGTGCCAGTGTGCGCTTCGCAAGCCGCGCTTCGATCTCGACCATCTCGAGCAGCGGCAATCCTCTGGTCGCGTGGCAGCAGCGGCGGCAAATCGCATCTGAGCCAACCCGGCGATTCCACCGGCTGAGCCAATCGCAGCAGCAGGATTTACATCAGCAGCCGTCAGCCGACTCCGTCCCTTTCTCTTTAGACTCCCGCGTTACAAGCGGACTCGATAACGCGGCCGTGGTGTATCAAGGGCCGTTCTCCTCCCCTCTTAGAAACGTGAAAATTCTCTCTCTCTCCACCTGCCTGCTCTCCCTCACCCTAGGACCCATCGTCACTTTCTACTCCACTGGCGCCTTATCCGCCGCAGGCGGCGCAGCAGCAGCTAGCGCCACCGGCGCAGCCGGCGCAGTGGGCACAGCAGGCGCAGCAGGAGCAGCAGGGGGAGCCGGAGCAGCAACCGCAGCAGCAGCAGCAGCAGCAGCCAGGCGCAACCGCCGCGAACGTACTCCTTAAAGGCAGCATCGCGGGAACGCTAGCTCTTTTCAGCACGGCCACCACAGCAACGCTACACTGGGTCGGATCCCCCTACGTGCGCACCATCAGGTTCCGCAGAGGCGCGCCGAGCATGCTGGTAGAAACGCTCTCCTGGATGGGCACCCCCATGCGATCCGTTGTGAACCTCCGCGATATTGCCGCGGCGCCCAGGGGCAACCGGCCGCTACAGCCGACGTTTGTAGCGGGGGGGAAGGAGTATTATGTGGATCTGGATTTAATTGAGTGCTCTGAACTGAGGAGACGGCTGGAAAGAGTTGCAGCGGGGCGTGGCGCAGCAGAATCTGTAGGCTCGCATGACTGACTCGCGCCTGAGAGTGTCCATGATTGAGCGTGCATGGATCTGGATCTGGATCTGGTGGAGTGCGCTGAGCTGAGGAGGCGACTGGAGAGAGTGGCTGCGGGGCGTGGAGCGGAGTCTGTTTGCTCGCATGACTGACTGGCTGCTGTTAGGGCGTGAGTGGAGGAGAACTGGTGGGAAGGGGTATTACGTGGATCTAGAGCTGCTGGAGTGCTCTGAGCTGAGACAACTGGAAAGAGTGGCGCCAGGCCATGGTGCTGCTGAGTCTCTAGGCTCGTATGATTAACCCTCAGACCCCACCCCGCCTAGGCATGGTGGAGAAAGGTGGTGTGGTGTGCGCAGCCAAGCTGAGGCGAGGGTGGAGAGATGGTGGCAGTGAGGTGAGGTTAGGTAACGAGGGAGGTTATAGTACCAGTTTGAAACCTTTGAATGAGTTGGCTTGGTTGGCACATTGAATCTAGAGTACCGGTACCTATTGCACAAGCTGTACCTGCTACAAGGTCTATTGCAATTGAGAAAGGTCTTTTCCTCTTCTCACCGTTGCACATGGGATTGCTGGCTGGTCACCAATAAATACTGTAGGGCTCGCTGCTGCAGCAGTACACTTCATCAAAAACAAAATCTGTAAAAAGGAGGAACAAACCAGCAAGGTTGAAATTCTACCTCACAATAGTCTATATGCTGCTAATACCACCATGATGCAGCCACCTAAGCAGGCAGGCAGGCACATCCTTCTACCAAGCACAATAACAAACGACAGAGATGGCAATCAGACAATCTAACACCATTTCCATTCCACCCAGCCCATCGGATCCCATATCCACCCACCCACACCTGATCCTCAGACCTCAGCCTAGTCAGGACTCACGCCCACGGCCAAGAAGAACCAACCTAGCACCACTGGTATTTGAGAGCTCTCGAGACCAGCCTTGTCAGGACTCAGGCCCATGGCCAAGAATCAACCCCAGCATCCCTGCCCCCGCCACCCATTGCCCCCCGCTGCCTTTAGAAGGGATCAACATTCCATTTTAGCGGCGCCCGCCAACGCCGCGCATGGCGCGGGGATCAGAGGGGCAGGCTGCGGCCATGTGCCCCCTGCCGCCGCACACGTGGCAGATCACGCCCACCGGACACTCCCTTGCAAAGTGCCCCGGCTGGTGGCAGTTGCGGCACAGCTCCGCTCCCCCGCCGCCGCCGTACCCCTGCAGAGAGGCGAGACGTGAGGTGAAGTGAGGTGATAGTGAGGAGAGAAGGGGCGGACAGGACACACAGGGGTTGTTGGAGGGAGATGGGGAGATGTGAGGTGATGTGTTGGTTGATGCGTGCCTGCGAGTGCGCCTATGTACAGTGAAAGCACATGCAACTCTCTACTGTACCACAAGTACGATCAAGTTGTTTTAAATGCAAAACAAGAGCAATGGATAAAAACACAACAGACCGGCTTCACACAGACAAACATTGACCAAAGGCAGTGGGCCTACAAAATTCCTTCACACGGTCCCTCCACCACAAAAGCAACCTCCACACTCATCCAACCATTTCCCAGAGCATTCCACAACATCCAAACCGAATCAACCGCTCTGCATCCAATCTACACCCATCACTCATCAGCATCACTTACCCCTGCGTTGGGGCAGTTACGCGCGATATGCCCTGGGAGCCCACAGGAGTGGCACGTCCCCCCGGCCCCGCCACCACCATAACCCCCGCCGCCAAACCTGCCGCCACCAAACCCGCCGCCGCCGAAACCGCCGCCGCCGCCAAAACTGCCACCACCGCCGCCGCCGGCGGAGGGGCAGTTGCGCGCGAAGTGGCCCGCGACGCCGCAGACGTTGCAGACGGGCGCGTTGGGGCACTCGCGCGCCTTGTGGCCAGTCTGGCGGCAGTTGTTGCACGCCATCTCGTTGCTGCACTCCGCCGCCACGTGCCCCGGCTTGAAACAGTTGTTGCACAGCTGATGGGCGGGGGGGGGGGGGGGGGGGGGGGGGGGGGGAAGTAGGGTGGGGGGAAGCAGCGCGGAAGGCAGAGGGGAGGGGAATGCGCGCGCACGGGGGTTGGGGGGGACGGTGGGGAGGGGGCGTGGACGGAGCAGGAGGAGAGATTAGAGGAAGAACAGATTTGTTTTTTAGAAGGGCAACGAAGGGAGGGGAAAGAGGACGGAGAGGGGCAGGCGGAAGAGGAGAGGAGAGACGAGGACAAACTGGAAAGAAATATATTCAGTTGAGGCGTGACAGACGACGGGCAGAACGCGTGGGTGGAACTTTGCTGACTGAGAAAAAAAAGCGAAAGAAAACAGAAACACTATATTCAAGAAAAGCGGCTTCAGAGAAGACAACAACAGCATGGATAGTGGAGCAGTACCGCGAACAAACTAACCTGCGACTTGGGGACGGCGCCGACGGTGCAGCCGACGGCGAGATGGCCCGGCTTGCCGCAGTTGCGGCAGACGGCCTCGTTGGTGCAATCCGCTGCGATGTGCCCCGGCTGCTTGCAGTTGCGACACACCACCTCCGACGTGCACGCCGACGCGATGTGGCTGCGCGAGGGGGAAAGGAGCGAAGGGAGAGGGGTCGGGAGACGGGGTGGGGAGAGAGAGACGGACGGACGGGAGAGAACGTGGGGGAAGGGGGGCAAGGGGGGAAGGGGAAAAAGGGTTGCGGGGGGGGGGGGGGGGGGGGGGGGGGGGGGGAGAGGGGGAGAAAAGTGAGAAACGAAGATACGGAAGAGTGATGACAGGGGAAGTAAAACGTGATGTAAGAGAAAGCGGTGACGAATGAATCACGCAAGCAGCATAGGGAACCAAACTGAGGACGAGAGAACTGAAGAAGAGAATAGATGCGCAAGAAAAGCAGAAGCGGCGAGAAAAACCAAAGAAGTGGGGGAGAGAGAGGAAGAGGGGCGGGAAGAACATCACTACAACGCCACAGATGTTTCGGTCATCACAAGGGTTCGTCCACAGGGAAGAAAGCACGCACCCTGGAGCGCCGCAGTTGTTGCAGACGGCGAGGTTGGTGCACTCGCGCGCGATGTGGCCGGGCATCTTGCAGTTGTTGCAGATGATCGTCGCGCTGCTCCCAGTAGGTCCGCCGATGATGATGACGATGCGCGCAGACGAGACAGGACGAGCCGATGCGCGCCGACAAGACTCCACGCGCGACGGGACGAGACGAGCCGAGACGAGCCGAGACGAGCCAGACGGAGCCCGATGGAGCCCGACGGAGCCCGACGGAGCGCAGCGAGACGGCGGGTCGAGGGGAAACAAAGAGACGGGAGAGAAGGAGAGGGCGGGGAGGGGAAGGACAGAGAGGAGAGAGAGGAGAGAGGCCACCAACGACAACACCAATCTCCCTCCAACCACCATGCCCCATCGGCATCCCCATGCACACCCGAAACGCCACCACCATCAACCTCCCCCTCCCACCACCATCACCACCGCCACCACCACCACCCTTTCGCCCACCACACCCTCCTTAGCTTCCACCACACACCGCACCCACCACCACCACCACCATCAACACCACCACCGGCAACAACACCACCGCCATCAGCACCACCACCACCGCCACCACGGCCACCACCCATCTCACCTCCGTCCCTCTCCTTCGACCACCGTCTCCTCATCCTCCATCCGCCACCATCCATCCGCCGCCATCCATCCGCCGCCCTCAACCACATCAACACGCGCACGAAACAACACGAGGAGGGCAAAGGTGAGCGGCAGCACAGCAGCACCCACGAGAGGAGCACACCGAATCACAACGGAAGCGGAGCGAGAGACGAGAGGAGCTGCATCGATGCCGTGCGTCTCGTGTGCCTCTCTTTCTCAGAAGCACCAGCCTTGGCAACGGCTTGGCTATAGAAATTGAAGATTTGACGTGCAAAACGCATGCAACAAATCTGCCGGCTTCTGATGATTTCACCACCGAGAAAGCTAACGAGCTGTATGAGTTTGCCGCATGGATCCCGCATCCCAGGCCGCGTAACAAACGAACAAAGCCAGATCCGCTCTCCGTGACCCAACGACGACGCACGCGCAGATGCAGCGCCGTTGACGTATCAGATCTGGTCCCAGCTATTTCCTCCCACCACTCCTACCCTCAATTGCCTCCACTATTCCAATATAGACGCCTTAACGTGGCGTTAAACACGCCTTTAGCTGGAAGAGCCTCTGAATCTCATCTCATCCCCAAGAGTATACCCCCGTCTCCCACCTGCCTCCCCTCCGGGTTCCGTAATCTCCACGCGAGTACGGCGACGGACGCCGGTTCACACGACGGGCGTTGAGTCCGCCTCCGGGAGACCTCCGCGACGTCATCGCAAGCTCCTCCAGGCTCATGTTCAGCTTCGCCTCCGTGTCCATCGCTCGACGATTACGCGACGAGTAGACGATGATCACGCAAGCAGGATGACCCGAAGAATTACAGGGAGACGAGATAACTGACAGAATGAACAAGGCTGCGTGGTAGCTGATAAAGTGAAAATTGAGATCTGCAAGCAGCGGGAACATAAATTGTAGATCTGACGGTAGGGTTTGAACTCGGCGTGGATTAGAACGGTAAAGGTAGATGGAGAATGGTATACGACGGTAAGAGCAAAGAAAACAAGAGGAGAATAGAGGAAAGGCGGGAGGGGGAAAGGGTGGACAGCGAGTGCGCGCGGACCCTGGTTGCAGATCTGTTCATCCGCCTTGGTGACAGTTTTCGCGATGGTCGAGTAATCGCAGCCGTTCAAAGAACGTCAAGATGAGGGTTCGTTCTACCCTCTCGGTGGTGGTGCACTCGCTGCGTTGGAGTTTTGCCGAGATATCTACAGTGGAACCAACGGGTTACATTTTTAAGTGAAAGTTATGACGAGGGCACTATATTAGAAGGAATCATTTCTACGGTATAGATACCTAGTGTTTGACACAACGCGTAACATCTCTGAAGCATTTGTAAAGAGAGTACTAGGTGTTCTGCCACGCGTCAGCCCCTCCAGCGATTGCAGCTAAAATGTCGCATGCATGTGATATTGAAATGTGCGGCTCGACAGGTGAACACCACATTCGGCAATCCCTCTTTTCCAACGCTACCCTCTTTTCCACCAGCGATGTTGTTTGCGTTCTTTTGGGGCCTCTCTTGAGTCATCGACTCAAGTCGTTGTCAACGAGAGAGTTGGCGAACCTCGACTTTCCGAGGATTCAAACCTCGATCGTACCACCTCAACTTCGACAAAAGATCCATTCTAGATGCTCCAGAGGCCGCCACCGCGGACGAAGGTCCTTTCCGCAACAATTTAAAGCGTCGCCAATCCGGTTTCATTTCCACGCTTTGTAGCTAACTTTCCTTTGTTCCATCCAATTATTTTCTTCTCGATTCTGCCGGCATTTGTGAAATGGCGTCTATTTCCGCGCTCCTAAATCCCGCAGCACGGCTCAGCAGCAGTGGGACTCATTCAAGGCTTCTCACGGCGACTGCGCCCCCACGGCACGTCGTCTCCGTGGCATGGCCTCTTCGGCAGCGATCTCTCTCCAACGCGGCGGCTTCGGTGGTTAATTCCGCGTCTAACCGATTCAGAATCAGTGGAATCCGCTGCAGCTTGATTCGCGATGGCGGAAACAGGGCTGCCGCGTCGACTGTCTCGATGACAGACGCTGCTGCATCTCACACACTTGCTGCCGCACCAGTCTCCAATGCTGAAATTGGGTCTCTATCCCCACTCGTGGCGACGGTGGCGAAACTTGTGGCTGCCGCGAGTGTGGTTACAATGTTCGTCGTCATCGGTGTTGGTAGTACTCCCCTCGCTGCCTGCGCTGCCACAGAGGCGCCGGGAGTGGAATACGAGCAACTTCCATCCAACCCCGCTGCCAGGGCTTTGAACGAACTTTCCGATTCTGCCCAACGCGCCGGGCAGAAGGTGAAAGAACGGGCGGAAGAGGCAGGACAGTCATTGGAGAGTCGAGCGAAGAAATCAGGAGAGGCCCTGTCTGAAAAGGTGGAGGAGACGCGTGAGGGAGTCGCGGATCGGGCCAAAGAAACGGTCAAGTCAGCAGGCGAGCAGGCGGAGGAGCTGCGGAGGGCGGCAGGCAGGCGCGCGGAGGATTTGAAGGACGCTGCTGGAAGGCGCGCGGAGGAACTCGGGGAGACTGCAAGCAAGCGCGCGGAGGATTTGCGTGAGGCGGCTGGCAGGCACGCGGAGGAGCTCGGGGGGGCGGTGACGGAGCAGGCGGAAGGTGCTGTGGAAAAAACGCGGCAAGGACTGGGCGCAGTGGAAAGGAAAGCCGAGGAGGCGTTAGAATCCGCGCGGAAGACCGCTGAAAGCGCTGCTGAAAAGGCAGAGGAAGGGCTTGGAGCGGCAGGGCGGAAGGCGGAAGGGATTCTTGGGGAGGCGCGCGGGAGGGCGGAAGGGCAGGGGCGGAAAGGGGTTTCCGCTGCGCAGGAAGGCGCGGAGTCAGCTGGCGGATACGTGAAGGAAGGTATTGAGCAGGTGAAGGAGGGGGCGCGGGAGAGGGCGAGGGGGTTGCAGCAAGCGAGGCAGGAGGCTGGGAAGACAGAGAGGGTCAAAGGGAGAGTGGAGGAGGGGGTAGAGGGAGCGATGGGGAGGGCTGAGAGGGGCGTGGATGAGGCGCGGAAGGGGATGGCGGAATCTGCTGAGCGTGCAGGGGAGAGGGTGAGGGAGGGCGGGGAGAGGGTGAAGGAGAGTGGGGAGAGGGTGAAGGAGAGTGGAGAGGCGGCAGGGCGTGGGATTCTGGATTCTCTCAAAGAGGGACTGCAGAATTTGAGAGGTGGCTGATATGATAAGAGTATTGGATGAGAGTACGATTTAGAAGACGTGCTTGTTTTTGTCTGTCATGGTAGCCTCGAGTTTCTTAGTGGTGCTTGATGGGATAGTGTGAGTGTGTTTGTTGTGAAATCGTTTTTTGGAAAGACTTTCCTTCTCCTTACAGTAGCTGCCTGTTGTTGGAAAGGTACTGTCTGTGGAAGGTGCACATGCATGTAGCTACACGGTATAGGCTACATGTGTTGTTGCATGTTGTTTGGGGAACGTCACAACGGTTGTGGAACGTCTACTGTTGGAATGAGCTGATGCTCCATAAAAGTAGAAGCTGGGTGGTTTTCCTGCGCCAGGCTGAACATGCAAGTAGAAATCCTCGGCTGCAACTCGAGACTAATAAGTCACCTTCAGCGATTGGTTTTAAGAACTATCACAACCAACTTACAAGCCAAACAGTAAAAATGCTTCTACCGTATTACAGAACGGCCCTCAAACTTACTGTCAACGCCTGCTTCAACTCCAGTTTCCCAGCACTAACCTTAACATAGAACTTACTGGAATCACTAAACAGTCCAGCACGGACAAAATGCACGAGTGGGAATGCTATAGGACGAGATGCATTCAGCGAATCCTCAGTATAGTACTCGCAAATCCAGAGTCGCTTACCCTTTGCGTAGTATCCCAATCTAAATTTGCAGGGAATCTGAACCACTTGACGATTGTCCTTGAAGTATTTGGGATAGGCTGGCGAGCTGTCAATTGAATCGTTGGAAATGGTAACAGCGAAGTGCAAGGAGCAAGTTTGAAAATTATCCGTTCTGCAAGAGGAGTGGGGGTGTGGAGTGGGGTTGAGGGCGTGAGGCAACCTTGCATCAGTAGAAGAAGAAAAAAATCCAAAAATTTCAAATACAGCGTGTGCTGCGTCGAGTGCGGAGCCTTCTGCACTGCACGCTCAAACGTGATAACATAAGATATCAGACCTTATAAACTGAACAAGCAATCTACGTTTCGAAATCAACGTGATGTGGCACTTACACGTTCGCACTCAGAATGGAATTGGCAGCAATGCCACGCGAGGAAGAATTGGAGGATATTTTATCTGTGCGAGAAGGTAAACCACAAAACGTGACATGTCGGTAAACGAGAGTACGCCACACGTTAGTATACAGAAATAGGAACGGAAAACCTACAGACGCATGAGTGAATAAGAAAAGGAAGCCTGAACCGGTGCAGGGAGAAGCCTTGAAAAGAGAAGGAAGCACGAGACGGTGCAACGAGGAGCATGGGAGGAGGGGAAGCGAAATAAGCATGCATGTTAAAGGGAGGAAAGCAAAGAGTCCAACATGACAGCAAGCCAACAACGTGTGTAGGATATATCTCAGGAGGTGCGGGTGCTCGAGGATCATTAAAAAGGCCTACAGCGTGTAACAGTGCAGCAGCCGAATGCTGCCAACTGCAATGCAGGTGGGCGGAAGTCACTCGTAACAGTGCAGCAACACACTTCCAAGAACAGTGCAGGTGGGCGGAAGTCAAGCGCCACCTCACCTACAGTTCGGATTGGTCAAACGCCTCAACCTGCAGCTGGGCGACCAGATTCCGACACGCAGCCCAAGTCAATCCCACGCAACAAAGTTCCGACCGCTCGCCGACTTCGCCAACAACACCGACGAAATTACAGCCCCGTAACCAAGCTCGCCGGCCAATCCCGTACCGCAATAATTCTCTGAATTTCACGGCAGGTTCATTTCAAAGGGTTGGGTTACCATTGAGAAATTCAGAGAAAGTCGCGACTTGGGAGTGCGACTCGATGTTTGAATGTGCTCTATAAAATTGTACTCTGAAATTTGTGAAGTCATAATGCAATTTCCAGAAAATTCCAGAGAGCACTCTATACTCATTCTCCAAGCCTACTAAGGCTACTATCTCCCTGCCAGCAACGTTTCACTGGTAATCAGAGCCTGGTTTGTTATTTCGCACGCTCCTGCCATATTCTAGACCCTATGGCTGGGCCGTCGGATATGACGCCGGAACTCTGGAACGAGTTTGTTGCTAATATGCGCCGAGAGATTGAACGCGAGGTGCGTGACCGGATTCTCGGCGAACTCCAGGAACGTGGACTCCTGGGCACACAGGTGCCGGCGCCAGCACCTGCTGTGGTTTCTGCACGACCGAAGGCACCCGAACCTGAACCGTTCATCCCTGGAAAACGTCACTTACCGGTGCGACGGTGGCTTTTCCAAGTGGAGGAATACCTCTCCCTTTGTCATGTCAACCGGGCGGAGTGGGCTCGGCACGCCGGCATGATGCTGCGGGGAGCTGCTGCTACTTGGTGGCAGAGCTGCCACGCTACAATTTCAACATGGGAAGAATTTTCTGCATCGCTCCTAATGAACTTCGAACCGGTCAACGCCATCGAGCGCGCGCGTGACAACCTTGCTGATTTACGCCAACACCGCTCGGTCGCTGAGTACATCAATCGCTTCCGCGAGCTCGTGCTTGAGATTCCTGACATCCCTGCTGCTGAACAGATGGACAAATTCAAGCGTGGGCTGAAGCCGAAAATCCGCACCGAGGTTGAACTTCGTGGCGCTGCGACGCTGGATGAGATGATTCGTGTCGCCGAGCGTTTTGACACCATCAACTTCGCAGCGTACCAGCGATTCCAAGGGCGAACCGGGCAGCACGCAGTAGCTGGACCTACTATCCGCACCAACGGTCCTACTCCCATGGAGCTCGGTGTGGTGGACCAGCGCACACGCAACCAATCCACGCTCACGTGCTACTCGTGCGGGAAAGTCGGCCACATCAAGCGACACTGCCCGAACCGCCGCAACTTCGAAAGGTCTCCGGGAAACGGACAGCGCCAGTAGCAGTGGGGCAGACCTCTGGCGCATCGCATGCCCCGCTTCTCCCGACCCCATTATCCATCGGCACCTCCGAACTCTACACCACATCAAACGCCCCATTCCCCGCTATCATTCTATGGGCAAAAATAAAGGATCGCTATGTTGACTTTCTACTCGATACCGGCGCTTCAGCAAACTTTCTCTCTCCCTCTATTGTGGCTGAACTTTCTCTTCCCGAAGATCCCAACAGCAACCCACAGGACGTCATCATGGCAGATGGTACTCGGCGGCGCTGCGGACCTACTCTCCTCCCCGTGCACTGCATGTTCGGAAGTCTGGAGGCGACGGTCACGTTCGAGCAAATGCACCTCGGCGGCTATGAAGGCGTGCTCGGACGACCGTGGTTGTACCAGCTTGGACCGCGAATTTATTGGCGTAACGCAACGGTCACCGTCGGCAACTACGACCTCCCATCCCGCTCCTACCGCCGCCCATGGTCATCCCCAACAACTTCAGCCTCATCAACCCATCCACCCCAACCTGCCCCACCTCCAGCCTCCCATATCCCCCCTCTTCCTCCTCCTCTCATAGCCCCCGCGCAGCAGCCAACACCACCCGGCTCCCCCGAAGTCATCAACACACCTCCTCCTTCCCCACCCCACCCAACCCAGCAGCCACGCCGTTACCTCTTCCGCCCTTTCTCTGAAGTTATCAACCCACCAGCCCCCACCCCTCCTTCACCACCTCCTCCTCATCATCTCCTAGTCATCTTCACGGCTCCCGAATCTGAAGCATCAGCTACCCCTCTGCCACCAACAATTCAGAATCTTCTAAACGGTTATAAGGACGTTTTTCCCGATGATCTACCCGCCGAACTTCCACCCGAACGTGCTATTGACCATAGCATCCGCCTCATTCCAGGTTCTACACCGCCCGTGCGCCCAACCTATCGCATGAGCACCGTTGAACTTTTGGAGCTACGCCGACAACTTGATGGCCTTCTTGAGAAGGGTTTCATCCGCCCAAGCACCTCGCCATACGCTGCCCCCGTACTTTTCACTCGCAAGAAGGAAGGTGACCTGCGTCTTTGCATCGACTACCGCGCCCTCAACGCCATCACGATCAAGAACAAGTACCCGCTGCCCCGTGTCGAGGAGTTGTTTGACATGCTTGGGGAAGCAACGGTTTTCAGCAAGCTTGACCTACGCTCCGGCTACCACCAGATCCGCCTCGCCGAAGACGACATCAACAAGACGGCGTTTCGAACCCGCTACGGCCACTTCGAGTTCCGAGTACTTCCGTTCGGTCTCACCAACGCACCAGCCACGTTCATGGGACTCATGAACGATATTTTTCGGCCCTTCCTCGACCGCTTTGTCATCGTGTTCCTCGATGACATCCTCATCTTCAGCAAGTCACTCGAGGAACACGCTCAGCACCTACGCATCGTCCTCGACACGCTCCGCCAACACCGCCTCTACGCCAAGCTCTCCAAGTGCACCTTCGCCCGTTCAAGCATCGGCTTTCTTGGCCACGTCATCAGCTCCAAAGGCATTGCTATGGACCCCACAAAGGTCCAGTGCCTTGCTGATTGGCCAGCACCACGCACGGTAGCGGAGCTGCAAAGTTTCATCGGCCTCGCCAAGTATTACCGAAAGTTCATCTTCAACTTCTCTCACATCTGCGCTCCGTTGACCGATCTCTTCCGCCAAGGAGCTGTTTTTCAGTGGGGACTACCGCAGCAGACCGCTTTCACCGCAATCAAATCGGCACTCACCTCTGCACCGGTCCTAACCGTTGCTGATCCATCACGGCCATACTTCATATGGACCGACGCCTCCGATGTCGCTGTTGGTGCCATTCTTTGCCAAGACCACGGACATGGGATGCAGCCACTCGCATTCGAGTCACGCAAGCTTCAACCGGCAGAGCGCAACTACGCAACACACGATCGGGAGCTCCTTGCCATTGTCCATGCAATCAAGACATGGCGCTGCTACGTGGAGCTGCAGCCCGTCACCGTCTACACCGACCATCGCCCACTTCAACACTTGAAAACGCAGCCCGTGCTCAGCCGCCGCCAAGCCCGATGGGTTGAGTTCTTGGAGCAGTTTGTCCCATCGCTTCAGATCATCTACCACCCCGGGAAGCTCAATCCAGCCGACATCTTGTCCCGGCCACCACCACCAGCCCCACCAGCCACCAACCAGCCCCACCCACCCACCAACCAGCCCCAACACTCCCCAACCAGCCCCACCTCATCTCCTCCACCTAAAACTCCCAACCCACCCTTGCAACTCCATGGAACCAGCAGCATCACATGGGATGATACCTTCATCACAAAGTTTCAGCGCGCCTACAAACGTGACCTGTTTTTTGTCAAGCAAGCACCCGAGGACCTGGCCTACTCATTTGAAGACCCATTTTGGTACAACGCCGTTACAAAGACCATTTGTGTCCCTGCTGATCGCTCCTTACGGCAGCTGCTACTTTCCGAATACCACGACACCGGCAGCCACTTTGGTGTTGAGAAGACCTACGCACGCCTTTCCAACGACTACCATTGGCCACGCATGCACGCTGATGTGCGTGACTTCATACGCACATGCCGAACCTGTCAACAACTCAAAGCACGCACCACCAACCGCTACGGACTCCTTCAACCTATCCCTCCACCTACCAAGGTGTGGGATGAAGTCACCATGGACTTTATCATGGACCTGCCCCGCACACCCCGCAACTACAACGCCATCCTAGTCGTCGTTGACCGACTCTCCAAAATGAGCCATTTCATCCCCACGCACACAACCGTCACCGCACCCGAAACAGCCCGGCTTTTCTTCGATCACATAGTCCGTTTACACGGCCTCCCATCCGCCATCATTTCAGACCGTGACCCTCGCTTCTTGAGCAACTTTTGGCAAAGCCTCTTTAAGCTTCACGGCACCCGGCTGAAATTTTCTACCGCATATCACCCTGAAACGGACGGACAAACTGAACGGATGAACCGCACGCTTGAAGACGCCCTTCGTGCACAAGTTAACGCTCGCCAAACCGATTGGGACCTCCACCTCACCGCCATCGAACTCGCATACAACAGCACACCCCATCTTTCCACCGGCCAGCCACCCTTCTACCTCGCAACCGGACAGCACCCACGCCTCCCAACGACCCCACCCTCCCACCTCTCCCACGCACCAGCAGCCTTTGAGTTCCTCACCTCACTCGAATCAGCCATTGATGCCGCTCGCACCTCCATCCTTAAAGCACAAGCCAAACAGACCCACTATGCCAACTCCCACCGCAAAGATATCCGCTTCAAGGTTGGCGATCAAGTGCTTCTCTCCACGGACCACTTACCTCTCCTACGCAAAGGCACAACCAGAAAACTCGCCCCTCGCTTCATTGGCCCGTTCACTATCACCCGAGTCCTCTCACCAGTCAACTACCGGCTCCAACTGCCCAGCTATATGAAGATTCACCCCGTCTTCCATGTCCAGCGCCTCCGCCCTTATTGTGCACCTTCACACGACCGTCCAGCCACACGCCACCTGCCACCGATGTTCGAAGGCAGCCCCGGCCTGTTTGAGGTTGCATCTATCACTGCTCACCGCGACACACCTCATGGTCGTGAGTTTCTTGTTCATTGGAAGGATCAGCCTGCTAGTGAGGACTCATGGGAACCTGAGAGCCACCTTGACCGTGCTGCAACTGCCGTGAACCGTTACTTGACCAGCCATGGTTTGGCGCCGTGGACGACGCCACTTGGAGGGGGAAGTAATGTAACAGTGCAGCAGCCGAATGCTGCCAACTGCAATGCAGGTGGGTGGAAGTAACTCGTAACAGTGCAGCAACACACTTCCAAGAACAGTGCAGGTGGGCGGAAGTCAAGCGCCACCTCACCTACAGTTCGGATTGGTCAAACGCCTCAACCTGCAGCTGGGCGACCAGATTCCGACACGCAGCCCAAGTCAATCCCACGCACGAAAATTACGAAACGCAGGACACCAAAGTTCCGACCGCTCGCCGACTTCGCCAACAACACCGACGAAATTACAGCCCCGTAACCAAGCTCGCCGGCCAATCCCGTACCGCAATAATTCTCTGAATTTCACGGCAGGTTCATTTCAAAGGGTTGGGTTACCATTGAGAAATTCAGAGAAAGTCGCGACTTGGGAGTGCGACTCGATGTTTGAATGTGCTCTATAAAATTGTACTCTGAAATTTGTGAAGTCATAATGCAATTTCCAGAAAATTCCAGAGAGCACTCTATACTCATTCTCCAAGCCTACTAAGGCTACTATCTCCCTGCCAGCAACGTTTCACAGCGAGTGATGCCGGTGCCGATTTCATCAGCTTGGAGCAGATGCCGGCCGGCGATGGCGCCGCTGCTGGAGAGCGCCGAGAGCAGCACTGCAGGCAGAAAACGACGCGACGGGAAGGTTTGGTTGAGGCACTCGAATATTTTCAGAAGATTCAAAGATATAAAGTTGTGAATATGAAGCTTCGAGCTAACCGCTTCGGCCCATTTTTCGAGAGGAATCGCGGAGATTTCGAGGAGAATCGAAGAGCGAAGGAGCGAAGTCAGCAGCATAAAGATGCGGTTCAGCGACGAAAGAGACCAGCACGGTGCTGTCAGTGACCACCTGTTCTTACCACTCGAGTGGCGGGAGAGATACTGTCACTCACCAGCGAGGACGATCACAAGTCGCAGCGTGAGAGACGTGCAGGCCATGGCTAAGTTGGGAGGTAGGTGCAGGTGGAGCCTTGAATCACGAGGTTGTCTTTTCAGAAGGGTATGGATCCTCGGGTGACGGAATGCAACGAATGGGTTTTCAGAAAGTTGATGCTGAAGAAGACATCTTGTGCTGTGTTGCTGTGATAAGAGCGTGTTACGTACCCCTTATTTTGGTGGCACGCCCCGGTTGCCTGTAAAAGTTGACCCGACCTGTCTGGTCGGGTCGACTGGTGGGCGGTTGGGTATTAGCAGGCAACCTGCAAATGTACCAAATGCCTGTTTTGAAGACCCAACCTTACCTACAATATTTTGGGCGGACCCAACAACCACTGAACCAATTAGTGTGAACCAAACCTTGATCTTTGCTTCATTGCACCAATCACGTTCAGATTCGATAGTGTCACCTGCCCCCAATTTTCAGTGTACCACTGGTTGCTTCGGAGGTTGGTACGTTCGTGGCTGGTTGCCCCAACCAGCTGGTGGTGGGCGGGACCATATGGTCGCATAGACCACCTGGTCGCCTCGACCAGGTGTGCGAGTGCTCTGGTACAAACGTCAAATACTGTACACTGTAGACCCCAGGGTAATTTGGTAACCCTACGGGTCTACCCAACCCGACCGTTAGAGACAACCCGACCAGCCCCTAAATAGAGGGGTACGTAACACGCTCTAAGAGTTATTCACTCCACGGAAGAAGAAGCATCTTGGTTGGGGGAGGAGGAATGAGGAGCCTGTGTGTGACTCGTGCCAGGAGCAGTTTGGGGCGCGGCTCGACATTGCGCCATCGCCGCTGTTGCTTTTCTTCTTGATTGTCCAGCTAGGCACAGACCGCGCATTGGCTCAGGTGGTCCCAAAGTTGCTACTCACTGAACTCTCTCCAACCGTCGTAAAATTCAAAAACATCGTTTTTCAGAGTGCAGCATCTTACTGCATACCCTGTGACAAAATATTTTGTCAAAACCCACCTGAGCGTATACACCACCTGCCGCATCTCGCGCAAACCCATTTGAATGCTTGGGGGCCATGTGGTTGTAACAATGCGTTCATAGTGGAACCGATTTCAGTTATAAGGTTGTTAAAGATGTTATGTGGTGAATAACTATGTCAATAAGGGAGATATGATGGTCAAGCACCTGGTCAAAAGGCATATCACATGACATCCTTGACAAACGGGGTTTCACCTACGTAGTGCTCAGACAGGCAAGGCCCAACAGAGGTACATATAGTTTGCAGAATCACATCACACACAGCTTTCGTTCGGTATTATAACACGGAACGTGCTCCCTAACTACCGGTACCGGTACGTGCTTTTGGATGCTGCTGGATTATAGTACACTCGTTTAATCACCAACAAATGTTACGGTGGCAGTGCCACGCAGACTAAGGCAGCTACCGTAAAACAAAAATGAGGAGGGACAAAGCAGATAACTAGTCCTGTTTAAGAATGTCACTGGGGAGTTTCTGAGGGTGGCTGGAGCGCTGTAGCTGCATCCACGTATGAAGATGCAAATATGGTGGCCCTGTTCCTCTGAAGGTACCTGCCAGGTTGAGAGAGGAAAACATATGTTACAAGACAACTAAGGTGCGAGATTTAAGAAACTCCACACACGTGGGTATGGGGAACCTAGCAGATATCATAGCACTCTGGCAACGAGACGGAAAGGTGGAACACAAGATGAGAAAACAGAAGATTAAAGCACATGTATCGTTGCTCAGCAGTCGCAGCAACCGACTGCAAGGGTGGGTGAAGCGAAGCGAAGCGAAGCGAAGCGAAGCGAAGCGAAGCGCACTGACTTGTGGATGATGTTGAAGTTCTGGAAGAGCTGGTGCAATGCAGGGACTTTGGAGACGTCTCAACGTCTCGAAAGACATCGCAAGCAAGCAAGCAAGCAACAGCAAGGGTAGGTAGGTAGGTGAAGCGCACTGACTTGAGGATGATGTTGAAGTTCTGGAAGAGCTGGTGCAGGGCCTCCTGCTCAAAGTAGACTGTTGCCAGCATTGCCGGCAGCTTGGCTGGTGGTCGTGGGGGCACAACAATTAACAAGGACAGATGGAAGAATTGGTTGGCTGGTTCAGAGGGTGCTCAAGGGTGCACAGCTAAGGCAATAAAACTGGTGAGAGCAGAAGGCAATAAAACTGGTGAGAGCAGAAGACAATAAAACTGGTGAGAGCAGACGGCAATAAAACTGGTGAGAGCAGAAGGCAATAAAACTGGTGAGAGCAGAAGGGAATAAAACTGGTGAGAGCAGTTATCATGTCAGTCGTTTGGTGGCACAACCAGAAACTCTCGCGCTCCGCCCCGTATGTGTCCACACGGCCGTAGTTGACTCTTAAGCCAACTCAAAAGTCACCTCATTCCGCCTCACCAATGGCACACGGCACAACAGGCAGCAACAGAAAGCCTTACTGAAGAGCCTGAGCAGGTGCTCTGCCCCGTATATATCCGACGGCCGTACAGTCGACGGCGCAGCAACAGCATCCGACACTCCCCCACCCCCTCCCCCTCCCCGCGCCCCCTCTCCCCCTCCTGCTGTCCCATCTCCTCCTCCACTCCCGCCTCCTCCTCCCGCCCCCCCTCCTCCTGCTGCGGCGGCACCAGAGGCGGAGGCCGCCGCAGCGGCGGCGGTGAGGCGGGAGAAGACGCATTGGAACTGGTCGCGCTCCTCCTTGTAGAGCAGCATGAGCGGCAGCGAGCGGTCAAAGTAGCACCGTATGCCGTTCACCACCTCCGCCATGCCCTTGCCCCGCCTGGAGGAAGGGGGGGGGGGAGAGAAGAAGAGAGGGGAAGGTGGGGGAAGGGAAAGGGAGGAGAACGGAGGTGGGGAGAGGAGCTCATGCGGAGCTCATGCACAGAGCGATAAACATTTATGTTGACTCAAAAGGACGGGGAGCAGAGGGACGACGGAGGAGGAGGGAGAGGAGGGAGAGGAGGGAGAGGAAGGGGGGATATGCAGAGGGACTGACCGCTTGCTGCGCTTGGAGCTGATGAAATCCGCTAGGAGCTCCGCCACAGAAGGCCTGCAGGGCAGCGGCACGAGCTGTGTGTGGGGCACAAGATACAAGGATGATGGGAGAAGCGGGGAATGTATGAGTCCTTTTTGAGAATTCTCAAAAGTAACACCACTTGAGTCGACTCGTAAAAGCATGTAAGGATCTCTGCTGCTGCAGAGGACCTGCCGGGCAGTGGCACGAGCTGCCGGGAGAGGGATGAGCGGTTGTGGTGGTGGGATAGGCGAGGGATGAGGTGGGAGGGAATGGGGATGTGGGTGAGGGGATGCTGGGGACTAGAATAAGCAGCTGCAGATGACTGTTTACAAAAAGCACAACCCAAGACTAAATATGAATGCAGATACATATATATACATATACAATATATATACATATATATATATATATAGAATAGATTGTAAACACACACATTTCGTCCTGGTTGTTCTGTGTCTAGGAGGCAGTGACAGACAGGCAGTGAGAGAGAAAGTGCGTGTGCAGTGAGAGGAGCATTGCACTCAAGGCCGACAGACTCACCTTCCTCTGCCGCACCACCAGGTCCTTATCCCCTAGTCACTGCCTCTCTTGAGTGACTTTTGAGTTGCCTCAAAAGCAGAGTGGGGGTTGTGTTGAGAGGGACAGACTGAACGACTGACCTTCCTCTGCCGCACCACCAGGTCCTCATCCTCTAGTAACTGCCTCTTGAGTGCACTACCTATTGGCGCTAAGTGAGAGAGCAAGTAAGTGAGCGCGCAGTGACAGGAGCGTTCAAAACTCACCTTCCTCTGCCGCACCACCAGGTCTTCATCCTCTAGAAGCTGTCTTTTGAGCGCATTAGGATGAAAATGATGACCTACCGAGTATTGAGTTGAGAAGTCTTAAAACAGACTCACCTTCCTCTGCCGCACCACCAGGTCCTCATCTTCCAGTAACTGCCTCTTGAGTGCATTCGGGATGAACAAAGCCAAATCCACATCGCACACCCCACCCTTCTCCGCCCCCCACCGCTTCCCCCCACTCCTCCCCCTCCCCCTCCGCCTCTGCCTCCTCCCTCTCCCCCTCCTCCCCCGCCTCCGCCCCCACTATTTCCCCCAGCACCACTCCTTCCCCCAGAACCGGCTGCTGCGACTCCCCCTCTCCCTCCCCTCCCCCGCTCGCTCCCCCTTTCCCCCGGTTCCCCCCTCCCCTCCCTCGCCCCCTTTCCCCCCCACGCCCCTCCTCCACCTCCTCTTCCTCCTCCTCTTCCTCCTCCTCCTCCTCACTGCTCCTACCGCTTTGCCCCGCACTCTCTCCCTCCGCCTCATCCTCCTCCTCATCCTCATCCTCCTCCTCCCCCCCCGCTTTCCTCCCTTCCGCCTCCTCTTCCCCTCCGTCTGCTCTCCCTGCACCTCGTCTCCGTCCCCTCCCAGCAACCCCAGCACCAGCACCCCGACCGGAAGCAGCAGGAGGGCTTGTAGCCGCAGCAGCAATGGCTGCAGCAGCGGAAGAAGCACCAGCTTTGGCACTGGCAGAACCAGGGGTGGTCTGGATGTGAGGGGTGGAAGGGGGGAGAGTCTATGTTTGAGGGGCCTCAAAATTGTCGACAGTGGCAGCAGCAGCAGCGGAAGAAGCACCAGCTTTGGCACTGGCTGAACCAGGGGTGGTCTGGATGTGAGGGGTGGAAGGGGGGAGAGAATGGGGGGGAGAAAGGGAGTAAGGGGAAGGAAAAAGAGCAAAAAAGGGGGAGAAAGAGGGGAGTTAGAAGTCGTTAGAAGAAAGAACAGAATGATCACAATGGTTATGTATGGTCACAATGGTTAGGTATGGTCACAATGGTTAGGTATGGTCCTAGGTGACTTTTGAGTCGACTCAAAAGGAACAGAATGGTCCCAATGGTTATGTAGGGTCCTACGACTAGGAAGTCAAATCAAGAGCCAGATCAAAAGAATGGCGGGCAAGTGAGAGTCGCAGTAAGGTAGTGAGGAAACAAGGGAGGAAACGAAGAGAGGGACGAGGTGAAAGAGGGGAGAAGAGGCGCGAGGGAGAAAGAGGAAAGAAGAGGCGCGAGGGAGAAAGAGGAAAGAAGAGGCGCGAGGGAGAAAGAGGAAAGAAGAGGCGCGAGGGAGAAAGAGGAAAGAAGAGGCGCGAGGGAGAAAGAGGAAAGAAGAGGCGCGAGGGAGAAAGAGGAAAGAAGAGGCGCGAGGGAGAAGGAGGAGCATGGTCACCACTGCGCCTCATCTGGTGCCTCTTCCTCATTTGCTTACGAGCCTTGAGGTGATTTTTTAAGGCGCCTCAAAGAGGAAGAGGTGACTTTTGAGTCGACTAAAAAATCGACTTATCACACGCAGAGTGGACTCAAAAATCGACTTATCACACACAGAGTCGACTCAAGAGTCAGCTCATTTGCTTACGAGCCTTGAGGTGACTTTTAAGGCGGCTCAAAGAGGAAGAGGAAGAGGAGAGAAGGGACGTACATCTGGTGCTTTTCTCTTGCGCCCCTTGCCTCCTGACCCATGCACATCTGCGGAATATGCGACAGATGGGGCGGATAGGGTAGATGGGGCGCAGATGGCATATGGGGGGGACTGTGGGCTGAAGGGGCAGTGGACGTGGATGGATGGGAAACAGGTGAGGGTACAATCAAGTGTTGAGAAGGGTCCATGCTCAAAAGAACTAGAGAAACACAAGAGACAATTATGACATTTTTTCCTTGACACCTCCCCTCCTCTCCCCTCCCCTCTCCTCTCTCCCTCCCCCCTCTTCCCCCCTTCCCCCCCCTCCCAACCAATTTCCTCCCCTCCACCCCCCTCCCCTTACTCCTTCCTCCCTCCCGAATCATCCCTCCTTAATCCTCCCTCCCTCCGCCACCCGCCCTCCCCTCCCCAGTACCCACCTGGCGAGGTGACCTTGCCACGAGCAGGCGCCTTGTCCTTGCGCCCGCCCGCCTGAGCCTCCTGCTTCAGCTGCTGCTTGCGCCGCTGATTCTCCTCTGTGTCCTTGAGCAAGCGCACCGTGCCCACCCACTCGTCCCAGCTGCCAGTCACACCCAACACACGTGCACGACACACACAGAGAGAGCACACAGAGAGAGCACACAAAGAGTAGACTTTTTAGTAGACTCAAAGGTTGAGCTGCTGCTTGCGCCGCTGATTCTCCTCCGTGTCCTTGAGTAGGAGGGGAGGGGAGACGTTGGGGGGAAGAAGAAAACATATTTTGAGGCAGTGGGGGAGAGAGCAGGGAAAGACAGCAGGAAGCACGAGTACAGTGGTTAAGAGGGACAAAGGGGGGAAGGTGGGGGGGTTGGACCTAGAAGGCCACGGGCACGGTGTGAGAGAAGAGGGGAGAAGAGCGAGAAAAGGGAGAAAAAGAGAGTGACAGCTAGGTGTGAGGGAGCAGTGGTGAAATGTCACCTTTTCTTCCACCCCTGTTGCAATCAGAACCACGTGATGTGGTCGCAGGGGAGCAGATGAGTCGCAGGGGAGCAGAGTGTAGAACACACACAGGCGCCAGTAGGGGCAGAGAAAGGGCGGGTGGAGGAGACAGGCGATGTGAGTACATGTGAGGCACAGGGGAGAGGCACAGGGGGAGAGGGGGAGAGCGGGGTTGGATAGGGTGAGCGGGTGGGTGGGTTGGGTGGGGGAAAGGATGGGAGGGAAAACGTTAGAAAATGAACGGGTGGGATGCGAGATGGTGTGGGTGAAGTGCAGGAAATTGGAGTTTCAAACACAGTGTTGTGTTGCATGCATGCATGCATGCCTTTTAGCGAGAGATAGCGAGAGAGAGAATGAGAGAAAGCGAGAGAGAGAGCGTTGCATGCATGTACCTATGAGCGATATAAAACAAGAGGGCCGTTTAGAAGAGAAGTGGGGAATCATACAGTGTAGTGGATAAAGAAAGACCACTCGCCGTTCTCGTCCTTTTCCAACTTCAACACCTGCAGTGGTGCCGGACGATTGGGAGGGAAGGGAGGGAGGAAGTGGGGGGAGGGAGGCAGGAGAGAGGTGGGGACGGATGGAAGGGGGAGGATATGGGCGGAGGTAGGGAACGGGCGGGGAGAGTGAGGAGAGCATGTATTTTGAATCGAATCAGTCGACACAAAATACGCAGGCATGAGGACGTAAATGGAGTTGACTCACAGTCAATTTGGGTGGAGTAACAAGTCACTTTGAGTCGACTCACAGGTCATTCTGACTAAACTCTCAAGTCACTGCGCCTTCACCACGCACCTTGCATTCATCACAATCAGGCCAGGGCTTGACAAGGTTCGTGCTCATAACTTGCCCCCACCACGCACCTTGCCCCCACCACGCACCTTGCCCCCACCACGCACCTTGGCCCCACCACGCACCTTGGCCTCATACAGCAGTTTCCCATGAAACGCGAGCACTTTCTCGTCCTTGTCGTATGGTGGCCCCCCTGCTCCTCCCCCTGCTCCACCTGCCCCTCCTGCCCCTCCTCCTCGCCTCTCCTCTGACTCTTGCTTCTCCCCTCTTCCACCCTCCTCCTTCCTCCTTCTCCCCCTCTCCTGACCCCTCTCGTGGCCTTTCTCGTGTCCTTCTCTCGCCCACCCTTTCTCCTTCTCCTTCTCCTTCTCCTTCTCCGCCTCATCCTCACTCTCTGCCTTCGTCCTCTCTCTCCCTCTCCTCTCCCTCCTCTTCCCCTCCCTCTCCCGCTCCCTCTCCCTCTCCCTCTCCCTCTCCCTCTCCTTTTCCTTCTCTCCCTCCTTCTCCTTATCCCTCTCCTCGCTTCCACTTCCTCTCTCGCGCTCTCGGCCCCGTTCCCTCGTGCTTTCCCTTTCCCGCCTCCCCTCCGGAATCTGTTCGCCTTCCGTGCTTCCCTCCGCTTCCCTATCCATATCTACCTCCCTTACGTCATCTCCACCGTCCTCACCATCCCCACCATCCCTATCATCCCTGCTATCTCTCTTATCCTTCTCACGACGTCGTCCCCTCCCGTGCTCGCGCTCTTGCTCCCTCTCCTTCCCTTTCTCATTCCCCTCGCCATCGCTTTCGACCTCTCTTTCTCCTCTCTCCTCTTCCTTCTCCTCTCTCTCCTTCTCCTTGTCTTTCTCCCAATCCCGATCCCTATCCCGATCCCTATCCCTATCCCTATCCTTATCCCGATCCCTCTCCCGCTCCCGATCCCGATCCCTCTCCCTTTCCCGATCCCTGTCCTTGTCTCTCTCACGCTCCCGATCCCGCCCTTTCTCCCTCTCTCTCTCCTTCACTCGCTCCCTCTCCTTCTCAACGCGGCCCCGCCGTCGCCGCCCCTCGTTTGCGTCCGCAGGTTTCGCGGCGGTTTCTTCTTTACCAGCCATACCCAGTCCTCTCAGTGCTGCGTTACGCCGGAACCTTCGCCGGAACTTCCGCCGGAATATCCGCCTCAAATCTCCGCCACAAGCTCGGAGTCGCTATTCCAAAATGCTCCGCGTACTTCAGCAATGTAATACCTACCAGAGCTCCTCGGTAAAATCCAATCAACCCCTTATCCGCAACGTCACAAGGAAATAACCTAGCAAGTCCACGAAAATGATGGTGTAGCAACTAGAATGCCCTGAGAAATAGGAAAGCAAAAAAAAAAAAAAAAAAAACAAGAGGCGACTAAATCGTATTAGGGTTGCGAAGCAACAGGTTGTAACATGTTTTTTATTTTTGAATGAATTACACTTCCATTTATAGAAACACATGACATATAATATATGATTATATAACTGAATCGCTGTGGTCGTTTAGAGTACAGATTTGGTTGTTTCACAATGTATAAAATATGTGCTTCTTGAGAACTTATTTGTGTTTGGTTATTCTTGTTATGTTCATATTATTTGATTTTAAAATCAAAATGTTTTTATACTTTAACGTCAGAAGGCGTTTATACTTTGACGTCAGAAGGCGTTTGGATTGTTTGCGTGACGATATCGACAAACAAGTGTATTTTACGTCTGCAATTTCGCGCGAAAGTCTCCTTCCTTGGTAGTTGACAACAGGAATCGAACCTGAAACCTTTCGTATAGTTGTTCAACTTATACCGTCTGCGCTAAATCCTCTGATATTTGGTAGCGTCGTGAAAAATCGAGTAATAATTGTGCGTGTTATTGTCAGGTTTCGAAATGTGTCGTCTGCAGGAACTGAACTGGAGACTTTTCGATAGCACATCGAAGTTCAACTAATTGCGCCAACACTGTTATGTTAAAGCCGGCAGCCCAAATTGCACAACTTTGAAAAAGATGACGAGAGGGGGTTTTACAGTTTTGGGTTTTGGCGAGTGTTTCTGATTTCGTCAAATTCGTTTTTTTTCGCCAGACCCAACGAGCCCCTCGATTTCTCTCTGGTTGATGTGTCTGACTTCGGGAATTCCCAAATTGCACCTGCGCTACCTTTCAAAGCTTGAACAGGCCACTTCGTCAAGTTTTAAAAACTTGACCCGCGCGGTCCGCAATTTGGGCCGCGGGCTTTAAGCAACTCGAACTCTTCTAGGACGATTAGTTCTGCGACGAATCTGACACCTTTCTAGGGTTTGTTTTTCTCTTTTCTTCTCCCTCGCTGGCTGAGCTTCGCTCATGTTTGACTCTACCTACCAGAACGAGTTCCTATCCTACTAAGGTGAGAGCTACCTTAACCCATCAAGTAGATTAAGTTAGACGATTAAGAGCTAGACGAATGTTGGCCTAAGACATGTTAGTATTGCTCGTGTTGGTAGCTTCTAAAGGATGAAAGTCGTTTAAGGCTTAGGTTGTAAACTTGCTGCAAAAAATTTAGCTGCAGGTTTTCATTCTCGTATGGCGTCTCTCTCCTTGTCCAACTTTCTCGCTCGTCCCCCTCCGCCTCGTCCGCCCACCTCTTTCCTTTGTCCGCCTCACTTTGTATCTCCTTACTACTTTCTTCTCTTGTTCGTTCACTCTCTCTCTCTCTCTTGTTCCTTCTCTCTCGTTCTCTCTCTCTCTCTCTCTCTCTCTCTCTCTCTCTCTCTCTCTCTCTCTCTCTCTCTCTCTCTCTCTCTCTATCTCTCTCTCTCTCTCTCTCTCTCTCTCTCTCTCTCTCTCTCTCTCTCTCTCCTCTCTCTCTCTCTCTCTCTCTCTCTCTCTCTCTCTCTCTCTCTCCTCTCTCTCTCTCTCCTCTCTCTCTCTGTGAAATTCACACCTAAGGGATATCGTTGTTTCCTGTTTTGTTACTTGCTCTGTTTTTTTGGGTTCTGTTTTTTTATGTATATCTATGTTCACCACCATTAGCTTGCATCCTGTTTGGGTATTATGCTTTTCTCCTCACTGCCTTGCTTTCTTTTTCCATTTTCTTCGCGATTTGATAATTCATTTCTCCTCCCCCCCCGGTTCCATCTTTCCCTCTGCTTCATTCGTTGCTATTTGTTTTTCCAGATTTTTCTTTGACTTTCGTTCCAGATGTGTACATCTGCGAAGCGAAGAGTTCATGTGAAGTGGATAGTAGTGGTGACTTGTAAAATTGTATTGTATTGATGTTCACATGTTTTATTGTTTTGCAGTTTGTGCATTAGGTTTTTTTTTTTTTTTTGAATGTGTGTGATGTTGTATATGCGTTTGTATGTATGTATGTGTGTTCGTGTGTGTGTGCTATGTGTACGTGCACTCATCCACATCCATCGTAATAACAATGCATGTCTGTGAATTTTAAAAAGATGGCTCAAGTCTATCATTTCACATAAGGTTCATTGGCGCACAAAGTGACTCGTGTGCGACCACTTCGAACTGGATTTGATAGGTTTGACCATTTTTTTAGAATATACAGACTGTGTTGTTTCATGTGACTGTTGATTATTCAAAAGCCAAGCTATTGACCTCCCCCCCATGCTAGGCAGGGGATGGCGGTAGCTTAGTTTTTGGGTAGTTAACTGTCACGCATTTTATTACCATATGTACATATGCATCAAGACGTCTCATACCGTACATTATGCATCTTATAGCATCATTTATGCATTAAGCATGCATCTATTCATCATTATCATAATAGCATCTAATAGTAAAACATGGACGTATTATATTAAAAATTATGCATCTTATAGCATCATTTATGCATCAAGTGTGCATCTGTTTATCATTACCACAATAGAATAGTAAATTTAGAAAGCTTGCTTTCTTGTGTTTGCAATGGCAACGTGCTTCGTTTCAAATGGGCATTACAACATTCTCGTCCGGCTAAGTATACATACGGTACCTACATTACAACATGCAGTTTTTGCTAGGGTGGGTATCAGAATAACTAGCCAAGAATGAATGAACTAACAGAAGTTTGGGTACAAATATGAAACCCTAGTTGGGGTTGTACCCCATATTGGCTACCCCACTACAGCCTACAAGCATAATACAGTTTAACACACCCCCATAGGCAAAGTGGGGGAGCACAAAGGGTCACAAGACCAGTCCAGCAAAGCAAAACAAAGCCCAGGGAAGATCACAACGTCACCACACTCCGAGCACAAGTAAAGGCCACAAGGCCAGTTCACATGCAGTGCTAGATATAGTACAAGACAAGCAACACAGTGATCAAAACCTAGCAAGCAAGCAACAAGATATATATAAAGTACAGTACAAAGAATGTCAAGCAGTGAGCAAGTGAGGAAACGTGGACACAAGGCCTAAAGAAGTACAGTGCCGCTGATGATCACTAGGCGGGAGCGCCTTGGTGAAGATATCAGCAGTGTTGGCCTTCGAGTCCACGTACACAAGCCGAAGCTGACCGCGCTGCTGAAGCTCTCGAGCAAGAAAGTAGCGAAGAGCAATGTGCTTCGTCCTGTGCTCCAGTCTGTGCTCCTGACACAAGGCAAGAGCCGCCTTGTTGTCACCGTACAGAACTGGAGGAGAACTAGGCCGCTCTCCCAAGTCAGTCAGCAGGTAGGTGAGCCAGCGTAACTCCTGTGCAGCCATGGCTGTGGCGTAGATCTCAGCCTCACAACTAGAGCCGAGAACAGAGGAAGAGCGGGTGGACCGCCACGAGACAGAACCAGAGCCAAGGCTGAAGGTGTAACCCTGTGACGACCGCTGCGTAGCCAGGTCGTCCACCCAAGAAGCGTCCGAGTGACCAGTGAGGACAACTCTGTCGCGTCCTCCAAGCACCAGCCCCATGCCTGATGTACTGCACAAGTAACGCAGCACCCTCTTAGCAGCCTCCCAGTGCTCTCGCCTGTGTCTCCCAGGCGCAACGTAGCGAGCAAGGATGCTAAGTGGGTACGCGAGGTCAGGTCGCGTGCAAGTCATCAGGTACATGAGGCAGCCTACAAGCTCTGGGTACGGGCCACTCGGCTCTACGGACTCGTCCGAAGGTGGAGCTGAGAGCGAGTGGCTGGTAGCCAGAGGTGTGGCCTGTGGTGAGGAGAACTGGAAGCCGAAGCGCTGAAGGACCTGCTGC